ACCTGGCAGGCGAGGGGGGTGGGGGGCGGCTCTGCCCCTCAGCAGGCTGCTGGGCCTGCTCTGTGATTGGTCCCAGTTCCCTCTACTATGCCGGCGCAGGGGGAGGGGTATCCATTCGTCTATTGAAGGGCATCTAGGTTGGTTCCACAGTCTTGCTATTGTGAACTGTGCTGCTATGAACATCGATGTAGCAGTGTCCCAATTTAATCTTTTATATTTTGTTGTCAAGAGCTAAGTACTATAATTTTAACTACTACTATAACCTTAGTAAAAGTAGTTAAAAAATCACACTGAAGAAAAATTTCAAGTAAATGAAACATAATTTTAAGATGCTTTTTAAAAAGGCATAAATTTGGGGCTGGGGTTGTGGCTCAAGCGGTAACGCGCTCGCCAAGCATGCATGGGGCGCTGGATTCGATCCTCAGCACCAAATCAAAATAAAATAAAGATGTTGTGTCCACCGAAAACTAAAAAATAAATATTAAAAAATTCTCTCTCTCTCTGTCAAAAAAAAAAAAAACATAAGTGAAATAAAGGTACTGTGTCCAACTACACTAAAAAATAAAAAATATTTTTAAAAAGGCATAAATTTTGCTGAATAAAATGTATTGCATAAAGTGAACTTTTTAAAAAAATATTTATTTTTTAGTTGTAGTTGGACACAATACTTTTATTTTACTTATTTATTTATTTTTATGTGGTGCTGAGGATTGAACTCAGGATCTCAAACATGCCAGGCGAGCACTCTACCACTGAGCCACAACACAAGCCCTAAAGTGAACATTATTTAGATATTTGAAAATCACAGTTTAAATGTAATTTAAACACTACAATATTAATATGTTTGGTTAACGGATTTATAGGAATGCTAATTTAATCCTTGATGTATGAATCCTCAATAGAAACTCTTCTCAAAACTAAAGGGTAAATTAGGGACACACCTCTGTGGCTGAAGCTTTTATATATTACTTGCATATACTATTAGCTTAATTTTATTTAACTTTTAATTAATTTTACTTTAAGTTTCATCACGGGTAGATAGAGCCTATGGTAGCTGGAAGAAGTTCAAGTAGTAATGCTGCAACTGTACTATGCTTTCCTTAATCACAAAAAACATAAACCCTTCTGCTTTATTTCCTTTGATATTATATACCTGGGTTGTACTTTAGTAATAATGACCTGAGTCTAAAAAGTTAAGTCCCTGATAAAAGAAAAAAAGTGACACAATGACTAACTTGGCTCTCCTTCTGTTTTTTAAATCCCTATTAATATAAGTTTGAGAAGAATTGATCTTACGAGAACTTTGAATCTAATAACAGAAATTAGCTTATAAAGTCTAACACTGGCCTACCCACATTTAAGAAGAGGTATAAAGTTAATTGAGATAGAACTAGCATGTGATTCATTCATTTTAAGTGGACAATTTGATGATTTAATTTAGTATAATCCTAGTTGGGCAACCAAAAGCACAATTAATTTTAGAACATTCTCTTTGCTCCAAGAAGAAACAGTGTACCTACTATGGTACAGATATGAAGTGTCCCCCAAAAGCTCATGTGTGAGTGCTGGGGATGTAGCTCAGTTGGCAGAGTGTTTGCCTTGCATGCACAAGTCCCTGGGTTCAATCTCCATCACTGTACCCCCACCCCACCCCCCAAAAAAGCTCATGTTTGAGACAATTCAAAAAGTTAGAGGTGAAATAACTAGGTTGTAAGAACCCTAACATAATCAGTACATTAATCCAGTGACATGGATTAACAGGGGGGTCAGGGGAACTGTAGGCTTGTAGGGTGTGGCTGGAGGAGGTGGGTCACTGAAGTGGTGCCTTTGGGGTTTATATTTTGACCTGGGTGAGCAGAGCTCTGTTTCCTGGTGCCACATTTTGAGCTGCTTTCTTCCACCATACCCTTTTACTATGCTGTTCTGCCTCACCTTGGGGCCAGAATAACAGATGCAGCCAAATGTGGACCCAGACCTCTAGAACTATGAGCCCCAAATAAACTTTTCCTCCTCATTGTTGTTCTTGTCAGGTGTTTTGGTCATGGTGGCAGAAAAGCTGACTAAAACAGTATATATTAGCATCTTTTCCCATTCACCTTATTCCCAACTTTGGCACCTACAAATCTACTTTCTGACTCCACAGATTTGTCCATTTTGTACAGTTCACATAAATTATGAAATATGTGGCCCATTGTGTAGCTCTTTTTACATTTTATTTTTTTTATTAGTTGCTCAAGACAATGATCTTGACATATCATACATTCGATTCATATAGGGTATGAATTCTCATTTTTCTACATGTACAAATTGCAGGATCACATTAGTTATACATCCATGTGTGTACATACAGCAATCCTAGTGTCAGTTGTATTCTGCTTCCCTCCCTATCCCCACCTCCCCTTTCCTCCCCTCCCATCACTATTCTCTACCCATTCTACTGTGACACTTATCTCTCTCTTTTTTTTCTTCCCTTCCCTCTCACACCATCGTATATGTATTTTGTGGACCCAACAGCATCTTGCCAAATTGCCAAGGATATCCTTGTGATCCTCCTGCCTCAGCCTCCTGAATTGCTGGTATTACAGACATTCACCACTGCACCTGGCCTCTTTGTCCATTTTAAATTGAATTGTCTATTATTTAGTTTTAAGGCTTATTTATGTATTTTAGAGCTAAATTTTAGATATAAGTCCCTTATTAGATTTTCACTTTCTTGATGGTATCCTCTGAAGTTAAAATAGAATTGATTTAAGCTCTGTAAAAAATCATTCATAAAATCATAAAAAGGCTGAAATCCCATTTAAACTTCATTACATCTTATGTAGGAAAAATTAGCCACTATCATGGTAAATGTTAACACTTTAGTGACGTTAAATGATCTTGGGACACAGCCTCTTCTTGAAAACCAAAGTTTAAGACAGGGATAGAAGCTACAGGATAATTGTATGAGGAACAAACTACACAGGAAAGAAAACAGTATGGGCAGTGTATATATATATAGTTTCTGAATAGGTGAGGAAGACAAACCTGTAAGGAATAAAGCAACACAGAGACAAAATACACATAAGTAGGAGCTATTGGAGGATGCATTAAGTAAAAAGGATTCACAGAGAAGTTAGTTTATAGGAAAACATGAAATAAAGGTAAGTTGTAATATTCACAGATAACATGTGAATACTGTGGTATCAAAGACAGTTGCTATAAAAGTCCCACATTGCTACTTCTTTCTGTTTCTTTGATAAATATTCTAAAGATGATTACATGAGCATTGGTGAGCTTTGACTCTTTAGGTAGCTTAGATTTATCTCTAAATCAACTCTAATTCTAAATCTATGATGAATTCTTCAAAACAGTAGGAACCCCCAAAATAAACTGGGATAATAGCAAAAAAAGAATTCTCCTGAAAAGTCATTTCTATTAGTCAGTTTGAGTGAATCATTTTCAAACTGTTTGGTCATTTTATTTGAATCAAAGCCTAATGAAGAATTAAAATGATACGACCCTGTTACAGAGCACATGATTTCAAGGCAAACAGTTTGACACTGACACATTTGTAAGAAAATAGCTTATTTACCCCAAGCATACCTTCCACTCTGAAGCTGGATGTGGAGGGTGGTGAATGGTTCTACACGAATGAGATAGTGCATGACCCCCGCAGAGTTTGAATAGTGAGTTCCATAATGAAATTTATCAATTGTTCCCATAGGATCCTCAAAATTTTCATATCTAAAAAAAGAAACTACAGTTTTATAACCATAATAGCAAAATGACACAAGAGGATCTAAGTTAATGGGATGAAAACAGGTTTTTTTAAAAGTCATTGTTCATATGCTTCATTATCAAACTATGTATTTGTATCATCATGTCATATAAACATATGGGAAAAGTTTTATTCCTTAATACTTTTTCCAAACAACATCACCAACATGGGATTCTGAAAAAAATTTGTATTATATAATAATACTATACGTTCACTGTGGAAAATTATAAAGCAGAATTAAAATAGAAAAAAACTTCAACTATAATTCTACTCTTAAGAGATAATTACCATTAACTTGATGAATATTTGTCTCTTCTAATGTATAAGTTAATACACAGTTTTTCTTTCTGTTAGCATAGGGGATCAAATTCAGATTCTTGCACACACTAGGAAAATGTTCTACCACTGAGCTACACTTCTAGCCATGCAAATATTTTTCAACATAAAAGTGTTATACATAGTTAGAAACAGTGATGCATACCTATAATCCCAGTATTCAGAAGTATAAGGAAGGAGGATCACAGGTTCAAGGCCAGGTTAGGGCAATTAAATGAAATCCTGTCTCAAAATAAATTTTTAAAAAAGGGCTAGGGATGCAGCTCAGTGGTACAGCCCTGCCTAGAAAGGGCACAGCTCCTGGTTTTGATCCTTAGTACTGGGGGAAAAATATGTACATAATATTTAATACATAAATCTTATATTTTAATAATCTGAATCTATTAACATCTTTCCAAATGAGGTTTTTTTAGTTTTTTAGTTGTAGATGGACACAATACCTTTATTTTATGTATTCATTTTTATGTGGTGCTGAGAATTTAACCCAGTGCCTCACACATGCTAGCCAAGCACTCTACCATTGAGCCACATCCCCAGCCCCCAAAATGATGTTTTTAATGGATAGGTGGAATTGGACTGTAAAAATGTGCCACAGATCAACTATTTCTTACTTTTAGACATTTAGATTAGTTCCATTTTTTCTGTTATAAGCAATGTGATAATAAGATATCCTTCTGTGGCCAAGTTAATGGACAAATATATGGAATACTGCTGGGAGCCATTAGCCAAGTAGGTATGACAATTTCCTTGCCAGCGTACCCCATGTTGCTGACATGTTGCAGCGACATTGAATGTAGGTGACCTTGCTCAAGGACCAAGGCAGATTAGGGTGTTCCCGGTTTAAGATAGTCGTGTTTAGGGCGTTCCCAGTTTAGGTTCCAGGTTTAAGGTTTAAGATTATTCCTGCTGGGAATAGGGCGTATCCTGCTGCCTGAGTTCCCCTTGAGTTCTCACAGGATTCAGACAGTTTTTTGGGAGAGAGAAGCCCAGTGGAGGTGAATTTGGGCAGAGAACGTGGACTTGGGCAGAGAACGTGGACTTCCCCAGAACGTGATTGTAGACGGCTGGTGTGAGTTCGGGAATAAAGAGTTGCTGTTTGAATCTACAAGCTGTGTGGTGGCTCGTGATTGTGTGCCCAGCCAGACTGCGGCATTTGTGCCCAGCCAGACTGCGGCAGAATACTAATAAAAAAATGGTAGAAAATAAAAGCTTAGTAATCCAAATGTAAAAGAAACAGGAGATGATATATAGGAAAAAAGGCTAAACAAGATTATTATCAATGGATATACAGTGATTCTGCAAGCTTATCATTAATACATGTATGACTGATCTGAATGACGACATGTGAATTAGTGTGTATAAAATATGAATAAGAATGAATAGTGGACTGGGGTTGTGGTTTGGTGGTAGAGCGCTTGCCTAGCAGGTGTGAGGCACTGGGTTGCTAGCACCATGCTCCCCTTCCCTACCCCACTATGAATCAGCCTCCTTATATCAGCACCACATATAAATAAATGAATAAAATAAAGGTCCATCAACATCTTTAAAAAAAAAAAAGGAATAAACTGTGTTTTGGAAGAAATAAACCATAAATTTTTTAAACCAAAGCAGTATAGTCAGTTATTTGAATCCACAGGTTCTGTATCTTCAGATTCAACCAACTGCAGATTGAAAATATTAAGGAAAAAATTTTGTCTGTACTGAACCTGCACAGACATTCTTCCTTGTCATTCCTTAAACAATATAATATAGTAACTATTTACAGTGTATGAGATATTATAAGTAATCTAGAGATGAGGTAAACTATATAGGAAGATGTGCAAGAAGAGTATATGCAAATTCTAAGCCATTTTATATAAGAAACAAGCATTTACAGAATTTAGTATTTGCTGGGGTCCTGGAACCAATCGCCATGGATACCAAGGGATAACTGTAATCAGTTCATCAAGTTTAGGTCAACTTACTATTTAGTGGAATAAAAAATAATTTGTCAAAGTCATTTGTTCACATGCAAAAATAAGACCATCAAACTTTAGAACAAGTTGCAGCCTTGAATACCAATAAAATAAGCTATTTATATTAAGTATTCCCTGTGGGATGTTGGTTGAAAACAAAACTTTTGGTTATTGTCAGGAAAAAAAAAAAAAGTCTGACTAGTTACAGTGACAGAATACACAAATATACAACAAAGCTCCCTTGGTAAATCAAATAATAACATTAAACATAATGAAGAAAATACTGGGAAAGATGGCAAAGAAAAAGTGAAAAGAAAAATTCATAGTCTACTTTCGAATTAATCTATAAGAGAGTTCATTGCCCTCATTAGTAGAAATCTGAAGTCATTCACAAATTTACAGGGAAAAGAAGGGACATTAATATCAAATTATTCTTTTTCTTATTAATTATTTAAAATTTATATATGACAGCGGAATGCATTACAATTTATACTACATATACAGAGCACAAATTTTTTATATCTCTGGTTGTATACAAAGAGTATTCACACCAATTCGTGTCTTCATACATGTACTTTGGATAATGATGTCCATCACATTTCACCATCCTTGCTAATCCCATGCCCCTCCCTTCCTCTCCCACCTCTCTACCCTATCTAGAGTTTGTCTATTCCTCCCATGCTCCCCTTCCCTACCCCACTATGAATCAGCCTCCTTATATCAGAGAAAACATTCAACATTTGTTTTTTTGGGATTGGCTAACTTCACTTAGTGTGATATTCTCTAACTCCATCCATTTACCTGCAAATGCTATGATTTTATTCTCTTTTATTGCTGGGTAATATTCCATTGTGTATATATGCCACATTTTTTTTTTTATCCATTCATCTATTGAAGGGCATCTAGGTTGGTTCCACAGTTTAGCTATTGTGAATTGTACTGCTACAAACATTGATGTGGCTGTGCCCCTGTAGTATGCTGTTTTTTAAATCCTTTGGGTATAGACCAAGGACAGGGATAGATGAGTCAAATGGTAGTTCCATTCCCAATTTTCCAAGGAATCTATATACTGCTTTCCATACTGGCTGCACCAACTAGCAGTCCCACTAGCAGTGTATGAGTGCATCTTTTCCCCCACATCGTCACCAACACTTATTGTTGTTTGTATTCATAATAGCTGCCATTCTGACTGGAGTGAGATGAAATCTTAAGAGTAGTTTTGATTTGCATTTCTCTAATTGCTAGCAATGATGAACATTTCTTCATGATCTACCCTGTCATCTTCTATAAGCTGCTAATAAAGGATAATCTGAGCTCCTGGGGTAGATCATGAATAAATAGAACTACCATAAAATTTTGCTTTTCTTAATAAAATTATTTTCTAAATTTTTACTCATTTCATTATTCTTCATTGATGTTATTTTGAATAATAGATTAGTATTAATTTTGTATTTTTTCAAAATATATCAGATGAATATTTATACATATTGTACTGGTAAGTTATGAAATCTAAAATAACTATCTGAGATAAAAAAATTTCAAAAACCTACTACACATTAGCGTATATTTACTTGAAGATGAAAAGCATTTTGGGGCAATAGCAATTTAACTTTGGTGAAGAAAGAAAATCAACAGAAATATAATTACTTGAAGAGCTACCAAAATACTTAAGAAAATTTAGTGAAGCGATTATCAGACTGATTATCAAAATTAGTCATACATTAAAAACAGATAACATTTGGTTGATCTTGGAAGAAATCAATACAAATTCAAATAAACAGAGTTTTCCTAAAAAGGGTTATAAAACACTTACTTTTCTCTCATAGCTTTGGCATTTTTATCATTAACTACTCCAATTGGTTTGGAAAGATCTCGAAATACAGTGGGGTTATTAAGATCCAACTCTTCTGAAGTATAATCTTGTAAAATCCAAGGAAACTAAAAAAAGTCACAATTTACAACTTAGACATTCCTTACTAGAGAAGCTAATATCCCCATATTCAATATCAAATGCTTACATAAAGACAGAAAGATATAGTCTCTAAAAATACCTTTCCTCATTGCAAATACTTTAAATATTCATCTTTTTTTTTGCGCTGCTGGGAATAAAGAAAATATTCATCTTTAGTTCAACAGAGTATTTTCTATAATTCCACTGGAACATTTTCAATGAAGTAAAAGAAAATGGCTTTTACTTTTTCATTATTCTTCATATTTATATATTTCTTGAAAATATCAGGGGAGAAAATATACATAAAGGTAACAAGGGTGTGTTTATACCTGTGTGTGAGTGTGTGTGTGCTTGTGTACGCTGCACTAGGAATCAAACTCAGGCGCTCAAACATACAAGGCAAGCATTCTATCACTGAGTCTCCAGATACGTATATTAAAAAATAAAAAAGGATCATGCATATAGTTTTCTATATTATAAAACTGAAAGGTAATTTAATATTTATGACATTTTTACAAAACTTACCACAGGATATTGTGCAAGGTCATTATAGGTTCGTCCTGCTATTGTATTTATTTGAATGAGGTAGTCAAAATTTGATATCTCTCTGTTCACCCATTTCTAGACAGTATGAAAAAGAGCAATAGCAGAATTATATAATCTATATCTCTTAGAAACTGGCAAGTATTACCAACAAGACCAATGCAATCTTTTGTGAACATTATCTCTACCTACTTGATAAATGGATAAAAAGAAGCTTAAAATGGAAATAAATCACTTTTCCTCACTTTTTGTTTCCTTTTAAAATATATCTCTAGGAAACAAAAACTGAACATAAATTTTATAATATAGTCTAAGGAGTCTTTGATAAGAATTAAGTCTTTAAATGCTTTATTTGAATATCTTAAAATTTTAAATTTTCAAAGGACCATCCTACTTGAAAATTTACATATGTATTAAAAAATATTATTGTGATATACTAAAACTACCCTTAATATGGTAAAACTTAATATACCATAAGCTAGTATTACTTCAACAGTATATTAGCTATCCAAAGAAAACTACCATTATAAAGCAATTATAGATGAGATTTTACCTATTAGGTAGAAAATTTTCTAAGGAAAGAGATGATTATTGTTTCTGATGAATTGCCTCCCTATACCTAGCCTTCTAATTACTATACACAGTGGGAGCATGCTTGAGTTTTGCTGACAGATTAGTATTAACTTTACCATGTGCCTTAAGCAAAACATATAGTGAACAGTGAGAAATAGAACACACACACACACACACACACACACACACATTTGCAATTATATATATTTACACTTAAAGAATGCCCAACTGTTTTAAATGCCAGGTTGAAGAATCAATACTTAACCAAGTATATTATATAGGCAAAAGAGAATGTACTTTATTAAGTAAAGCTTATTTCACTGGCAATAGTAACATGACTGGTATTGTATATAGCTCATGGTAAGGTTTAGCACACATGAGGCCCTGGGTTCAATCTCCAGCACCAAAAATAAAGAAAAAAGAGAAAGAACTGCTGATAACTCTAGAATGAGACAAAAACTTAAGAAAGATGAATATCTGTCAGGAAAAAGAGCTATACTGATTAAGAAACTACTAACAATCCTAGAAAGCAAAAACTAACAGCTTTCCTTTGGGTTCTAGAAGTACAAATTCAAAACATATTGAGATTATAAGAGGGAACATAATTCAAGAGAGCATTAATTAGCGTTAGCTGGTAAAAGGGCAATTTTTTGTTTACCTTTTCCAGGGCACTTTTCCTATTTTTCTTTTTTTTTCTTCTTCACTCATGTACTATTTTTATTTAAAAACTAAAAGTCCATATTATTTGTTTAAAAAGACAAAGTTACTAAAGGGTATACCCATAAAATGAATGATATGGCAGCTGAAGGGGTAAGAAATTGGTATATGTGAAGGAAACAAAAGAAGATTTAAAGAATTCAAAAGATCAGACGTAATGAAAGAATAATAGTTGTAATAATCAAAAGAAAATAATTGCAAGAATCAAGTTTTACTTTTAAGAAAAATTTCTGATATAAAATGAACAGTGACTCAAAAATTCCCTACCTGTGTCAATCCTGATGCTTTGAATAATTCCTGTGGTGATCTTGTTCCATAACTATTTGGAGAATGAAGTGACAACAGCCTACTATACACTTTGTTTCTAACCTACAAAATATACCATTATGTAGTTTAAAAATTGCTCAACAAACTTGGGTTATAGTCTTTGTAACAGCTTTATTGAGACACAATTCACCTTTTTAGTATAATCAGAGCAATGCAACTATCACCATTATCTAGCTTTAGGAAATTTTCATCACTCCCCCACCAACAGAAAACCCTTATTTATTAGTAGTTATTCCCAGTTCTGCCTCCTTATCTCCTTAACACCACAAGTCTAATTTCTATCTTTTTTTAAATTAGTTGTTCAAAACATTACAAAGCTCTTGACATATTATATTTCATACATTTGATCCAACTGGGTTATGAACTCCCATTTTTACCCCATATACAGATTGCAGAATCACATCGGTTACACATCCACGTTTTTACCTACTGCCATACTAGTGTCTGTTGTATTCTGCTGCCTTTCCTATCCTCTACTTTCTATCTTTACGGGTTTGCTTATTCTAGACATGTCATATAAACAGTGGATTATGGTTTTAACTTCTCTACTCGAACTTCCTAGCCTACAAAATTACAAGCCAAATTAACTTCTATTCTTTTAAATTACTTGGTCTCAGATATTTTGATATAGCAACATAAAATGGCAGTTGGTAAAGTTACACCATCTAGCTTTTGCAAAAATTGTACTGTATAATGGAAAAAGCATTAGATTTGAAGTAGAAAACTTGCTCAAGTCTGGCTGAAATTTAGTTCTGTGGGCTGGGGTTGTGGTTGAGCGGTAGGTCCCTTGCGTAGCATGTGCAAGGCCCTGGGTTCGATCCTCAGCACCACATAAAAATAAATAAATAAAATAAAGTGTTGTGTCCAACTACAACTAAAACAATAATAAAAAAATTAGCTTTGTTATTTCCTATCATTTTGGAAAATAGAACAATTTAGTAACTTTTATTTGTAATAAACATAATTTCTACCCTTACTGTGTTGTGAATTATTCAAAGCTATATAAATGTAAAGTAATAAAATTCACTTTTGAACTTTAGTTGGACCAAAGTCCCATTAGAGCTTACTAGCTGGAAAATCACTTCAAGCTAATACTTTGGGATTGTCAGAAAGGTAGCATACCTCCTTCTTGAAATTTAGAAAATAGTTGGATTGATCAACATGAAAAATCTCAAGAGCTGATCTCCTTAAGTTGTAGCGCCGTAAGTGAATCTCACGAATTTGAGAATGAGGCCACTTGAAATCAAAACCTACTCCTGAAAATAGAAAAAAAATCTTTTTAATTACTCATACGCAGAAAGTATCTTCTTGTTCCTGTCAAGGTAACACTTAGGGAAAAGGGATTGTCGATTATAAAACCATTTATTAAATTTAAAGGATGTTTAAACTATTTCTTTTAAAACTATTTTAAAAGTTCTATAGTTCTTCTACTGCCTACCCACGAAAATAGAAAATATATTCTATCTTAGAAACCTTTTTAATGTTGACATTTTATTCATTTAAAAAAGTTTTTAGTTATCAATGGACCTTTGTTTTATTTATTTATTTATACACAGTGCTAAGAATCAAACCCAGTGCCTCAAACATGCTAGGCAAGTGCTCTACTTCTGAGCTATAAACCCAGACTTCTATGTTGGTATTGTAAAGATATAATCAGCCTTTTATTATTACATGAAGGATTAGGTAAGAAATTTTTATAAAAGTATACTTTCAAAGGTATGATAAATTAAGATTGTCTTTTACAGCTTAAGTTTATTAAAATCCCCTCAAGCTGAGTCTTTCAAAGTAAATAAAACATAAAAGCATTCCCCCTTTAACACTGAATAAATTTAAACCCATAATGAGTTACCATTTTTAATTTTACACAACAGACTTTCACTGTCCCATCTTATTATATTCTTCTTATTTAATTATTGAATATAAATTATTTCCCCAGAACTCCTTACCATCTTCTTTTTCAATGCTGCCATCATGGAAGTAAATGTGTTGTGTAGTGATTTCTAATCTGCCAGGAATTACATCAATTATTGTAATCAATTCACAGTCTTCTGTCAACACCAATTTTTCTTTTTGATCCTGCTCTTCTTTCTCATCACTAAACATATTTAAAAAAATAAATAAATAAAAACTCCACCCATCAATTTATCCTGCTTAAATGGAAAAAAATAAACCTTATGTATATAAACATAGTGAAATACCTATAAGAAACACTCTAGTTCATATTAAATTACTTAAATATTAATTTTATTGTCCAATGATTCAATTTCATGAACAATATGCTTCACATTTTAATTTTATATGACCCATTTAAGCAAAACAGTAAATAACACAACAGGCAGAAGACAGTTAAAAATGTAGGAATAGGGCTTGGATGTGGCAAACTGGTAGAGCATTTGCCTAACATGTTTGAGGCACTGGGTAAGATCCTCAGCACCATATAAAAATAAATAAACAAATGAAATAAAGTTTTAACAATGCAGCAACATTGGTCATGTCATTTTAGTTTTACTGGAGATAATATTTCTGTGTTCTGGAGCACATGAATTGACCCAGGGAATATATAAATCTGTGAATAAAAGAGCATATTATTAGTGGTTTTCTTAAAAAATATTTTTGTAGCTATAGATGGACAGATGCCTTTATTTTATTCGTTTATTTTCATGGGGTGCTAAGGATCGAATCCAGTGCCTTACACATGCTAGGCATGCACTCTGCGACTGGACCAGCCCCAGCCCATTCAGTGGCGTTTTGTAGATAATTTTAAGTACTTTTTAAAAATATATTTTAGTTGTAGACGGACACAATACCTTTATTTTACTTTGACTTTTGCCCCCCGCTCCCAGGTACTAAGGATTGAACAAGGGACTTTGAGCATGCAAAGCTAGTGCTCTTCATTTGAGCTACATCTTCAGCCTTGAGATGGGTCTTGCTATGTTGCTGAGGTTGACCTTGAACTAGTTGGGATTACAGGAATGTACTACTGTGCTCAGCATCTAATTACGATTTTTAAACTGTAAAAGAGATTGTGAGACTAATTAAAACTAGAGTATCACCATTAGAGCATCCTCCTGACAAAGGATGTAGAAATAATACAAAGAGTTATTGTTGCATACCCTTGTATTAAAGGAATGTTATCATTTATATTTGTTAGAAGGAGTAACTAGAAAGGGAGTTTCTTCCAGTTCCCTAGGTAACTTTAATTGCTGGGTAGGTAAAAAAAAAAAAAAAAAAAAAGGGAAGCCCTCCTTCACAGGAGAATGTTATTCAGGAAAATCTCTCAAGCCAAGCCAAGTGTGTGTTTTTGTTTTGGTGGTACTGGGGATTGAACCAGGGGCTTGCACATGACAGGCAACTGCTCTACCACTGAGCTACATTATTGGCCTAATCCAGCTGTTCTTTAGGCCTAGATTTTTTTTTTAATTGGTAGACACTGATTATACATAAAAGATACTTCACATATGTATTGTGCCTAGGATAACAATGGCTAAGTCTAATTTTGTTTCCAATAGATTTTCATGAGAATACTCTACCAGTATCACCAACTTACCTGGTAATATTACAACCCTTTATTTAAAGCTAGAGCATTAAAAAAATTGCTGGAAAGAATGTTTTCTTAAACAGTGAAATTTTAATATTTACAGTAATAAATGAAATAGTGAGTAACTTAAAAGAAAAAAATAGAATGAAGGTTATTTATATTCAACAACAGAGAATGTTTTGGTTCTTCAGTTTAAAATTAATGAGTCTGACATCTAGTAAATTCATGCCAGAAGTGAGGTATTCAAACTGCTGAGAAAAAAATCTTACAAGAATTTCATATCTAGTAAAAGCATCCATAATTAATGAAGGCAATGGTTCTGGGACACCTAGATAATCACATGCAAAAATGTGAATTTGGACCCTGAAATCACATTATATACAAGTAAACTCAAAATCTATGAAACTCACAATCTATGTATGTAAGAATAAAAGAACAAAGCTCTTAAACCACACGACTAAACCTGAATGACTTTAGATTAGGCAAGGGTTTACTACATATGTCACTAAAAGCGTAAGAAACCAAAGAAAACAATAAATCACTTCATCAAAATTAGACTTCTCAAACTTACTATTATGTATTAAAACAAATTCATTTAATTATCAGCCAGGATGACTACCATTTCTGTTTAACCTGGCATGTATTTCTTCTTTGTATCAAGATTTTCTATTCAGTGTGTCAGTAAAGTAATTATGAAAACAAAACAAAACAAAAAATTAGACTCTCTACAAAGGACGTTATTAAGAAACTGACAGCCTAGTACAGTGGTGTGTGCTTGTAGTTCTCCTAACTACTTGGGAGGATGAGGCAGGAAGATGGCTTTAGGCCAGGAGTGGTTTGAGACCAGTTTGTGTACCATGACAATACTCTATCTGAAAGGGGTATGTGTGTGTGTGTATGTGTGTGTGTGTGTGTGTGTGTGTCTAATATATATGCATGTATACTTAAAAAAATAAAGTGAAAGACAACCATCCAATGGAAGAAAATATTTGCAAATCATACATCTGATAAGGGGCTTGTATCTAGCATAAATAAACAACCCTTAGAACTCAATAATAAAAAGACAAAATAATACAATTTAAAAATTGGCAAAAGATTTGCATAGACATTTCACCAAAGAAGACATATTAGCATACAATAAACACATGAAAAAATGTTCACCAACATTAGGCATTAGGGAAATGCAAATGAGATACTATTTCAAACCACCTGGATGGCTATACTATGAAAAGGTACAAGATTTCCTTTTGGGATGATAAAAATGTTCTGTAATTAGATTGCAGAGATGGCTGCACAACCTAGTGAATATTAAGAAATCAGTGAAACATATATTTCACAATAGTAAATTTTAGGTTAGATGAAGTATAAATTGATTTTAAAAAGGAGTCAAGATAGGTGTGTAATCCCAGCTACTCAGGAGAATGAGGCAAAGGATCCCAAGTTTGAGACCAGCCTGGGCAACACAGTGAGACCCTGCCTTGAAGGGAAAAAACAACAAACGAAAAATAACAACAAAAAAAGCCAAAAAGTGAACGCAATGACTTCCATAGGTAACAAAAACTAAGAGAATTTGTGGCTATCAGACCTTTCTTTAAAAAATACTAAAGGGGGGCTGGGGATGTGGCTCAAGCGGTAGCGCGCTCGCCTGGCATGCGTGCGGCCCGGGTTCGATCCTCAGCACCACATACAAATAAAGATGTTGTGTCCGCCGAGAACTAAAAAATAAATATTAAAAAAAATTCTCTCTCTCTCCCCACCCTCTCTCTTAAAAAAAAAAAAAAAGAAATACTAAAGGAAGACCTTCAGGCTGAAAGAAAATAAATGACGTCAGATGGTAACGAAATACATACAACCCAAGGACACAAGACTGGTGACTACATGGAAAATATAAGTCTAAAATACATAACAATAGTAACATGAAGGAGAAATTAATATATTTTATATTTATATATTAAAATTTTTGAAATATGACTTAAGGTATTTAGGTCATCAATTTCTTCTTTAAGGTGCTCTATTAAATGTATATTAAATCTATACATTTAAATTGCCAAGTTTACTGGCATAAAGTTGCATTATTATTCTTTTTAATTACTTTTATATTTGTAGCAATATCTCTTCTTTCATTTTGATACTGGTAATTTATGCTGTGTTCCCCTTATTCCTAATCAACCTGGCTAGAGGTTTATGTTTTTCTGCTCTAGATGTATTTATTTATTTTTTTAATGGATACAATACCTTTATTTTATTTATTTATTTTTTTATGTGATGCTGAGGATCGAATCCAGTGTCTCATACATGCTAGGCAAGTGCTCTACCATTGAGCACAACCCAGCCCTCTAAGCTTATTTTTAAATAAACAGGTGTTTCTTTTTTTAAAAATCTTTTTTTTGTTTTCTCTTCCACCAATTTCTTTTATCTATATTTTTTCTTCTGCACTTACATTTTGTGTTGCATATTTCTTATTTCTTTTGGCAGTGCTGGGGATCAAACGCAGAGCTCTATGCATGCTAATCAAGCACTCTGCCACTGAACTACATCCTCAGCCCCTCTGCTGCATATTTCTACCAAAACACAGTTTTAGCTACATCTCACACATTTCATACATTGTTTTCATTTCCTTTTGGTTCAAAAAAAATTTTTAATACCTTTATTTATTTATTTTTATGTGGTGCTGACGATAGAACCCAGCACCTCGCACGTGCTAGGCAAGTGCTTTACTGTTGAACCACAACCCCAGCCCCAGTTCAAAAATATTTTAGGTTGAGTTCCAAGTGATCCAATTCTAAGAAACCTAACTCCATAATCTCAGTAAGCTCAGATAATAACAGTTAATATAGTGTTAACTATTGGACGGTAGAAATACATGATTAGAGGACTGGGGATGTGGCTCAAGCGGTGGTGAATGCGCCTGGCGTGCATGTGGCCCGGGTTCGGTCCTCAGCACCACAAACAAACAAAGATGTTGTGTCCGCAGAAAACTAAAAAAAAAAAAAAAAAAAATTAAAAATTCTCTCTCTCTCTTAAAAAAAAAAAAAAAGAAATACATGATTAGAATTTCAAGCAAATTCAGTTTTGCAATCCCATTTCTTAGAATAAAATCATTTCAAATTCTTTCAAGTACTTATACATACATATTTATTCTTGCTGTTATGTCCTCTTCAAGAAGTTCTAATTTATCTTCTTCCATATCACTAACCTTAACTTGTTTCACTACTTCCAAAAGCAATGAATCGCTGGAAGGCTGTGAGTGTTGGACACCTGTTTAAACACAAAATATTTATTTATTTATTTATTTGTTTGTTTATTAAATATTTATTTTTTAGTTTTAGGTGGACATAATATCTTTATTTTATTTTTATGTGGTGCCGAGAATCAAACCCAATGCCTCACACATGCTAGGTGAGCGTGCTACCACTTGAGCCACATCCCCAACCCCGAAACACAAAATATTTATTAAACATGAAATAAAAAATAGTATTTTGGTCCTTCTATAATTTTTTTCTTTTCACAATACTTTCATTTTATTTATTTATTTTTATATAGTGCTGAGGATTAAACCCAGTGCCTTGCATATGCCAGGAGAGTGCTCTACCGCTGGGCCACAACTCCAGCCCTAGTCCTTCTATAGTCTTGTTAATCCAATAATATGTGTTATAGGAAAGTACTTTGATTTAGAATATGATATTTGATGATGATTATAAAATTATTATTATTAAACAAGTGGCAAAAGGAATAAACGTTTTAAAAATACAGTAGCTATTATGATTTGATTCACAAATAGGTCAAGTACTCTAATATGTACAAAGAACCAATTTTATGTAGATGACTGACACTACTTCATTAACCATACCTTAATTCTAAAGCACGTCAATGATTAAGTAAAAAAACAATCACTCTTACTATATTAATGTAATAGAACTATTTTATTATACATTTACACTAAAGAAATACTAAGAAATTATTAAAACCTTAAGTGTTACTTTCTGGAGCACATGGGATTTAACAGATAAATCTCTCTCTCTCTCTCTCTCTCTCTCTCTCTCACACACACACACACACACACACACACACTCATACATATATAGGAAAGTTATATCACTGTTGACCGTCTTATCCTTTTTAAATAAATCCTGGGAGTTATCCCGAAGGAATATTCATTTTCCTTCAGACTTGCAGTGACCATTAAGAAGCACCAGTCTTGTCCTTTTACACACACAGTAAGTATAACATATTTTATAAACTAAACATTTTGTAGGAGGGCAGGGCTAGTATACCGTAAGAACATGAGCCGTGAGGTGGTACATCTACATTCAAATTCTGATTTGCCATTTATAGCCTTATGACTCCTCTGACTCTGTGTTTTCTTAAATGTGAAATGAAGAATGCATCATAGGGTTGTTATAAATACGAAAGGTAGTACATATAAAATACCTGGTACCCATTAAATATAAAATAAGATAGCTATTATTACATTTATCTCTTAACAATTTGATTGGCATGAAGAGAACAGTAATAACAAATTATATACATACATACATTATATAAATATATATATAATTATATACATATATAATTTAAAGGTAGGAGTGAAAAAATTATGTATTTAAGTATAAATAAAGATATTCTATTTATGTAAAATTAAAATAATTCATACTAACATAACATTGCAAATAACAAATAATAAAACACTATAAAGGATGATAAATTCCCTCTTCTCAAGTGGTATTATTGCTCAGAGAGACAAAATGCATCAACCTAATGTGGAGTTGCATTTTTCTGGGAAAATCTGCTTTGATCACACCTTTTACTACATGGTACATAATCTTCCTAGAATAAGTTTATAACTATTTCTACTGTATACATTTTTTCATGTAATGTAATATACGTCAAAATTTCCAATAAAAACAAAACAAACACAATGTCGAGACAGTCTGATACAAACAGAGAACTGATCTTATGTAGATAAATGACACTATTTCATTAGGAGCATAAATTGAAAATCTGACGAAATACTGGTAGAGGAAGTACAGCAAGGAGGCCAGTTGGGAAACTTATACAAAAGGGAATGAAACTAGGAAAAACATTCAAAGATATATAAGAGCTATAATCTATGAACAAGGTACCTAAAGAGCTATTATATGCAGGGGATTAAGACAGATGCAAATAGATTCACAGAGAACATTAATTATTTTAATTTGAATAACTAATATATGGAGACACTGATAACTTGTTACAAGACAGAAAAGAAACAAGCTCTAGGAGAAGGAATATACAAATGAATAAAGAAAATTTGGTTTTAGATGTCATATGGAAGCTGTGGAAGAGGTATCTTCATAGGCATTTAGAAACACTGATCTATACTGCACAGATGATATGACACTACATTGTGTACAACCATAGAAATAAAAAGTTGTGCTGCAATTGTGTACAATGAATCAAAATGCATATAAAAATAAATAACTAAAATAAAGTTATTGTGTTCATCTACAACTAAAAAAAAGATGAAAAGTAAAGGGTAAGCAGCACAGCTAAGAAGGGAATATACTTACAGAGGAGGATAACTACTAAATATTTCAGAGAAAATAGAATCAATGTAAGGACTAAAAATGTGAACTTGGCAATCAGAAAAGGGCAAATCTAAAAGTAGGCCCAAATCTTCATCTTGTCGGATTAGGCCCCGACTTCCTTAACAAGATTCCTAAAGCACAAGAAATAAAATCAAGAGTTAATAAATGGGATGGACTCAAACTAAAAAGCTTCTTCTCAGCAAAAGAAACAATCAATGAGGTGAACAGAGAGCCTACACTTTGGGAGGAAATTTTTGCCACACACATGTCAGATAGAGCACTAACCTCCAGGATATGTAAAGAACTCAAAAATACAAAAAACATAATACCAAAAAAGCAAACAACCCAATCAATAAATGGGCTAAGGAGCTGAGCATACACTTCTCAGAAGATATACATTCGACCAACAAATATATGAAAAAATGTTCAACATCTCTAGCAAATAGAGAAATGCAAATCAAAACTACTCTAAGATTTCATCTCACACCAGTCAGAATGGCAGCTATCAAGAATACAGTCAACAATAAGTGTTGGCAAGGATGTGGGGGAAAAGGCACACTCATACATTATTGGTGGAACTGCAAATTGATGCAACCAATATGGAAAGCAATATGGAGATTCCTTAGAAGATTTGGAATGGAACCACCATTTGACCCAGCTAACCCACTCCTCTGTCTATACCCAAAGGACTTAAACTCAGTATACTATAGTAATGCAGCCACATCAATATTCATAGCAGCTCAATTCATAATAGCCAAACTGGAAGCAACTTAGATGCCCTTCAATAGATGAACGGATAAAGAAACTGTGGTATACATACACAATGGAATATTACTCAGCAATAAAAGAGAATAAAATTATGGCATTTGCAGGTAAATGGATAGAGTTGGAGAATATCATGCTAAGTGAAGTAAGCCAATCCCCAAACACCAAATGCCGAATGTTCTCTCTGATAAGTGGATACTGATCCATAACGAGGAAAGGGGAGGCATGGGAAAATGGAGGAACTTTGATTTGGCAAAGGGGAGGGAGGTGAAGGAGGGAGCACGGAGGTAGGAAAGATGGTGGAATGAGATGGACATCACTACCCTAGGTACATGTATGACTGCACATATGGTGTGACAGTGACACTACATCGTTTACAACCATAGAAATGTAAAGTTGTGCTGCAATTGTATACAATGAATCAAAATGCATTCTGTCTCATATACCTAATTAAAATAAATAAATTTTTTGTAAAAAGGGCAAGTCTAATGAAGAAGTAGGAACAAAAAAATTGTTTTTCTTAAACCAAATTATTTTTTTTAATTTTTTCTTTAGTTGTAGATGGACAAAATACCTTTATTTTATTTACTTATATGTGGTGCTTAGAATCAAACCCAGGGCCTCACGCATGCTAGGCAGGTGCTCTACCACTGAGCCACACCCCCAACCCCTTAAACCAAATTATTTTTAATGATAACTTAATAATATATTTTATTTTTGAATACTCAAATTCCATAGTTTACAAGTGTCTATGTTTCAAAACACACTTCACAAATCATCTATTTGCAATTCATAATGGATTTTCCATCAAAAAATATGTAAATATTGGTTAATTTAGTAGAAGAATCCATACTGTAATCACTATTTTGTATAACTGCAATGAGTTGCTTACAAAGCAGTACTGAGGTTAAGTGAAACAAAATAAGAAAAGTTATTTTTTAAAAAGAACAGTATGAATCAAATATATAAGTAATCAAAATACTTACATAGACAAAAAGGTAAGCGAAACATTTATAGTTAATTCTGAAATATATGTACTTGAGGGAACTTTACAGAGACCGATACTGCTATTTTTTTATTGTTGTGTTTGATCTACTATTTCCAGTTTCACAATGAGATATGCAAATTATTTTCTTCAGTACAGATTTATTATACCTGGAGTAAATTTTTTAAATAGGTATTGAGAAAAACTGAGATGGAAAAATAAATTTGTTTTCCTGGACTTAAAACAACTGAGAGGGTTGGGTATGTAGCTCAGCAGTATGCTTTCGGCCCTGTATTCAACTCCCACCAGAGAGAGAGATAGACAGACAGACAAATAGATAAAACAACTGAGACCAAGAAGAAGGGACATAAAATTATATCTGTATATATGTACAAAAGAGAAGGGGAGAAGGAAAGAGAGAATTAAATACCACTATTTAAACAATTTCTAGATTGAAATTATTCACCAAAAAATGTCTGCTATATGAGAAAGATATTTAAATTTCAAGAACTAGATAAAGTATATTAGACTCAGGATAGTGAGAGAGATAAGCAACAAATAATTGCTGCTATGTAAGATGTAATGGAAGTCAGTGTTCGTATTATGGATAGGGATAATATTTTGCATTAAGGAAAATCATCATAGCTGCCTTATTTGAGAATGTAAGACAATGATGGGCATCATGACTTCCTTGATTAATTTAAGGTATCAAATGTATTGGCTAATATGTTAAATCAAAAAAATAAGATCTTGGGGATGGGGTTGTAGCTCAGCGGTAGAGTGCTCACCAAGCACATGCGAGGCCCTGGGTTCGATCCTCAGCATCACATAAAAATAAGTAAATAAAATAAAGGCATTGTGTCCAACTATACCTAAAAAATAAATACTTAAAAAAATAAGATCTAAAAGTTGGCACTAATTTCATCTATAACCTATTCATTGAATACAAGCTGCAGAGGTGGCTATGGTAAAATAACCACTATTTAGTATACATATGACTCTGAATGACTTCACAAACAATATTATGGGGTATTTCACAGATCTATTCCCAAAAAGAAGAGAAATGACAAGTGAGATGGTTGGAAAGGGAGGGCTTCCTAAAAAGTAGTAGAAACCTCTTAAACTCTGTTTTGAAATACTGCTAGGTTAAATATGTTAATGTACTTTGCTCTATAAGAAGGCATTGGCTCATCTAAGATGTGAAGAGTCTAGAGTTCTTTAAAAATACTTTGTTTTTATAAACAAAGTTTATAATGGAAAGGCCTAAAAGATTGCTAAGAATTCTAATCATAATTAACATTAAGTTCTCTAAGGGAAAAGGACATTGTTTCATTATAAGACACATACCAATTGATCTGAAGTATAATTTTATATTTATAACTGTTTTTTCTTTGAGAAATTACAATAAATGGAAATATGACGTTAACTTAGATTTAGGCCAAATATAACTGTATTGAATTCATATAAACATTTATATATCGATTATAAAATGCCATCCTTCTTTCATAAGTAAATATTTAAAAAATAATGAATAAAGCAATAATAACCAGCCCACCAACACCCTGCATTCAACAAATAATTAACAGTCACTGGAACTTACCTAAATTATCTCTCAAGGCACTAGCTTCCTCATGGGTTTTGAAATTGTAATTTGGCACCAGTTTAAGTCTCATTCGGGAATAATTTTCCACATTAGCTAGTTTCCAGTGAATTGGATTCTGTTTCCTAAAAATATTCATAAGCAAATAAGTAAAAGTATTTAGCTTTGATTTACTAAGATTGGTTGACTAAAGCAGTATAAGAAAACATCAAATACTTTACATTTGGCTTAGTACCATTTTATAAAAATGTGTATCTAATTTAATCCAACCAACCATGAGAGAATTAAATTTGTTTATCTATACTTAATACAAGAAGAACCTAAGAGGCTCAACTATTTGCCTAAAATGCCATGAGGTTTACCAGTAGCAGAAATAAGAGGAACAGGGACTTTCAGAATGACAGCCTGATATCTTACTTTCTCTGTTGAGTCAAAGTTCTTAATTGACTATAAAAGGGTTTATATTTCCAAATACCATTTTAAAAATAAAATAATTTTACTACAAATAAAAACAGTAAAATTACAAATGGATAAAAGATCTGAATACAAGAGCTAAAACTATCAAAGAAAACAGGGATAAATTTTCATGACCTTGGACTTAGGAATGGTTTCTTAGATGACACCAAAAACATGCAACAAAAGGAAAAATTAGATAATTTGGACTTCAACAAAATTAATTTTTGTACATCAAAGACCACTATCAAGGGGCTGGGGCTGTAGCTCAGTGGCAGAGTGCTTGCTTGCCTTGCATGTCTGAGGCACTGGGTTCGAACCTCAACACCACATCAAAATAAACAAATAAAATAAAGGCATGCTGTCCATTTACAACTACTAAAACACATTTTTTTAAACAAAGATCACTATCAAAAATGTGAAAAGATAATCTACATATTTATGAATAATCTATCTGATAAAAATCTGTTATTAAGGGTTGAGATTATAACTGAGTGGAAGAGTACTTGCCTAGCATGTATGAGGCACTAGGTTTGATTCTCAGCAACACATACAAAAAAAAATAAAATAAAGGTCCATATACAACTAAAAAAAAAAAAAAGAATCTGTTATTAAGTCTATGTATACAGAGCTGGGCATGGTGGTACATACCTATAATCCTAGATACAAAGAAGGCTGAGGAAGAAGGACCGCAAGTTTGAGGATAGCCTGGGCAACTTAACGAGACTTTGTCTTAAAGTAAAAAAATAACAGGAGCAGGGGAACTGGGATGTTGCTTCATGTTAGAACATCCCTGAGGGTTCAATCCCCAGTTCTTGCAAAAATATATATGTAAATAAAAATGTAAATGAATATATCAATGAAAGAAGTTCTGACAAATCACCAAAAAAATCAAATAACCTAATTTTAAAAATGAGCTTAACAATCTAGTAGAATTTCTCCAAAGAATATATATAATTGGCCAAAAAGTACAAGAACGATGCTCAAGATCACTAGCAAAAGGGAAAGCAAAATCATAACATTTCACACCCACTAGGAGAGCCATTAAAAAAATCAGAAAATGACAAGTATTGATTAGGATGTGGAGAAACTGGGACCCTCATACATTGCCAGTAAGAACATAAAATGATACAGCTGATGGGAAAACTATTTGGCAATTTCTTAGTAATTTAATCACAGAATTGTATGATCCAGAAATTCCCCTTGTAGGGTATATACCCAAAAGGATTAAAAACACTTTTAAACAGTTATTCTGGTAGCACTAATTATAATACCTCCAAAGTGGGAAACAGCCAAATGCCCACTGACCAATGAATAGATAAATAAAGGGTGGTATATCCATATAATGAAATATTATTTGGCCATAAAAGAAAAAAAGTACTGATATATGCTGTAATATAAAGAAAGATATTATGCTAAGTGAAAAAAGCAGGACACAAAAGACCACATAGTGTATAATTCCATTTACATGAAATTTTTGGAAGAAGCAAATAAAGATAAAAAGAAGGCTGGTAGTTGTCAAGGATAGGTATCAAGTTTCCTTTTTAGAGTGATGAAAACATTCTAAAGCAAGACAGTGGTGATGATTGCTCAACATTATAAGTGAATTTAATGCCACCAAATTGTATATTTTCAAATGGTAAATTTATTTTAAATGTATTTTACCACATTTAAAAAAGCACTGCAGAAATGATAACACAGTAAAACAGAAGTGACTTACATCAACAAAATAAACTGTAAACTATTCAAATACATAGCACCATTAACCCTAGCTCAAAAAGGTAGTCAGAAAGACAGAAGTAAACTGGCTCAACACTGAATTGAATGTTCTATAATACAGCTTTTATCACAGGATAAAGGAAGAGAAATAACTGCATAACAACAACAACAAACAAAAAAAAATATACAGAAACCTCTAATCATTCCAAACCTAATTCACAAAAATAAGTTTTTTTAAAAAACATACAAATTGGAATGAAAATTAATACATTTTAAATCCTACCTTTCAGCCCAAGGTCCCCTTTCACATGTAAGATAGAGTCGCACTGCCTTCCAGTGTCTAAGACAGGCTAACTGTTGACTGCTTAGTTGTTTAAGCATATTATTATACCGCAAGTTCTCCTGGCGTGTTTTTCGATTAAATGGTTCCACGAAAAACTCCTAGAAGAATGGCAATAAAAAAGCGCTTTGAATCACAATTTACAATATTGTCAACTTGACCAATAAAATCACATAATATGGGTGGGGTTGTGGCTAAGTGGCAGAGCACTTTCCTAGCATGTGTGAGGCACTGGGTTCGATCCTCAGCACCACATATAAATAAATAAAAAATAAAGGTACATAAAACAACTAAAAATATTTTAAAAAGAAATCACATAATATGAAAAGAAGTTGGTGACCAACATGTTTTTATTATTCCATTATAATAATATTCTTTGATGAAATATGATAATTCTAGCTATCATACATTTATTTTTTTAACTTAAAAAACAACCCCTAGCAATAAACATGTAAAGAACTTCAAACATGGAAAGTGTGTCAACAAGGGATTTTTAAAATTGGGTTAATTAACTTTCTACTATCAGGTGAAATAGTTTTCCTTTGATATCTTTTTATTTATAAGGAACGAGATTCAAGAATAATAATCACATTCCAATGGCCCAAAAGTCAATCCCAAAGACAATAGGTAAGTCTTTCATAATGAGAAAAGTCATTTGTTAGCAACTCTCTGGACAGCATCCTTGCTAGCAAATGAATTCATATACTTATTCCAGTTTTCAGGGTAAAAAAGACTGATAATAATTTCTACTAAAACGTATCTTTAATCCCTGAATTTAAAAATTTTATAGTTTTCTAAGAGATAAGTGGTAAAACAGTTTATCTCAAGATGACACTCATCTATTAGGATCTATAATACAGCATTAATTTGTTTGAAGCAAATCAATACTGAATTACATTAAAACGAACAGCTAAAGAACAAACATTTAGGCAGTATAGCAGTACACAGTTAAAAATATAAGCCCTAGAGTTAGATCTGAGTATAAATTTTAGCTACTACTCTAAGCTCATTCTCTTTTCTTTAAAAAAAAAAAAAAAAAAACATTTATTTTTACTTGTAGGTGGACACAATATCTTTATTTTATTTTTATGTGGTGCTGAGGATTGAATCCAAAGCCTCATGCATGCTAGGTCAGTGCTTTTCCTCTGAGCCACAACCCCAGTCCCAAATTTTCTTATCTCAATCTTTATTTTGTCCTAATTAATTTTCTGGGGGAAAATGTCCTAATCTGTTAAAGGAGGTTGACCATAACTATCATGAGAAAGATGAAGATCTAAAGTGCTTAATAAATGCCAGAAAAATAAATCTTCCTCAATAAATTGCAGCTATTATTAATATATTGTTAATGTAACTGTTACTTGATATGTAGAAAATCAATGATCTGGGCTATAACACTATCAAATTTAAAACAGATCATTTCTGAGAAAATTGAGGAAGTCAGGATAGCTCCATGAAAATCACACATCAATTTCATCAGAGTTTTAAAGTTAAAGCACATATGGATATTCCTAATAGGTGTTTGTAGAAAACTAAAGGTAAAATTATAGGGGAAATGTTGATGAGAATATAAAATGGTAGAACATCTGTCAGGGCAATTTAACATTATTTATGATAAGTACTACATACTATTATTTCTACCTATCTTAGGGAAAACACAAAAACATAACTATACAAAAGTTCAATACTATATAATAATAATGTAAAAAGGGAAAATAAGGTTCAACAATGGGAAATAAATATCTCATACAATAGAATACTATGTAGTCATATAATGGTACAGGAAGATAAATACAGTCCTTTTTTTCTATGGGTTCTGTTTCCATAGATTCAACCAAACGTGGATTAAAAATATTTAGGAAAACAAATGCATCTATATCAAACATGTACAGATTTCTTCTTGTCATTACCCCCTAAACAACACAAAAGTATAACAACCGCTGAAATAACATTTACATTGTATTAGGTATTATAAGTAACCTAGAGATGACAAAGTACAGAGGAGGATGTGCAAACATAAGATACATACATAAAAATACAGGAAAGATACAAACCAAAATGTTAACAGTGGTGAAATTACAAATATTTTATACTTATTTTATGGAATGATAATTTTCATTTGGTAATAAGAAAATTAGGAATAATATTATGATATAAGGAAATGGTAATAATGAGTAAGAAGGATAAAAGATCTCATATAGAACAAGGTCACTTCTCTGTTTAAACACACATACCAGCCACAAAAGGGGAAAAAAGATCACAAGATAGTACTCCAAAATATTAAAAAGATAGCAACTAAGTTATATTAGGAATTCTTTCATTTTCTTTTTAAAATTCTCAACATTTCTTATCAATATATTTTACTTTTATAACCAGAAAAAAATGGGGCATTAATCTGGTCCAAACTCCTTGTTTTATAGATATGGAAACTGGAGCTAGAGAGATTACGAGTTTTGCTTCCATGATTATCCAGCTATTATGTATGAAAGCTGGTACCATAAGCTGGTACCTTAAAAAGATGATGGGTGAGAAAGAAAGAAAAATGGATTGGAAAATATTACTCTTTTCAAGGCAGTAAAAACAATGCAAAAATTTTCCCATTTATTTATATCATCAAGTTTTTGATTATACATTTCTTTATTTTTCAATTCATCCTATGCTACCTTAACCAACCAACTATTCTCAAAGCAAGCTTTTATGCTTAACATAGAGTGCTGTTGTTGGCTGGATCCCCATCTTTGTACCTGTAGTAGACGATGTGTTCAGTTTGCTCTAGATACTGCGGCCTTCCAAGCAGCCACAGCTATGACTCAGAATCCACTGTGCATCTGAACTAGCAAGTGCCCCCAAGGCTACACCCAGCTACTTGGGCAGCAGGTAGCAACAGCGCAGAGGGAGCTGTGGAGCAAAGGTCAACCCATAGCATACGTGTTACAGCTATTGGCATGAAAATCATCAGTGGGAAAGACCTTAACTTTTTTTTTTTTAATTTTTTTTAGACGTTGATGGATCTTTATTTTATTCATATATTTATATGTAGTGCTGAGAATCGAACCCAGTACCTCACACATGCTAGGCAAGTACTCTCCCATTGAGCCACAACCCCAGCCCTTAACATTTAAAGAAATAATTTGTAGGGGACGGGTTGTAGCTCAGTGGTAGAGTACTTGCCTAGCATGTGTGAGGCACTGGGTTTGATCCTCAGCACCACATATAAATAAATAAATAAAATAAAGGTATTGTGTCCATCTACAACTAAAAATATTTAAAAAGAAAAAAGAATTTGTATGTATGAATGAATGAAATGTACCAGGGATATCCCAATATCAGTAAACAATTCTTTTTCTTATACCTTCTAAAGCTACATTCAGTTATAATTATTGGCTACGACACACTTGAGGAACTTGAAATACATAGTGTCAAAAAAATACTATGGTTGGGATCCTAAAGGCCCTCAAAGGTCATGTGATAAAGGCATGGTTGCCAGGTGGTGGCACTATTGGGAAGGTGATGGGACCTTTGAGATGTGGTGCCTAGTAGAAGGAACTTAGGCCACTGGGTGAGTGCTCTTGAAGGGAATGCCAGAGTCTCAGCCCTTTCTTCTTTTTTGCTTCCTGGCTGCTAGGAGGTGAACAAATGTCCTCCTCCATGTCCCTACAGGCAAAGTAACAGTGTTAAGAGATCATGGACTGAAACTACTAAAACAATGAGCCAAAATAAACCTTTCATCTTTATCTCAGGTGTTCTGTCACAGTAACAGACAACTGATTAAAACAAATAGTACTGAAAGGAAAATAAAGCTGACAACCTAGCAAAAATATCATACAAATGCTCTTTTTTTCATTTCAGAAATTAACTGATACCATTCCCTTGTCTTTTTCATAATTAATCTTTTTATTTATTTGTTTGAGGTAGTGGGGATTGAACCCAAGGATACTCTACCAATGAACTACATACCCAGCCCTTTTTAAATTTTTATTTTATTTTTTAAATTTCAAGACAGGGTCTTACTAAATTGCCCAGGCTGGCCTTAAACTTGCAATCCTCCTGCCTCAGCCTCCCAAGTCACTAAGAGTACAGGAATGTAACATATCAGCCAGCTCATAATTACTCTTGAAAAATGAGTTACATAGGTTTTTATACTTGGTGTTATTTGTATGTTTAATTGTAGCTATTGCAACACATATTGATTTAAACATCTTTTCATGGGTTTGACATTTATATTTCTTCTTTGTTGAAGAGTAATTTTAAATTATTTTGTCAATTTATTAATTGTATTTTTATAGGTAATTTTGTGGATTCTTTATTTTTACTCTGGACATAAATCCTTTGTCCATAATTTATTTGCAAATATTTTCTCCTAGTACATGGACTGTTTACTTACACTTTAATAGCATCTTACAACAACAAAAGTTTTTAATTTTGATTAAGTTCAGTTCATAAATATTTGTCTCTTATATGTTATGTCTTTGGTGTTTTATATAGGAACTCTATAACTCTAGGTCACACTTATTTTTTTTCTGTGGCTCCTTCTACAATAATTTATGAAGCTTGCCAGGTATGATCTTATTGATTTCACATTTAACTGTATAATCCATTGGAGTTATAATATGAAGTGAAATATGAAAAAAATAACACAATAAAAACTACGATATCCAATTGTTCCAGGATCATTTGTTGAAAAGAATGTTCATTCTCCACTGGATTGCTGTTACAACTTTGTCAAATTTTACATAAACCTATATATGTCTCGATTTCTATATTTTTCTATTTATTCTATGGGTTTATGTGTGTATTCTTGTGTCAATATCACACTGTTTTGATCAGTGAACTTAAAATACATCTTAAAATAGTAGCATCAGTCCCCTAATTTTTTCTTCTTTTCCAAAATTCCTATGTCTTTTCAAATTTTAGAAACTGTCTTTAAGCACAGAGAAACTTCCTAACATTTTAAAAAGTACTGCATTAAATCTAGTTTCTTACATTGATGCCTAAGTATTTTATTCTTTCAAAGCTATTGTAAATAGTATTCTTTAAAAAAATTCTGTTTTTAATTGTTCATTTCTCATAAATGGAAATATGAGTAAGTTTCATATTCTGATTTTATATCCTATAATCTTGCTAAACTCATAACAGGTTGTTAAAAAAAAACAGATTCCTTGGGATTTTCTACATAGAGAACCATGCTATCTGCAAATAGTTGTTTTGGTAAACAGTTTTATGTGAGTGCCTTTTATAATCTTTTCTAAAATAGTGACTACATGTAAGAAGAGTGGACATTATTACTACCTAGGTTCCCTATGTGAAGGGAAAGCCCTCAATTTTTCATCTCTAAATATGAAGCTAACTGTAGAATTTTTGTAGAGATTGAGATAGTTCTTCACTATTCCTGGCTTTTTAAAATAATTATTTTAGTTATAATAGACAAAATACCTTTATTTTATTTGTTTATTTATTTTTTATGTGGTGCTAAGGATAGAACCCAGTGACTCACATGTGCTAGGCAAGCGCTCTACCACTGAGCCACAACCCCAACCCCTATTCCTAGTTTTGATCATAAGTGGATGTTAAATTTTGTTGAGCTTTTTCTGCAACTGACATAATTTAGTTTTTCTTGACATGTCTATTAATGTGGTCACCTATATTGATTGATTTACAAATATTGAACCAGCCTTACATTCCCAGAATAATCTCCACTTTGTTGTGATGTTATGTGTACAGCTGGATTTGGTTTACACTTATGCTCCCGAGGGTTACTGGTCTGTAATTTTCTTGTCCTGTTTTTGCATGTTTTCAAAATAACAGCAACACTGTCCTCATAAAATGAGTTAGCAAGTATTCTTGCTCTTCAATTTGCAGAAGAGACTATAAGGAATTTGTATAATATTTCCATTAATTTAAAAAATTGCCATTAGACATTATTACCCTATGTACATATATGATTACATAACCTGTGCAACTCTACATCATGTGCAAGAATGAGAAGTTATACTCCATTTATGTATGATATGCATTATGTCAAAATGCATTCTACTGTCATGTATAACTAATTAGGTCAAAAACTAAATAAAATTAAAAAGAAAAAAGAATTTGCCATTGAGACAAATGGCACAGTATTTTCCCTTGTGAAAGATTTAACTATATTTCTCTAACTATGCAAACTCTATTTATTTTTAAATAAGTTCTAAATTCTGTATCTGTCAAGAAATTCATTAATCCAAGTTGTCAAACTTATGGACATAGAGCAGTTTGCAGCAGTCCTATTTTAACATATTAACATCAGTGGAAATCAGTGATAATAATGCATTTTTTATTCCTGATATAAGTAATTTTTCTTTTTTCTGCTTCTGGCTAGAAATTTTTATCAGTTTTACTGGTTCTTTTAATAGGGGGTATTGTTTTGTTTTGTGATGCTGGGTATTTAACCTTGGGGTACACCACCACTGAACTATATCTCTAGGTGTTTTAAATTTTTATTTTGAAACAGAGCCTAAGTTGCATTGCTGAGGCTGGCTTCAAACTTGTGATCTGCCTGCCTCAGACTTTTGAATCTCTGGGATTACATCTGTGAGCCACTGCACCTGGTTTTACTATTAATTTTAAAAGTTAGATTTTGGTTTCATTGTTTTTCTCTATTGCTTTTCTCTTTTAAATTTCATTGATTTATGTTCTTTGTTAGTTTCTTATCTCTGCTTGTTACAGGTTTTAAATACTTTCTTTTTCTAGTTTCTTAAGGTACAAACTTAATTTTTTAATATAAATATACAGTGCTTTAAATATCCCACTAAGCCCTGATGTGCACCCTGCCTCCTCTAGTATCTACTGAGGACTTCAATTTAAAAGATTTTCTACAAGATCATTATATACAGAATGCTTCACTATTATTTCAATTATTATTGACTAGCTGTTTTTCTTCCAATTCTGAAATAATTTTCTTTTTTTTTTTTTTGCTTCTGGCTAGAAATTTTATCAGTTTTACTGGTAAAGACAAACAGGCTATTACTTGTTTTCAAATTTCAGATTTGATATTACTCTCATGTACATATTAAATGCTTAGAATAAACACAGAAAACTAAACATTAAAACATTGTTTTAGCTTTATGGTCACTGACAAAAACACCCAACAAGAATCTCTGAGAGGAGGAAAAGTTTATTTGGGGCTCATGGTTTTAGAGGTCTCAGTTCACAGATAGCCTTTGTTACTCTGGGCCTGAGGTGAGGTAGCACATCACAAGGGAAGGGCCCAGTGGAAGAAAGCTGCTCAGCTCATGACAGGGTCAGGAAACAGAGAAGGGAGGGAGAAGAGCTGCAGTGAGTGCAGAGGCACATTTCCAGGGCACACCCATAATGACCCAATTAAACCAGTCAGGCCCCACCTGCTTAGTCACCATCCCATCAGTCCATTCAAACTGGGATGGACTGATTAGGTCACAGCTCTCATAATATAATCATTTACCTCAGAGCATTCCTGCATTAACAGGAGCTTTTCAGGGACACTTCATATCCAATCCATAACAAACATTTAATAAATTTTACCTGAAACTTGAGCTTGCTTTCTCCTCCTTCCCGGTCTCGTTTATGCATATTTACCATTAGGGCTTCATAACAATTCTTCCAGTAAAGTGCCATGTTCTCATGACCATCATAAAATGTATGAGCTTCATACTGCTTCATATAAGGTATAATCTTATTTAAAAAAAGAACATACAGAATCTGTATACATTCTATAAAACTGATAAATCAATAAAGCAATCTTGCTCAAAAAAGAGAAAACTTACATATTTTTCAATGTAAACTTGCCATTCATTTGAACTGCAATATTCTTGAAAATCTTCAAAAAATGAGGAACTACCATTGGTAAAAGGTAAAGAAGGCAGGTGCAAATTCATGAAGAGAAGGTCATAAATTTTGGAAACCAGAGTTCGGACAAGGGGAATCAGAAATGAGTAGATTTCAGTCTGTTCCTTGATTGACTGACTGAGAACATTTTCCAGCTTCCCTAAAATGTAACATGCTTCATCCTGATTTTCAATCACTTTGGTTTGAAGAAGGGTATTTAGCTTAGCTGATGCCATTGCACAAACCTGGAAGAAAACAGGTTAGATAAGAAAGGACAGACTAAAGTAGACATTTAGTGAGAGTAAAGTTTCTACCTCACTCTGCAAGTGCAGAACTTTTATATAATAACTGTCAAAGAATTGTGAGATCTAAGATATTATCTTACTTCTAAGCTAACAACTAGTCCTGCTACATTTTCATAGATGTTAACATACAAAATGAAGATTCTTATTTACGGACAAAGATCTACAGCAATAGTAATAAGGATAGTATCAGCATTTGGACGGTTCCTGAAATCACAATCCCCACCATGAGACACAAAAAAGACTAGATGATAACTGCACATAGAGTAGTGGTAGTTTGGAGAGGAGCATCAAGCTCAAGGAATCTGAATCTTAAACTGGGCTGTCAGCTTATCTGATCTTTGCTATGGAGAGAGAGATTACCTGTATTATATCAGGAAGTAAACAAACCTGCCTTTTGCTCTACAAAGAAACATGACCTCAAACTTCCACAGTTGTTCACTATGCAAACATTCTCAAAAAGAAGTTTATATGGACAGCCAGAGCCTCTACTCACATGATATGCTGAAACACAAGACACTCATGGAGAACTCTCTTACCAACCAAGACTGCAGGAAGCACTGTCTTTCTCAGGTTATGAATGCCCAATTGTTATTGACAGCCATTTTGTGTTCAAAAGGGAAGCCAGCTTAAGACAAGCTGACACATGACCAAGAGTAGTGCGGTAAGAATGGCAAACACGTGGAACCAGAGTTCTGACTGAAGGCTTAAACTCATCTAAACTATGGAATTCTTAATTCTAATATCTAAGACTTCAAAGCAGAAAAAATTACATAACTGTGCCTCCTTTTCCCTTAACTCCATAACCTTATTTTCAATTATTATCTCCAATGTAAAGAAGAGCAAAAGAAAATAAGAAATTTTGAGAATCAGACAGCACTTCAAGATTGTTTTTGTGCCAAAAGCTAGTCTTATTAGTACCAACAGATCTTTGCAGGTCAAGGTAATAAGAGACTACAGGCAGTATTTCCATGCAAATATTAACAAAGCAAATAGCACTGGAAGAAATAATTTCTAAGACAGTTCAAAGCTTTAACTTCTCTACTACAAAAGTGAAGCTCCACTACCCTCCTCATATCCCCAATTTAGTCTTTGAATCTAAAGAAACTTAATTTATATATATATATATATAAATATAAAAAATACATAAAAGAATATAAAATAAGTGATAAAATCCCTACATCCCGGAAACAAATGTTAATATTCAGTATTAGATCAGTATTTGCTGGATATTAATATTTGGTATTAGCAATAACTTTTTTATCAAGTGCTTTTAAAAATACTGTACACATAAAAAGTTGAATATCAAGTGCTTTGCTTTTAAATGAATATCATGGCACTCAACAGCTCTACATTTATACATTTATTTAAAAGTATTAAGGTACTTTGAATAAGTACCAGATAATTTCCTTGGCCTTAATTTTGGATATACACATACCACATAATACATGTTCCTCTGGCCCACATTATAAAGCACATTAGTGTCACCTGAGAAATTACAAAAAATAGTGAATAAATTACTATGGGTGATGCCTTACATAGGTATTTTTAAAAAGCTTCTCTAGGTGATTTCATGTGCAGTCAGGGATGAGAATCACTGAGCTTAAAAAAACAAAAACAAAAACAAAAACCCTGGAAAAACAGGGAATCTAACTAGAGATTATATTCTGTATCTGAATAGCCACATAATCCTACTTTGGAGATAAGCTGGGATATCTTGGTTTTTATACAAAAAAATCTCATAACACTTATATTTTGGTCCTATTCTTTAAAATGCACAGCCTCACATAATTGCACTTTTATATCTGAAAGAGTAAAATTAAGCAGCAGGCTATTGAGAAATATTTGAGATAACTAACTACTGGTAGATAGGATTAGCCTCATCTGTAAGTGCTATACTTGTTTGCTTATTGAGCAAGTATTTATAGAGCTCCTAGGAAGAGAAGGCACTGGATATTTAATGGAGAACTACAGAAACAGACATTTTGCCCAGGGTAATGCCATCAAATAAAAAAACACCAAGGGTAACTACATGTAAAACAAAACAAAAAAAATAGTTCTAACATCTAAAATAAATAAGTACCTTGCATGTTAGCTGCAACTGCTTGGACAATCATTAGGCTAATATTAATAAAAAGGCCAAAAAAGCTATCCTTGTTCTATTTCTGGTGGAAGAAAAAAAAAGATACTATGATGAACATAAAAGTGTATAAGGATTGTAGTAGTTAGATTATCATAGGATATAGTATCAGTAGGATTAATAGACAAAGAACAAATTATTTTTTAACGTTCTTAGTTTGTGTACTTTCAAATAGTACTTTAAAACTGTACAATTCAAACTTTTACCATCATGTGTCTTTTTTTTAATATTTATTTTTTAGTTGTAGTTGGTCACAATATCTTTATTTTTTTATGTATTTTAATGTGGTGCTGAGGATCAAACCCAGGGCCTCACACATGCTAGGCAAGCACACTACCACTGAACCACAACCCCAGCCCCACCATCATGTGTCTTAATACCCATTTTCCTGTTTAGTTTTTCTGCCAAACAATGAAATTCTATAGTGAATATGATACTTTCATGAAGAAGAGGGGGTATAAACTATTTAATAAAGTAACAGAGGAATATTAGTTTATATAACAGTAAGAGAAAGAAAAAGAACTCAAAATATCCAAATAAATGACAATTTTGATAATATAAAAAAGATATTCATAGAAAACTATACAATAGGAAGGAAATATATACTATAACATTAATAGTGTTTTCTCTTAAGGTATGGAATGTTGAATAACTTACTTTTTACCTCTTTATGCTGTTGTGTTTATTCTCCAATAAGCATGTGTTATACTTATGATCAGAAGGAAGTATTCACTAAAAAATATAATTATCAGATTGTGGTCTCTTTTTCCTTGGTATTGGGATCAAAACCAGAGGCCTTCTATCCATTTTATTTTATTTTGAGACAGGGTTTTGTTAAGTTGCTGAAGCTGGCCTCAAACTTAAGATCTAACTCACTAGTTGATTGGATTACAGGTGTGCACCACTACACCAGGCAGATTATGGTAAAAATAGGGCAACCTTAAGTCAGAATTGTAACTTTTCTCTGTTTTTAGCAATATTATACCTAGTTTATCAACAGCATTAGAAACCAGACCCACCCTGAACACAAATACAAAAAGCTATGGGATACTTATGATGAATCCAACTCATGTCTCATAAGCACCCAATGTAAACAGAAACATGACAGACTAAAATTCACATAGAACTTTTCCAACCTTGTAAACTTTAAATATTCTTTATGAATATATTTAGCTTCTGTTTACTTCTAAAATCTACCACGTTGATTATCCTGTTAGGTATTTGGTGTTTGGTGAGTGTAAAAAATATGAAATACAATGTAAAATTGTGGATTAGTAAAATAGCATGAAAGGACCAATATAAAAAATAATTTTCTTAAAAATGCAAGCCCTAGGGTTGGGGATGTAGCTCAGTGGTTGAGTGCTTGTCTCGAATGTGTGAGGCACCGGGTTCAATCCTTAGCACCACATAAAAATAAATAAATAAATAAATAATATTGTGTCCATCTAAACTAAAAACAAACAAACAAAAATTTTTAAAATGTAAGCGCTAAACTGTGTGTGTAATATATACATATATATGTAAACATAATCTATGCAGACTGTCTAGGACCTTGCAAGCTACACTAAATGTAGATGATATGAACAATGCTTTTAATATAAGCTATGAGTAAATCCTATAAAAGGAAACCTTAAAATTACATGGAGTCATAAATATGAGGAAGAAATAGTCAATTAACTACATTTCAAGCTCCTTTCCGATCTCACAAAATTGAAATTTCAAGTGAACTTATGAATATTTTTTGAACTAATAAAACAGAGTACTGAAAAGGCATTATCATTTAGTTATTACAGAAATAACTATACCACATCCAAGTACAGAAAATAATATAAAAGAATTGACAAACCTGCAAACTGCCCCTTCCAATGAATCCCAGAAGCATCTGAATCTGAATTTGAGAGAGCTTTACCCACGCTGGATTCTGAGAATACCAGACTGACAGAGAATCAAAGAGCAGCATGATATCCTCTAAAAGCTATCATAAAAGAAAATTTGAGAAATAAAAGCATTCAGTTTTTAATTTACTGATAGTGTGTTTTTCCAAACACTAACACAAATCATAAATATTTGAAAACTAGTCCAATATACATCTGGCAAAAGTCAAAATAATCATACTAGTAATATTTAACAAAATCTGTGACAGTTCATCATATCTAATCCCTGCTTACTGCATTTAATGCTCTAAAAAGAGGAGATGAAAAATTTATTTCTTTGAATAATCCTTAACTACCCAAAATATAATTTCAAAGAGCTATTACCGACCTTCTCAGTCCACATGCTTGAGTTAACTAGTCCCTCTGACTGCAGAAAGTCCTGTACGATCATCATGAGTCGGAAGGCATTTTCAGCAGTTACAGAATTAGCTTTTGTTTCTCTGTTTTCTGTGACCGCCCACTCTAACATCTTCTGTAGTAAACTAAATGTAAAATAAAGTCCTCTTAAAACCATTGTAAGGGGCTGGGGTTGTAGCTGAGTGGTGGAGCACTTGCCTTGCATGGGTGAGGCACTGGGTTAGATCCTCAGTACCACATAAAAATAAATATATAAAATAAACGTAATGTGTCCATCTACAATTAAAAATATTTTTAAAGAAAACATTGTAACATTACGTTCATTTTATTTCATCTGATGATCAAAGTAATTCACTGGATATTCCTGTAGATCTAATTTAACAATAAAGAAGGAACTTTTTAATGTTTGGAGTATCTGCCTTTAATACACTTAATATTAAAAGTCAGTTACCTATTTTGCTTGTCTATAGAAAGGCCAACAAAATAATTTCACATTCTAGTCTCTATAAGATATTTAAAATAGTTTCTATAACAACTAGATATTGGGAAAGTTAGGGAAGAAAGCTTTATTATGTCTTAGAGAGGATCTAAGAAAATCAAAGAGGTAACTCTTCCTAGTATGCTATTGCTACAAAGTCCTGTCATCTACAAGGAACACTAAATATTTCAGAGAAATATTTATGAAAACACTACTTCGTTCTTTAGCATGCAAACATTTAAATTTGGACAAGCCCATTTTAAATGCATCAAGTCCTGAGATTCTACAGAAAACAATTTAAATAAAAAAAGTAAAATCATTTAAAACTCAATCTACAAAAGATTTAAGTATTCTCACATTAGTTAGTTTTGTATTTCTCTCTAGATTCTACAAGAATGGTAAAAGATAGGAAAGGAAATTGAATATGGTTTCTTCCTTTCCCCCCTATGAATATTGAATAATGAATACTGAGTGTTTAATAACTGATGTTATTTTAGACTCATATCTACTACTAAAGGAGGGTTAAAATAAAAAAAAAAAAACACTAACTGAATGCTTACATTAGTTTTATTTCATCTGATGGTCGAAGTAGCTCATTGGATATTCCTGGTTTAGTTAGTGCTGAAAATACTTGTCCCCGTTCAGTCCAAGTATCATCATCAGACTTTTCTAGTCCCTTACACAATACATAACTTAAAATATCTGTCACCAACTGAAGAAGCTCCTCCTCACATCTCTATAAAAATGATAAAGTAATATTAAATTATTGAAGAAAGGGAAGTGTTACAGCATTTCATAATCATCATTACATATACTGACAAATTGTGTAACATGTTTTTAAAATGCCTTGAACCTGGAACTTCAGTAGTCCCTGGAGATTCAAGTTGTATAGACACAGCTTTGTTCTTAAGACATAGGGTTGGGGATGCAGCTCAGTGGTAGAGTGCTTGCTTAGCATGCAGGAGGCCCTGAGTATGATTCCCAGCACCACAAAAAGAAATATACAATCTAGTGACTTCCAGACTTCTAAACCTTAAATCATGAGACTTAGAAAATGAATATAATATGAAATTGTTAATAATTGATCACACATTGCTAAGAATTACAAGTATATAAATGACATATGAAAATAAAAACACCATTTGGAAAAATAAGGAATTTTACCTCTTGGCTTTCAAGTAAAGAGAAGTCGTCATTAAAGCCATTATCACTTGTGATGCTACTCTCTTTGTCAGACTGAACAGAAAATGATTTAGTAGACTCTATTGGGGATGGCGTGCTAGGTAGGCTATCCGGCATTTGATTTCCACTATCACTCAGTTCGTATGAATCAACTCCAGTGAGATCTAAACTCAAATGTGAAGGGTTACCATGCCAGAATTCTTTCTGATTCTCTGACTTGAAAGACAATTCTCCCACAGAACTATCTTCTTGAAACAATGGTGCATTTGAATCTAGAGAGTGTCTATCCTCCAAACTCCACTGATCTGAAGACACACTAGCTGAAGCAAAAGAGTTGAGTTTTTCCTCATCTGTCTTTTCATCGAAGTTCCTCTTAATATCATCAGTTGACATATTTTTATTTTCTTTCATTAAAACAGCCCTGCTGTGTTTATGAAGAGAATTTTCATTTTCAAAATTTTCTTTTAAAAGAAGTCTAACTAGGGTGTCTTGCCAACCCACTTGTTGTGACATCTGATGTGCTGCATCTGGCTGGGACTGCAAAATCTGTAAAATCTGCAAAGAAATTAAGAAACAAAATTCTTCAAAAAGAACACAGTACTTTTTATCAAAAAGTCTCTTTTCAGTTATTTTAATGACATTGTAATTTAATGGGAAAATGCAGAAGGATATACTTTCAAAGATTATGTTTTTAATCAGATTGTAAACTGTTTGGAGAACTGACATTGTAGATCCAATTAATCATGTACAAAGTAGGGATGTACTAAAACATTTGTGAAAGATAAAAAAGGAAAATTAAAATGATTCTCCACATGCCAAAATATACCTGTTACTAGTCTGACTTGTTCAGAGACAAAGTATAAATAGGATGATGGTATAAGTAAAATATAAAAATAAACTGATATTCTCAACAAAATATTTTCCATGAGCCTACTACATATATTCAGCAAATATTATTGACTACTACAATGGTACAGTACACTTTTAGGCCTAGGGTTTATGGGAGTGAATAGGACACACAGGTTCTGCGACAGAACCTTGGTATACATTCTTGTATACCAAGAATGATGTTTTCTCATCTCACTTTCTTTTTTTTCTGAGAAAAATTTTTTTTTCCAGTTAGTACATTACACAAATGAAACAAAAACTAAACATTAATTCCAAAAACTTAATTCCAACAAGACGGATGTGTTAGCTGACATTAGTTGAGATTAAACAGAAGACACTGGCACAGCAATATGCATAATCTCTACCATCTAACTGATTTTAATTTTTTTGAATGAAAATAAGTTCTTAAAAAAAAAAAAACAGCCAGAAATTCAGTGAAGATCTTTAAGGCATTTTTATCACAAAGTCAATAAACTTCTATATAGATGAAAAGAACTTTGGCTCCCAGAGGATTGAGTATCTTTCTTAACAGAAGTTCTAATTTTGACAAGTCTCACAGTAGGATATGAATAATGTTGAAAGGAATTTTAATATTAATAGTAATATCTTAGTGTGGTGACATACTCTTGACATTCCAGCATCTCAGAAGGCTCAGTGAGGGGAATCACAAATTGAAGGTTAGTCTGAGCAACTTAGCAAGACCCTGACTTAAAGTAAAAATTAAGAAGGCTGGGAGTATAGCTTAGCAGTAAAGTGCCCCTGGGTTCACCCACAGTGCCACCAAAAAAAAAAAAAGTTCCAATATATGTTGATAGAGAAAGCAATGAGTCACATTACATGGGAAGTTTCTCTCTTCACTAATATCATCAGTCAGCAAGTTACTATTATTCTACTGCAGAATACAACTGTTTTAAGATTAAGCTTTGCTTAGCAAAAAAACTTTTCATGATTTTATAACTTCAAAGACTTCATAAAATATGACTTCTATTTTTCATATACATAATAGATATAAGCCAAGCTATACTGAGAGTTGTTTTTATCTAATCACATCCTGAAAGAAAAGAACCAATTTACATGAAACATTTCAAATTCTTAGGATTGAGCATAAAGGGAAAGAGTCACCATCACACACTGTAGAAATGGAAGTGGTAAGGTTGTTTTGAAGGACAATAGGGTAGAAATCCATCAAAATGTAAAATATGAATACCCTATGACACAACAATTCTGTTCCACGGAGACTGTCCTAAGATGTATTATTACAAATAAGCAAAGAGACATAAAAAAGATGTTCTTCACATCAGTTTATAACATGGAAAAACAAGAAACACCTTAAATATCAATAAGGAAAGAGATGATAGTCTATAGAAGAACCATACAATGAAAAACTACACAGTTATTAAAGAAAAGATATCCAGGGCTAGGGCTGTAGCTCAGTAGTAGAGTGCTTGCCTAGCACATGTGAGACACTGGGTTCAATCCTCAGCACCACATAAAAATAAATAAATAAAATAAAGGTATTGCATCTACCTACAACTAAATGAAATATTTTTTAAAAAAAAGACAAAATTTTGGGCTACTGTTGTGGCTCAGTGGCAGAGTGCTTGCCTTGCATACGTGAGGCACTGAGTTTGATCCTCAGTACCACATTAAAAATAAATAAGTAAAACAAAACAAAACAAAAAGACAAGATATCCATTTCTATATATACATTTGTTAAAACTACAGAAAAAGTACTATCACATAATTGGGAGATAATAATTAGAAAGCAAATAGTAGACTGGTTAGGGGTTACCAGTGGAGGGGAGAAAAGATTATGATCAGAAAGAGGTGAACAAGATAACTACCTCTTTTTAAATTTTTTAGTTGTCAATGGACCTTTATTTTATTTATTTATATGTGGTGCTGAGAATCAAACTCAAGTGCCTCACACATAGGCAAGTACTCTACCACTGAGCCACAACCCCAGCCCCCAATATCTACCTCTAAAGGTTAAATGTGTACTCAAGACAAATCATTGTTAAAACACTTATAAACAACAACAACAAAAACTTCTGCAATGTTGATAAGATTTAGAAATCCTAAAATATGGTATATCAATTAAAAATCATCAAAATCATTGAAGGTTCTTGTTAAATCTCTTCTCTGATAATGAATTTTTGACTCTGAAAAGGAAATATTTCCAGAAGTCCTGTATAACTAAAAAAACAAATTTTCATACTGATTACTTATGATCACATGAAGTTAATACACTTTAAGAAGGAAATTGTATATTTACAAAATAATATCATTTGTAAAATTAGTGAAATTAAAATTCTCATCTATTGCAAAATGCACAATGCCAAAGTTTTTCACAGTATGGTGATGTTACTGTTAAAACAGACCTTGAAAGTTTACGAACCTTTCTGCAGAGGACCACTCTGACATTTACATATGTCCTGTGAGATATATAAACCACAGATAACAGATCTTTGAAATTAGTAACAGGATCTATGGTGGGGAAAAAAAACAAAAAGTTAAAATTAAGTTTCTTGGACAGTCAAAGAAAAAACTGTAGGTATTATTTGTACAAATATTAAAGTAATAGTCTCATTTTCAAAAAAGAATTATAGACAGTCAAATTTTACCAGAAAATAACAACAAATAAAAAACCAAGTTTTAGACTGTTTGACACCCTCCTGAGTCAACCTTTAATTACTGTTCCTTTCTTAATTGCATGAAAATGAAAACACTGTCCATACTGAATGGCTGTAATACTATTTTTATCTTATGTCTTATCAATGAAATTGTAAATCACAAGATAAAGAAACTTATCTCGTACTCAACTCCCTTCCCCAGCACTGGGCATAAATTCTAGTTTGTAGTAAGTACTGAAAAAAGTTTATTACAAAATATTAAAATATAAAAAAGATATCTGGCCTGGCGCAGTGGTGCACGCCTGTAATCCCAGTGGCTGAGGCAGGAGGATCTCAAGTTCAAAGCCAGCCTGAGCAACTTAGAAAGACTATAAGCAACTCAAAGTGAGATCCTGTTTCTAAATAAAATATAAAAAAGGACTGGAGATGTGGCTCAGTGGTTAAGTGGCCCTGGGTTCAATCCTTGGTACCAAAAGCAACAATGCCTTTATTTTTATGTGGTGCTAAAGGATTGAACCCAGAGCCTCACCTGTACCAGGCAAGCACTCTACTACTAAGTGACAACCCCAGCCCCTCTTGATTGCTTTTTAGCTTAATACTATCCCACTTAATGACTCTTGATTTTACTTCTTGCACTTTAGGAGTCTCATTGAGGAAGTCAGTTCTTAAGCCAACATGATGGAGTGTTAGGTCTATCTTCTATTAGATATAGGGTTTTTAATCTAATGTCTAAGTCTTTGATCCACTTTGAGTGGATTTTTTTGAAGGATGAGAGATAGGGGTTCAATTTCACTTTGCTACATATGGATTTCCAGTTGTCCCAGCAACATTTGTTGAAGAGCTTATGTTTTTGACAATGCTTATAATGCCTTTGTCTAATAGAGATAACTATTTATGTGGGTTTGTCTCTGTATCTTCTATTCTGGTTCCATTGGTTTTCATGTCCGCTTTCATGCTAACATCATGCTGTTTTTTGTTACTATAGCTCTGGAGTACAATCTCACCTCAGCTAGTGCATAAATCTTCAGGATATATAAAGAAATAAAAAAACTTAACACCAAAAAACAAATAATCCAATCAATAAGTGGGCAAAGAAACTCAATAGACACTTAATAGAAAAAGAAAAACGAATGGTTAACAAGTATATGAAAAAACGTTCAACATTTCTAGCAAGGACTGGGAATGTGGCTTTTTAGAGAAATTTACATTAAAACTACTAAGATTTCATCTCACTCTAGTCAAAATGGCAATTATTAAAAATACAAGTAACAATAAGTGTTGGCTAGGATGTAGCAAAAAAAGGTACACTACTCATTTCTGGTGGTACTGCAAATGTGGTGCAACCCCTATGGAAAGCAGTATGGAGAGTCCTCAGAAAACTGGAGTGGAACACCGTTTGATCCACTTATCCCACTGCTCAGCATATACCCAAAGGACTTAAAATTAGCATACTACAGCAACATAGCCACATCAATGTTTATAGAAGCTCAATTCACAACAGCTAAGCTATGGAACCAACCTAGGTGCACTTCAACAGACGAATGAATAAAGAAAATGTAGTATAAATACACAATGGACTATTACTCAGCCCTAAAAAAGAATGACTTTATGACTTGCCAGTAAATGGATGGATCTGGAGACGATCATGCTAAGTGAAATAAGCCAATTATGAACGCCAAAGGCCAAATGTTCTGATATGCAGATACTAGCAGACAATGGGAGGTGAGGGGAGAACAGAAGTTCACTGGATTGGAGAAAGGGAATGAAGGAAGGGAGGGGTGATGGGAACAGGAAAAACAGTAGAATAAATTTGACATAACTTTACTATATTCATATGTGAATACAGCACCAGTGAAACTCTACATCATGTAAAACCACAAGAAGGGGATCCTAATTAGAATAAGTTATACCATGTATGTTTAATATGTCAAAATATCTTCTACTACGAACATCATTATCCTAGGTATGCGTAAATGGCACATGTGGGGAGACTCTACATAATGTACAACCAGAGAAATGAAAAGTTGTTTTCCATTTATGTACAATGAATTAAAAAGCTTTCTGCTATCATGTATAACTGATTAGAACTAATAAAAAAATTTAAAAATGTTTATTTTATGCATAACAAAACGTAAGAAAAATGTAAGTAAGTAGTGAGAATGGACAAAATAACTATAAAATACTAAAAAAAAAAAAAAACCTAGTGTCTATAAAATACTAAAAAAAAAAAAACAACAAAACCCTAGTGTCATGTATACCTAAAAAGAAAACCAACAAAAAAGAACACCTGAAATTAATTTTCATTTTGCTTTTAAGAACCTTTTTTTTGTGGGGGGGGGCAGTACTACGGATTGAACCCAGGGGCATTTCACCACTGAGCTACATCCCCTCCCTTTTTATTTTGTATCTTGAGACAGGGTCTCACTAAGTTGCTTAGGGCTTTACTGCTTTGCTGAGGCTGGCTTTGAACTTGTGACCCTCCAGCCTCAGCCTCCCAGTCACTGGGATTACAGGCATGCACCACTGCAACCAGCAAGAAAAAGAATATTTTGTATATACTTTTCTCTAATGTCCTTTTCTTTTATAAGGACCCAGTTATTAATTTGATCTCTCAGTCAATACACATTTACAAAGTAAGGCAATATGCTATATGCCCTGGGGAGTCCATAACAACAAAATTGTAGAGATTTAGTAGCTAGGAAAGGCCCCGCTGAATCAAACAACAGGTTAATTTAAAAAGCAATCTGAGAAAAGAAGTAAAAAAGTCTTTCAGGAAACACTATTTCTTAAATGTATTAGTATTATTAGCCTTAGTCATACCTGTATTTATGATTTGATTGGTAAGGTTTTTAATGAGAGAAGTATTAATTGATGCTTCATTAAGGAGGAGTCCCAATCCTGAGTATCCAACTTCTCTAAGTCGAATACGTTGTTTACTACGTTCATAAACATTTGTGCATTTCAACATCTGTTCCATAACCTGGTCAAAACAAGTAATATATTCTTCTCAGTATAGAGAACTTAAACAATTTGTCACAAGTTAATACTGAATAAAATATTACAACACATTGGATTTTGGAGTATCAAAAATCCAAAATCCAATGTGTTGTAATATTAAGTATATTAATGTAATGTGTTGTAATATTAAGTATATTAAGTATAAGAAAACACCTGAGTGCTAAAAAAGAGAGATACTTCCTTATTAAGCTATTATTAAAAAATGAATTTAGGAATTAACTGGACTGAAACACATTTGCATATGAGTGATTATTATGTTTGAAATTTTAGTTCAAACATGTCAAATGAAAAACATGTATACATGTAGCTAATAAAAGGAACAAGACACCTCTGAATCAATCTAGTAGCCTATGTAACAGGTATAAAAATAATTTTCAAAAATGAGAAAATATTTATGAAGTAAACAAACCCATATGCTAACATGGGGCACTGAATTAGCACCATATTTCTAAGTGGAGGTCAACATTTTCCAAGAGAGGTTTATCATCTTATATGAATGGATCATTCAGGCTGAATATCATGAACAATCTCTGTAAGATTGTTTTTGGAAAAATATGATTTAGCCAGATTGCCAATTTGAGGCGAGTCTCAGCAATCTAAAGTGATCCTGTCTCAAAATAAAATAGGCTGTGGATGTACCTCAGTGGAAGAGTGCCTCTGAATTCAATCCTCAGTACTGGGGTGTGTGAAGGAGTAAAGAAAAAACATTTAATCTCTATACAGGAACCCTAGTGAGGGCAGATGCTTTAAAAAGCAGCTTCATGGCCTGGAGTTGTGGCTTAGTGGTAGAGTGCTTACCTAGCACACATGAGGCCTTGAGCTTGATTCTCAGCACCACATATAAATAAATAAAAGTCTATTGACAACTAAAAAAAATTAAAAGAAAAAATAATTTTAAAAAAAGCAGCTTGAATAGAGGCTGTTTCTGATTGCCTTTACTGTACCCTTGTCTACTAAAATTTAAGGATTTCAGACATAGGCAATCCAAACATAATCCTGTAAGTAGACTTCATAATGTAACTCTAAATATGAACAAACAACTGCCACCAAGCAATTAAGTATAATGAACAAGAGAATAAAAAAAATGCATTGTGGTGGTATTTATGACTGACCCCTGTACTTTTAGTTAACAAAAAGGTGAAGTAGATGGTTTCGGCCAAAGTTCAAAGTTTTGGATATTGTGGATAGCTTAATAAAATATATCCTATGTCCTTTGATAAGTTACTAACCTCTCTGACTTCAGTTTCTTCACCAGTAAAATGGAAATACATATAATACCCTCTTCCTAAATTGTTGCAAGGATTAAGGAAGCTAATATAATAAAACTGCTTAGTGCCTGACACAACCATGGGTACCATATGAAGTTAGTATTATAAACTGTTAAAATGTTCTGAATGGCCTACCCAGACTCACTCTACTCAGAGAAGACATGAGAAGTTTTATACTGAGGATGGCTGACAATTATCTCCACTGAGATAATTTATTAAATAGTTTAGGTATGTTTCTGTTTTGCTTTGATCTTATGGTTAAGGGGATCAAATTGCTGGTCTCATATGTGCTAAGCAAGTACTCTACCATGTATTTATATCCACAGTTCAAAACATTTTTTTTTTTTTCTTTTGGCAAGGGATACCAGGGATTGAACTTAGAGGCACTTGACCAGTAAGCCACATCCCCAGCCCTATTTTGTATTTTTTTTAGAGACAAGGTCTCACTGAATTACTTTGCGTATCACCATTGCTGAGGCTAGCTTTGAACTCGCAATCCTCCTGCCTTAGCCTCCCAATATGATTGTTTTTTAAATATGCAAACAAGTAACATGAAATATATCTATTAAAATGAAAGAAACTTAAAATTAGAAAGAGATATGAAAAAGAACTTACAGTCATAGAATGGCTATGTTGCAATCAAATCCCCATTCTCACAAATACTACCAAATAAAAAGATGCTTACAAATGTTTGTACCTTAAAAATGATTTCTCTTAGTCTGTCAGAGTACTTCTGATTTAACAGCAAGGCATAAAGTATGTCAGCATTTCCTGGTTCAAACAGCAGCAAGAAAAGCTGACCTCTAGTTGGGCTGGTACACAGGAGACTGAAGAGTACATCCAAAATTCCCAAGAGCTTTTGAAGGTAAAAAAACAACAAAAGAGAACCACCTCTATGTATATACAAGAACAAGTGAAGTCATAAACCATGAATAGTTGTTTAATTCAATTCTACACACCCTAATGCTTGAGCTCAACTGCACTGTCTGATATGTTCTGAACCAGCCTTGCTTTACTCCAGACATGCTGTTGGCTTATTCCATTTTCTCTTGCACATCCTCTTGCTATACATATCTGACACCTTTTTTTTTTTTAACTTTATAAAATGCCAACCATCAGATATTTTATTATGGCAATGAAAAATAAACAAAAACAAAGTCATCTTTTGATGTGGCTCCATCTCCTTCCTCCTGGTCACAACCAAGTTGACCTTTCACCTCTCTTAATTCTCTGGCCATTCATTTAACCACACTTTGACCTCTGTGCTTTTCTACTCCCAGTGCATGGTGAGTCCTTAACCTTTCAACACCTCTTAAAACCATATATCACATATCCCATGTTGTCCATTTGAAAAGGCATCTCTTCCTTAAAGCTTTTTTGTGAAATCTTCCCAGGATTTATATATGTTATCTTTCTCACAGATCTCTGTATTAGATATTAACATATATGTCTCTGCTTCATAGGTATTTGGTAAACTTTTACTGCCTCCTGCCCCCATGAGGCTTAAAAATAAGAACAATAATTCATTCATCATTAAATTAACTGCAATGTCTAATATTATTCTGTATACACAGTAAGTTTTGACAAAATAACTCTTGACTGAATTGACCAAAAAATTATCACTGTTCATGAATCAGACACAGCTACCATGAAGTGTAACTGTTCATCACTCTGAATAATGAAAAAATTTTGAAGTCCAATCTTGTAGGAAAACATCTGTATAATACCAATTATGAAGTCATGTAACCACTGACTCAATAAACTTACATTCAGAAGCAAAGTACTTTAGGGAACATAAATTAAGGTTACTCAAATTTAAGGTATTGGTCATATACTAAAAAATAAACACTGGAATTCAGAAAATATTTGGATTCCAGTTCCAGGTATATTAGCTGTGTGACTTTTTAAATTGTCATACAATCTCTTTGAATATACATTTTCAAAAGTATAAATGAAAAGAGTCATTCTTTGTCTGTGCATTTTACATCAGTAGGTCTCAAATTTTACCACATGCTCTAAAAGAACCTGGAGGGGCTTAATTTTGTAGTTGAATCAGTAGTAGATAGTATTTACATGTCTTTCACTTGTTTTTCAGACATGGATCTCGCTATGTTGCCCAGGTTAGTTTTGAACTTCTAGGTTCAAGAGACCCTCCTATCTCAGCCTTGCAGTACCTGGGACTACAAGCCCACACAACCACATCTAGCTTGCACCTACATGTCTAACAAGCCTCCCGGTTAAAGTATGTAAGGGACTAGAAGCTAAGAACTACTACTTTAAAGGATAGTTCTGAGGATTAAAAAAGATAGTATATGTAAGAGTATTTTGAAAACAGATAAATATTTACAATTTATTTCTTATGCAACATGTTTATGAACTTATCTTTATATTCATGTTAAAAATCTACTCAGTCTAATAGAATAAGTTATACTTCACATATGTACATTCTGCCAAAATACATTCCACTGTCATGTGTAACTAAAAAAAAAATTTTAAGTTATCTATGTGGAAAAAAAAATCTACCCAGCAGCCAGGCATGGTGGCACACACTGTGATCCCAGTGACTCGGGAGGCTGAAGCAGGAGGACGATGAATTCAAACCCAGCCTCAGCAACTTAATTGAGGCCCTGAGCAACTCAGTGAGACCCTGTCTCTCATATAAAAGAAGACTGGGAATGTGGCTCGGTGGTTAGGTGCCCCTGGGTTCAATCCCTGGTACCAAAAAAAAAAAAAAAAACACCCAGTAAATTTGATGATACACATACACCATGTAGGCCATGAAAACAGACTTCAGAATTGCCAGATAAAGCCTGTATTTCCACATTTTTACACTTTTGAGCTAAATAAAACACTAAATTATAATATCATCTACTTATTAAAGTTTCAGACAGTAAATAAAATTCAGTTATTTAATTATGTAATATTGTATGTGACATTACATAATCTTATTCTTGAAATAATTAAGGAAATATGTAAGTTAACAAGATGAGAGAACAACTTAAATATTAAAAAGAAAGATTAGATTAGATCCCTGGCATAATACCTGTTCTTCTTCATTAGTAGCAGCTATGTAACACATTATGCTTTGTATCTCTTCATGAGTTCCACCCTTGCATAGAAAATATTTAATTAGTCCATACAAAGATGTCCTTATTGTTCGAATGTCATCAAGAGATAGCTCATTACATTTATAACTACTCCTAAAAGAGAAAAACAGAAGCATAATTGAAAATTTAACTTGTAACACTTTTGTACATTTCATATGAAAGAATTCTTAGTTTAAAAAGAGACCTTTCCACATAATTATTATAATTCATGGTAATTTTGGCTTGTTTTTCTTTTTTTAATATTTTTTAGTTGCCAGTGGATTTTTTACTTTGTTTATTTATATGTGGCACTGAGGATTGAACCCAGGGCCTCACACATGCCAGGCAAGCACTCTACCACTGAGCCACAACCACAGCCCCTTGTTTTTCTTTTTAAGGAAAATCTTTTGTAGTGTTTTAGTGACAAAATTAAAAATATTAAAACAGCTTACATTTATACAACACTATGTAGCACACAGAATTGTATGTGCTTTTTATATTAGTAACTTATGTTACTAATGTAAATCACCATAGGAAGGTTTTAGTTTGTTTGTTTTTTGTTTTAGAGGGAAGGGGATACCGGGGATTGACCACTGAGACACATCCCCAACCCTTTTTGGGTTTTATTTTGAGACCGGGTCTTGCTAAGTTGCTTGCGGTCTTACTAAATTGCTGAGGCTGGTTTTGAAATTGAGATCCTCCTGCCTCAGCCTCCAGATTACAGGTGTGCACCACCACGCCTGGCAGAGGTTTTACTTTTCACAGGGGAAGAAACCTCAAGCACAGAAAATTTGGGTAATCTGCTTAAAGCTACACAATTAGTGAAACCAATATTCAAAACTGGTATATGTAGATCAATTAGTCATCCTTTTAACCTCCAAACTATCCTGCTTCTCTGAAGTTAAAGGATATTAGAATCACTAGTAGTGAGAAAATCTACCCATTCCAGTCAAGTAGCAGAATAAAAATATAACAACCTAAGGAAGGATCAAGACTGTCATACCCATAATAAATCCTAAGTGTATCAAGGAGAAACTGCACACCATATTTCTTTCGGAAAATTCTCCTGCTATCTTTAATGATGGTTGAAAGATATTGTATATGACCTAAAATAGAAAATTCACTTGTAAATGATGTTATCTACAATAATCACAGACATAGTTATAAATTTCTAAAATTTCTACAAAATTTTATCAAATAGCCTGCTCTCACCAATTCGAAAGGGAAAATCTCCTCGATTCCAAATACGGAAGTCAAAGAGTAAATACTGATACATTTGTTGCAGGAGTGGCATATTTTTCTCTAATGATACCTGTTCAATTAGTAATTGAATTGCCATCAATACATTGACATCCATTAAGGTGCCTGGTACCTGAAATCAAACAGAAAAGGGTTCCATAAAATTCAATTTAAATAGCTACTATTAAATTACAATTTTAAATCAATAATTTGGAATATCTACTAAAATGTAAAAATTTTTAAACCTAGGATATAAAATATAAACAACTCAATTTTTCTGATGTAACTCTAGAACACATTTTTCTAATGTCATATTCTTAAAATAGTCTTATATTTCTCAAACATTCCAAATAATAAAGATAACAAAGCCATATACTTCAAAGATTATATACTGTTATATAAATAAGTACCTCTTGTATAATACAATTCCATGAAAGTTTTTAAAAGGTGCCACTGAAACAAATCTTCCTCATTAATATAATTTGAAGATGTAACACTACAATCTTTAGTAATGTATTTATTTAGTAGGAAGTACAGAATCCCAACACCAACTGCTAATTATAGTCATCAGCTGTATCAACCCCATGTTAGATTGGCTTACCTTCTGAAGTAAGGCACCAAGAGTTGCAACTCCATGGGAGTGAATAAGATTATCCTGGTTGATGGGATGTCTCTGAATAAAGTGCTTTATAATCAAGATAAATGTTGCAACCAGATTTTTCTCTAGTCTTGACTCTATGGAAATGAGAACATGTCATTAATTATCATAATTCATCACTTTTATTTCCATTTTCTATTCTCCATATCATAATGCATACTGTAACAAAAAAGAAATTTAGTTCAAAAGTTTGCTTCCAGGCTGGAGTTGTGCTCAGAGGTAGAACACTTGCCTGGCATAAGTGAAGCCCTGGGTTCAATCCTCAGCACCACATATAAATAAATAAAACAAAAGATCCATTGAAAATTAAAACAAAACAAAACAAAAAAAAGTTTGCTTCCAAAGGTGATTTGTACAATGAAATAAAAAAAGCAGCAATAGCATGTTGTATACTTACATGTATATGTAAATATTTTCTCTACCACAAATTTAATGATATAGTATTTTTCACAGTATACTAAGAGAATAATATAAGGATTGTCAGAGTAAAACCACCACCTTAACTGTTTGACCAAAGTATTATAAATTTCCCGAACTTTATTAGTAAAGTTAGGGCAGCTGCTACTTTTATAAATGATTAAATTTTTTCTAATACCGGTATTTATTTTTCAATTAATTCTCAAATTTTTCAATGACCACTTTGTGTTAACATCATCTTAATACCTGATGCTTTTGTGGAGGTCAGTAACATACAATCTCCCTCTACAGGTGTTATCAATTCAGGAACTATGCTTTCATCCATTCCTTCAGGAATTGGTCCTTCACTAAAGTGGCTTATTTGTTCCAATAAAGGAAAGAGTACATTTAATCCACCTATGCAGTTGATGATGTCCTGAAAAGAAAAATCATAATTTCTTAGTCTTATAAAACAAGAACAAAGGTGTCATTTGGTATATACATAGCATATATAAAGTTACAATTTGTCACTAATATATAGGATAGCCTAAATTGAGGGATCCCTGGTGAGAGCAGGTGTCTAATAGAAAAGAGATAATCAATGAAATCTCTAGGAAGATTATATGCCATACAATTTTAGGGATTAAATATGTTTTTTTTTTAGTTGAAGTTGGACATGATACATTTATTTTATTTTTATTTATTTATTTATTTATTTATTTTTATGTGGTGCTGAGGATTGAACCCAAGGCCTCACATGTCCTAGGCGAGCTCTCTACCACTGAGCCACAACCCCAGCCCCAAGGTATTAAATATCTTAATACACTAAAATAGCATACTTACAGAGATTGTTATACTCATGGAAGAGTTTATAAAGGTAAATATGTTTCCTGTGAATCAGATATTCCACTGCTATAGTCATTAAGCTACTTATTTATCCTTCAAACTTTACATCTGTATAACATTTTAAGTGAGACCTATTACTTAAATCAATCTGGAGATGTTTATAAGATAAAATCTTGCAGGGCATGGTGGTGGCACACACTTGTAATCCCAGAGGATGGCAAATTCAATGTCAGCCTCAGCAACTGAGCAAGGCCTAAGCAACTTAGTGAGATTGTCTCAAAAATAAAAAAGGGACACAGATATGGTTCATTGGCAAATTGCTTGGGTTAAATCCCCAGTACCCCCCCCCCCCCAAAAAAAAAAAAGCCTTTAAAAGGATCATTAAACTTAAACTTACTTAGATTATACTATGTTGCCCATCATTTATTATTAATTTACCTTAATATCCCAGTTCACTACTTTGTTTCCTGTTAATCTTCCATGCAAACAATTAGTAGATAAATCAAGGCAGATTGAATTTTTGCAAGCCTAAGAATAAAAGAAAATATACAACAAAAATTAGAACAAAACCTAACTTTAACCATATAAGAAACATTACACCACCATTTTAAAAGATAAACAATGAGAAGGTGCCTACCATTTAATTTTCTTTCTTTATCCCTTTATCCCTTTATCCCCCTACCTCCAAGGACCAGGGTTTTGAACCCAGGGTCTCATACATGCTTGGCAAGCACTGAGCTACATCTCCACCTTTCTTTAAAATCTTTACATAACATCTTGCTATATTCTCAGGGTGGCTATGAATTTGTGATTCTCCTGCTTTCATCTCCTAAGTAGCCTATATTACAGGTGTATGCCACCACACTTGGCCCATCTGAGTTTTAATATTACTGTTCTCTGAACGTCTCTTAAAGAATCAGGGACTACATCTTAAAGCACTTACTTATAAGGCTAGGATTGTGGCCCAGTGGTAGAATGCCTGCCTAGCATGTGTGAGGCACTGGGTTTGATCCTCAGCACCACATAAAAATAAATAAATAAAATGAATGTCTATTAACAACTAAAAAAAAAAATTTAAAAAGCATTTACTTATCAAAATCAGGTCACTGAGTCTTATCAAATGATTAATGAACTAACTGTAACTCCTCAATCACTTGAATTTAAATTTTTTTCTTTTTTAAATCAATATATGCAAACAGACTTATGACTTTTAAAAAAATCAGCTGGACATGGTGGTGCATGCCTGTAATCTCAGCTGCTTGGGAGGCTGAGGCAGGAGGACTGCCAGATTAAGGCCACCCTGGGCAATTTAGTGAGAACTTGTCTCAAAAATAATAAATAAAAAGGGCTGGGGATGTAGCTCAGCTATGGTATAGCATGCTGGGGATCAGTCTTCAGAACTAAAAAAAAATCAATATTTAAATCCCATTACTACTTTCCTAGGCACAATTTCATAATACATAAAAAATGTATGATTCAAATCTGAGATAGAGCCGGGTGTGGTGGCATATGCCTGTAATCCCAGCAGCTACGAAGGCTGAGACAGGAGGATTTCAAGTTCAAAGCCAGCCTCCGCAATGGTGAGGCACTTAGCAACTCAGTGAGACCCTGTCTCTAAACAAAATACAAAATAGTCTGGGGTTGTGGCTCAGTGGTTGAATGCCCCAGAGTTCAATCTCTGGTAGCAAAAGAAAAAAAAAGTGAGAGAAATCACAAAAGAATATATTTTATTTGATTATATGAAAATCCAATTGTGGCTATAAGACACTATTTACCTGTGTATTAAAGACACAATTATGATTTAATTCAGAGTAAGAATTTAATCTGTAATTCAAAAAGTTATTAAAAACCATTTAACTTCCTTTCATGAAGTCATGTAACTTCACACTAAAATCTGAATCTTCAAGTAATGAAACATCTTTGCATTTGATTCCCATTCCAAAAGAAAAGAACATACATGATATAGCTATTGCTTTCCTCTTGGGAAACTGAGAAAATTTAATTTAAAAAAGAATATTTAGCAGTCTATGTCAATCTCAGAGCAGAAATGTCTTCTTCCAGCTGCTTCTTTGAGCACTCTTTACATATGACCTCTCTTAACACGGTAATCTCCTAATGATATGACTGCCTACAGTCTCTTACCTTTCCAATCCAACTTTTGTACTGTAGTTCAAGAACTTTTTTCTAAAATGCAAACCTTAACATTCTACTCTTCTGTGTAAACTCCTTAACCTGGCATACAAGGTTTGCTATAATCTGGTCTCTACTTCCTCTCTAAACTCATTTCCTGACATATCTTCCCCTGCTCAGATACATACATGTAAAACCCTGTTTTATAGTCTATGCCTTTGTAGATGCTGCTCACTGTGAATTCCTCTTTAATCCTGCCTTTTAAGATACAACTCCAATCTCCCTAGAAGAACCAACCATTCCCTGCTTGTATATACGCTACATTTTGTACAGAACTGCAACACAGAAATACTGTATAATGGTTCAAGATATGCACTGATCATACTGGATTGTGAATTTAGCATTATCGTTCACTAGAGTTATAAATCTAGTCAATATACTTATCTTTACTGAGCCTAACAAAAAAGAAAGCTTAGAAAAGATACAGATAATACTATATACATCTCAGGGCTTTTGTGAAGATTAAGTCAAACAGTATAGTAGTTAATATATTATAAACACATAATGAATGATAGCTAAAAAATTCAAAAAATTATATTACACTTTTTTACATATTTATCTCACTTTAGATAGCAAGATTCGTAAAAGCTAGACTTAAGTCTTAAGGTATTCCTCTTTGTTTCCTAAGAATTTTCACAATTCTTGTCAGTTTATTGAGTGTCAAAGAAAAGACAATCAATTGTGAACAAATAAATGACTAAACACCCCCTGCAAAAGAGGGCAAAAATGAAAACACTGATGACTACTGAACAATTCCATACAGCCGCTTTTAGCAAACTGTCATTTGTTAATAACTGAGTTATTTTAAAAAATGTTTTATGCTCAAATGACTTAGGAAATAAAAGATAAAACTAAATGAAAGGGGTTTTGGGGGGGAGGTAGGATTTTTAAACTTTCTCAAATTTTCTAAGAGGGCTATAAAGAATACAACAGCTCTACAAATTTATTTAACCATAGAATCCTTGTATCATGATATACCACAGTTTTGGAGAAACACTCCTTCAGTATACTGTTTTACTTATTATGATATAAGTCATATTGCATTTCTTGGGGAAAAAACAAGGTAATAGCTATTTTAAAAAATATATAAAATTGAAAATTTAACTTTGAATAGTATAAAATTATGAACAAATAAATGACTAAACACCCCTGCAAAAGAGGACAAAAATGAAAACACTGATGACTACTGAACAATTCCAACAATTCCATAATACCTTAAATTATTAAGTTCAAAAGTATTTTAAAAGTGTAGCTGGGTAAACAAATATATATCATTGGTAAAATGAAAAGCAAACAGAAGATACAAAACTCGAGAAATGTTATAAACAACACAATGCAAGGACCTCGAAAGGGTCCAAGGTAATTTTTTAAATACTAATAAATATTTTAGGACAAACTGAATATAGAGTCATATATGAAATTATGGATCAGTTTCTCATGTTGGTAAGTGGTTATATAGAAATATTAGGGATGAAGTTTTGATAGCTATGTTTGTTATTGTTATTTTAGGTTCTGGAGATTTAACCCAGAGGCACTTTACCAAAGCTACATTCCTAGCCTCCATTTTTTATAATTTTTATTTTTTATTTTGAGACAGGGTCTCACTAAGGGCCTCCATGAATTGCTGAGGCTGATCCTTAATTTACAATCCTCTGATTTCAACCTCTAGAGCTGCTGGGATTACAGGCAAGCACCACCTCATCCAGCCTGACAGCTATGTTAATTTCCTTTCACAAATGATTTGAGATAGCCAGAAAGTACGGCAAAATGTTAATAACTGGTGAATTTACATGTACAGAATACTGCATATCACTTTACTATTATTTTGACTTTTCTGTAGGCTTGAAATTTTTCAAAATAAAAGGCATTTCTGTACATCAGTGACAAATCCTCAGAAAGAGAAACTAGGAAAACCACCCTATTTATAATAGCCTCAAAAAAAATAAATAAAATACTTGGGAATCATCTGAATGAAAGAGGTGAAAGACCTCTACAATGAAAACTACAGAACTAAAGAAAGAAATTAAAGACGAGCTTAGAAAATGGAAAGATCTCCTTGTTCTTGGATAGGCAGAAATAATATTGTCAAAATGACCATATTACCAAAAGCACTATACAGATTCAATGCAATCCCAATCAAAATCCCAATGACATCCCTCTTAGAAATAGAAAAAGCAATCATGAAATCCATCTGGAAAAATATAACAGACCCAGAATAGTTAAAGCAATCCATAGCAAGAAGAGTGAAGCTATGGGTAATAAGGGGGAAGGGGGTAGAGGGTAGGACTGATGGTGGAATGAGTTAGACATAACTACCCTATTATGGCATTACTATTCCAGAACTTAAATTATACTGCAGAGCAATAGTAACAGAAACAGCATGGTATTGGCACCAAAATAGACCTGTAGACCAATGGTACAGAATAGAGAACACAGACACTAACCCTAATAACTACAGTTATCTTATATTAAACAAAGGTACCAAAAACATACATTGGAGAAAAGATAGCCACTTCAACAAATGGTGCTGGGAAAACTGGAAATCCACATGTAACAAAATAAAATTAAATCTCTCTCTCTCACCATGCACAAAACTCAACTCAAAGTAGATCAAGGACCTAGGAATTAAACCAGAGACCTTGCACCTAATGGAAGAAAAAGTAGGCCCAAATCTCAATCAATAAATGAGATGGATTCAAGCTAAAAAGCTTCTTTTCAGCAAAATAAATAGTCAGTGAGGTGAGTAAAGAGCCTACAGAAAGGGACCAAATTTTACCACAAGCCCATCAGATACAGCACTAATCTCTAAGATATATAAAGCACCCAAAAACCTTAACACCAAGAAAACAAATTACCCAATCAATAAATGGGCCAAGGAACTGAACAGACATTTCTCAGAATATACAATCAATCAACAAATATATGAAAAAATGTTCAACATCTCTAGCAAATAAAGAAATCAAATCAAAACTACTCTAAGATTTCATCTCACACCAGTCAGAATGGCAGCTATCAAGAATACAGTCAACAATAAGTGTTGGCAAGGATGTGGGGGAAAAGAACACTCATACATTGCTGATGGGACTGCAAATTGATGCTGCCAATCTGGAAAGCAATATGGATATTCCTTGGAAAACTTGGAATGGAACCACCATTTGACCCGGCTATCCCAGTCTTCGGTTTATATCCGAAGGACTTAAAAACAGCCTAATACAGGGATACAGTCATATCAGTGTTTATAGCAGCACAATTCACAATAGCTAAATTGTGGAACCAACCCAGGTGCCCTTCAGTAAATGAATGGATAGGGAAAATTTGGTATATATACACAATGGAATATTACTCAGCATTAAAAGAAAATAAAATCATAGCATTTGCAGGTAATGAAGTTGGAGAATATAATGCTAAGTGAAGTAAGCCAATCCCAAAAAACCAAAGGCTGAATGTTTTCTTTGATATGAGGATGCTGACTCATAATGGCGATGGGGAGGAACATGGGAGGAATGGAGAAAATTTAGATAGGGTAAAGGGGAGGGAGGGGAATAAGGGGGAAGGAGTGTTTAAAAAAAAAAAGACACAAATGGTGTGAAAATACTTTGCATACAGTGACTTGAAAAATTGTGCCCTATATGTGTAATATGAAATGAATTGCATTTTGCCATCATGTATAACAAATTAGAATAAAAAAATAACTTAATAAAGAAAAAATGAAAACAAAAAGTTGGGAGAGGGCTGGGGATATGGCTCAAGCGGTAGCGTGCTCGCCTGGCGTGTGTGCGGCCCGGGTTCGATCCTCAGCACCACATACAAAAAAAGATGTTGTGTCTGCCAAGAACTAACTAAATAATTAAAAAAAAAAAAAAGTTGGGAGAAAATAAAACTAATCACTTCATTTTATTAGGTCAGATATAACAAATACACATTCAAAAGTAATAATTATGATTATATGCCAGATTGCTATAACATATAATCTCCCACTACCAAAGCATCTCTGAGTCAACATAATATTTAATATAATGAACACAACTGATGTTTATAATACTTCTCCCTTTTCTTTCCTCCCAGTTCTAACTTTTATCTTCCGTCCCTCTATCCTTGCTGACTTCAAGTACTTTCATTAGATAAGTCCTTGAAGTAAAAAGGATGACAGGCATATAGTAAGTTTCTTTTTTCTCCTTTAGTAAACATTTCTTTTTTCCCTTCATACTTCTCTCCCTCTTTTGCTGAATCACGTTTTTTTAAAAAATACCAAAGTTTGAGCACATTTCTGTTTCATCTCTCCTTCCAGAAAGTTTAGGTGAACACATGTTCAAATCTGGTTCATTTACTGAATTCAGTTCATTAGTACAAATTCCAACTACAACTATTTCCATTTACACTACTGGAATGACATTATGATAACATTTGAACTCTAACTGGAAGTGTCCTTAATGTTTGCTACTTCTCATCTTTCTTTGAAAAATGCATAATTCAAAAACTGACAATTAAAGCCCCTCCATCTCAATTATCCATTGAAATGACCAAAGGAATAAAAAAGAATCTTAGTTCACAACAGAGTTATAACTAGATGGACAGTCCATGCATTTGCTCTAACCTTTGCTGTGTAGTGAAGAAGGATGTTACCAGGCAGGTCGGCCATGTCATTCTCTTGACATTTCCAAGGGCTTAAACAATTTGGACCTGAAAATTATTTATACACATACATACATATCATTGAATATTTATAGTCTCCTTGGTTCTGTGTTATCAAAACAAAATTTAAAGTGTTTTAAGCTACACAAATAATACACTAACCCATACTAGCTAAAATATTCTTCGAGGTTTTTGTTTGGTTAGGTTTGGTACTGGAGATTGAACCCAGGGGCACTTAACAACTAACTGACATCCCCTGCCCCTTTTATTTTTAATTTTGAGACAGGGTCTCACTAATTTGCTTAGGGCTTTGCTAAGTTGCTAAGGCTGGCTTTGAACTTGAAATCCTCCTGCCTCAACCTCCCAAGCTGCTGGAATTACAAATGTGCGTCACAGTGTCTGGCTGTACTTTAGTTTTTATATCACCTCCAAGCTATCCAAAACCTAGAAAAATTAGGAAGTGGATCAACCTTCACTCCATAAAGGAAACTGTATATAGCATAAAAAAGCTATTATCAAATATAACAAAGTCCACCTAAAAAATCAAAGAACAACAAGTTCAAATAAGATTCTATTTTACATTGAATAATGAAGGAAATGTTATTGATGCTATGGTGAAACTGGTATGTTTCTGTTTTCCTGGTGGGCACTGTGAATTCTTATATCCCTTTTGGAAATGGATTATGCAACATGTACTGAGATTTTAATATATTCATTGAATATTTATCCTAAGAATTTATCATTACATACAACAAAATAAGAAAAACTCTAAGTACAAACAGTTCATTAACTTTAAACACTGAATTTTTATACCAATACTAAAAATTTTATAAACAACCTAAATAAATCACACATTATGAATTCAAAGAAACATTATACAACCATCTAAAATGATCACTTATGAAGACTAAAAATAATTATTTGTTAGAGGAGAATTATAAGTAGGAAAATTATAAGAACAAAATGTAAACTACATAGCCATAATGACTAAACAAAATGACTTATTACTAGTTTTAATTTATTTGGATTATGGACTACCTGTAAACATTCTGGTGAGTTCAAAGGTTTACCATAAACTTTGAAAGTCTGGATTGTCCCATTCATGTCAAAACTCCAGTAATCTAAAAAGAATATGTTGACCGCCCCCCCCCAAAAAAAAAAAGCCATTCTGCCAAGTTAATGTATATGACTTTCAGAGACTTAACATCTGAACATCCTGCTAGAATATAATTTTGTAAGTAGTTATGATTCAAAAATAATTAATGTGTGTGTGTGTGTGTGTGTGTGTGTGTGTGTGTGTGCTTAAAATCTTGGTCAAAAGTAAAGGCCAAAACAAAAAATTGTACAATCTTATTTTTTTCAGGTATATTAATACACCAATTATAAAGATGACAAGTTTTAAAACAAGACTCATGATTTCTTATGGAGATAAGCTTATATTTTGTTTTATCAATTCACTAATATCTGACAAAAGAACTGGCATTGTTATGGATGGCCCTAAAATTCATGTTAAAGACATAGTCTCCAATATGACTATACTTGGAAATAGAGTCTTAAGGAGATAAAGTTATATAAAGTCATAATAGTGGATCCCTAATCTGATATGGCTCCTTACAAGAAAAGAGACAGCAGAGGTCTCTTATTCAGTCCACATGCAAACAGAAGAAAAACCCTATAACACTGCAATGTGGCAGCTACCCATAACTATGAAGAGAAGCTTCACTAGAAAACAATCTTGATGCACACTGCTCTTGGACTTCTAGTTTCCAGAACTGTGAGAAAATAAATTTCTCTTGTTAAAGCCACCAAGTCTGTGGTATTTTGCAATGGCAACTCTAGGAGAATAATTCTGGCAGTTTATGGATGATATCTTGAAATATTTTCCAAAGGTTTGTTTTATTTATGCTTACAAAAAATATATAGTACATGGGGACTTTTCCTTTCTTCATTTTTTTTTTTTTTTTAAATATGGAACACTTCACGAATTTGTGTCATCCTTGAGCAGGGGTCATGCTAATCTTCTCTATATTGTTCCAATTTTAGTATATGTGCTAAATTTTATATGCTGAAGGGAGCACTCCTTTGATTTTCAATGAAAATAAATACACTCTCCAAATAGTTTCTTTAGAAAATTTTAAATTTAATTAAACAGTATAATGTACATGCTTACCTGCTAAATACAATGCTTTCACTTGAGGAGGCTGCAGTGCTTCATAAAAGATAATAACAGACCCTAGCTGACCCTCCAGGGATGTGGGACATCCCCATTCACTGTCTTGGGTTCCAGCTGATATCAATTTGGTAACTAATTTTGATTTTTCAGTTGCTCCTCCCCAGGAGGCTGATGATAGAATTCCACCAAATGATGCCCGATGAGGGGTAATGGGAGAAGAAAATGGTGGATCTGGAATTTGAGATGGTGGAGGAGTGGTGGTTCTTTGCCCAGCTGAACCAATACAACAGGAAGTAAAAGACTAAGAAACAAACAAATTATTACACCATTTTAAATAAATATCAAATTTCATGTTTAAAATTACACAGTGAGAGCCAGAGATATAGCTCAGTGGTACAGCCCTTGCCTAGTATTTGCAAGGCCCTAGGCTTAATCCCCAGTGATGGAAAAAATAAATTAGATATAAATAGCATATAAAACTAAGCAAATAAACAGACTGAAAATTATGTTTTATTTTTACTGGATCAAGATGTATATATGCATGTATATACACAAGAAATCATTACCAAAGTTCCCCTTGGCCAATAGAATTCAGATGTATTATTTTTATGACTCACTTTACATACTTGTAATTTAAAAATATTTTAATGAGTGTATATTATGAAAAAATTTTTAAACAGCTTTACTGTTATCTAAAATAGAAAAAAACTACTTTTCCCCCTTAAAAATTTACAGAGAATTGTGTATCAGTATAATGCTCATTACAGGCTATCTTAAAATGGTCATCAAAAACAATAAGAAATTATTCAACTCCTAGAAGGACTTGAGAAATAATCTACTCCATTCCATTACCTTCAGAAAAGACTTTCTCAAAATTATCCAAAAATTCTCAAAGAACTTTTACATAAGTAGTCACTGAGAACCACCTCTGTAAATAAAGTCTATCTTATACCTAACTACAACATGCAAGGTTTTTTAAAAATATTTTTTAAATTGCAGATGGACGCAAAACCTTTATTTTATTTATTTTTATGTAGTGCTGAGGATAGAACCCAGTGCCTCATATATGCCAGACAAGTACCCTACCACTGAGCCACAACCCCAGCCCCCAACATGCAAGTTTTAAGTTTCTTCATTATTTCAAATTAATGTGAATGGAAGAGTTCATAATAATATTTCATAAGAGAGTTTTATTAAATTATCTAATCATTTCTCTGGCTTCCTGTTTTAAGTCTTTTTTTTTTCCCTTAAATCTTCAATTGCATTTGTTTCTTCCTTGAATTGTTTTCCTTTTCAACACACTTGTCTGACAAAATCTAATGATAGACTGACAAATGAATATTAATTTACTATCTTAATATATAGAATACACTTCCAAATTTTAGAACCCTATATTTTGAACAAACAAAATCTTCTAAATTAACTGAAATCTTTAAGAGTTCTCAATCAAGTAAGCCTGAAAGAAAAGAGTAGGTTAAATATACTTACCTCATTCATGGCAGGAAATCTGAGAGGGGCAGAAACCTTCTGTTGTCCATTGTCATAGATATAAACAAGACTCTGACCAAAGGGTCTTTTTCCAGGCATGTGAACAATAGTTACGTTGTGCTGGTGAAGTAAAACATACATGTGAAAGGCTAAAATTATACTGCCTTTGGAATGACAAATGTTTTCAAAGTATTACTCTATAATATGTTTGTGTGAACAGAATATTAAGATTAAACACAGTTAACTGCTGATTAAAATGATGTTCTTAAAGTGAGAATAATTTTTTCTGTAGTACTATAAAACACTTAAACCTTTTCTAAAAAATATAAAAAAATCAAAACATAATGTCTTTTCTTCATTTTCCAAAGCTTTGAGTATTCTTTAAAATCAATCTTTCTAATAAAGACACATTTTATATTTTTAAAAAAGCAGAAGAGGGCTGGGAATGTGGCTCAAGTGGTAGCGTGCTCGCCTGGCATGCGTAGGGCGCTGGGTTCAATCTTCTACACCACAAAAAATAAAATAAAGATATTGTGTCCACCTAAAACTAAAAAATAAATATTTTTTTAAAAAAACAATAGAAATGCATTGTTTTTAATGATTTCTCATGTCATTTTAATTGAAATTCAAAATTAAATGTGCTTTTAGAAGACCTCAAAGAAATCATAACATTTCATTTTAGGTTTTAGCAGAAATTTTATTATCATAAATTATATTTATGACAACATAAGCAGTATTAACCTTCCGATAGACAAACTCCAAAATGAGAACCTTAAAGTAAAAATTAATTGACTCTCAAAAAGCAAACGAAAAAAAACTCCTTTGAAGGTGCATCAAATTGTGTTTTTTCAAGAAAAGAACCAACAAGTTAAATATGATGTCTCAAAGCCTTACCCAGAGGGAATCACAGAAACTGTGGTCAGGAAGCATAACTGTTGCATATTCTCTTCTGGTGCACACTGCCACAACCAACATACCTGAATGGGTAATAAAAGCTTCAAAACCCATGCCACTTCCTGTAAAAAAGCTAACATAAATATATATTATCAGAACTCCTGAAGTCAGTTGATGAGTTTCATCATCACTGAAACCCACAGAATCATAAAGCCATCATGAACACCTTTATCAGCAATGCAGTAGCTTAAACTCTAATGCCACACATCGGTCCAACTTTGTTTCAAAGACATTTTTAAAATTTTTTTTTTTGGTATAAGAGTTAACAAATCATACAAGGCAGCATTATAACTATAATTCCATTAGCAAACTACAATAAAACTAAAAAAAAAATTTAAGATCTTCAATATTCTTCCAAATAAAATTCAGAAAGCAAACATAAAGGTCTTAAAAATCACAAGAATTAAAAATTATTAGGTACTGCAGACTAGATAGACATGTACATAAATTTTCTGGTCCTTTATATAAGAAGCATATAGTATCTTCAATGGGTCACAAAGATTATCATTGAAGTTTATTAATCCTTTCTTCTCCACTTTTATAGTCCAAAACTAACCTCAGAACTTAAGTAGCAAATATCTGAGTTATATAATTATTATTAAAAATATATATAATAAAGCACTTATAATTAAACTGCATGCAGCTAAAAGACAAAGAAACTTCAGATAAATTGTTGTACATTTAAAAGTAAGATATTTCCAGAGGCTTTTTCCTATTTGGGAACCATAGGATATATACTGCTATGACAATAGTTATGTAAATTCCATAACTATACCATTACCTGTATAATTGTTTTCTTTTTCCTCCTTTGTTAGCAACACCAAGAGTCAACTGATCCTGATCTAAACAAAACCAAGCACTGAAAGAAAAGGCAGACCCTGGCCATTTCTGTATGGGGGGCACAGAAATTCCTGCCATACTATGTGACAAATTAAAATACTGCAGTGCACTTTCTAGACTAAGTTTTCGGGCCATTGTCAGTATCGCTCGAGTCACAGCAGTGGTATAAGGATGAATAAACTCAGATTGATCCACCCTGAGCAATCTCAGCAAGCTACGGATTTCTTCTGAGCTCACTGACTGACTCCCCAAGGAACCATAGATTGCAATCAAGTTCTCAGCACAAATTCGATGAAGGGAAGAATGGGAATCAAGGGTTTCAATGATCCTAATTCCCATGTTTGCATTGACACATGTAGTTCGACTCTGCCTATTAATACAACAAATTTTCTTCAGCCAATCAGAGATGAAGATTTGCAGGTCATGGGATTCAAGCTCTGGAAGCCACTGGATAAGAAGCAAGAGAGGATGGACATTACTAATGCCCAAAATCCCAACTGAAGTATGGTCACCCTCTACAGCCTGAAAAAACAACATAAAAAATAAAAGGTTAGTTACCATTTTTGAAATGGAGATAAATTAGCTTTTTAAAAAAAGGTTAAAAACTCACCATGTTCATAAGTTCTTTAAGTAGTTCCAATGGAGGCTGACCCAGAGATTTTAATACTTCAAACATGTGTGTATAACCAATTCTTTCTTTAAATATTTCCTAGAGGAGAAAACAATATATAAAAGCACATTTTAAATGCCTAGATTTGTTGAAATATTAAAAATATTGAAAATCCTTTTAAGCTAATGAACTTAATATTAAATTAAAAAAAGATTATGAATTCAATATTCTCTCAAATTACATGTGTTCATCTTTAAATAGAATCCTTACAACTTCTGGAATAACAGAGTTATAATAATCTATCAAAATGCAAAACAAAGTGAGCATAACTGTGTTTAAAACTTTTTTAATATTTACAGAATATGGCAAATGACACTTAACCTTTTAAAGTGATTTTTAATTAATAGAGTATTAAGTGAAATTAAAACAAAAATAGAGAAAAAAAAATGAGAAGACTTGGAGGTAAGAGGAGTCAGATAATAACCTCAAAGAACCAAAGAGTACTGGCAATTTTAAGTAATGGCCAGAAAAAGAAAAAGAAAAACTGAATACATAGAGTTTTCTCTCTGCTCTTTGTATCTAAATGGTCTAAATTATTGGGAGCATTAACTTCATTTTAGAAAGTTCTATATTACATATATTTTAAAACAGTAGGCACCTAATGTCATACAGTGAAATATATAGATAACCAACAAAAGTAGAAAATACTAAATCACTCCATTAAATTAGGCAGATTTTTATACACTCATTATAAAATCAAAAGATTTAAACAAAACCAGTAAAACTGGTTGTTTTTAGAAAGGAGAAATAGTTGCACTGTGGGCCAAGGATAGGAGGAAATATTGTTTTCAAAGGGTATTTGTTATATAACCTTTGGTTTTTAAACCATGTAAAGTATTACACAGTCAACAACAAAAACAATGAAAAAAAAAACTCTTTAAAAAACCCTGAGCATTTTTTAGCTTTGAATTTCAGAATATAGTATATGCAATCCATTACACTCAAAAAATCAATCACTTAGAATTTAAAAAATTATTTCTTCCTTACAGAAACAATTAAATGCACATTCAAGTCAGAAGTTGGACTGTAAAATCCAAAACCTTATTCAATAGAATCCTAACCATGAATTTCAACAACATTTCCAGGGCAAAACTTAGTTTCCTAAGACAAACCAGCTAGGGAATACAACTGAAGGAATGACTCAGGGAACAGAGAGTAATTAGTTCACTTCTGGAACCAGAAAAGTGAGGAATAAAAGATGTTAGAGGTGGGAGATAGGTAAATAAAGTGGTAATAATGTCACTAACATTTACTTAGCATTTACCGTTTGCCTGGCTCTGTGTTTACCATTTTATACAGATGACCCTACTAATCATTACAATTACTCAATAAAATAGTTGTCAGCATATAGGTAGCTAACAGCATAAGTGAACAGAAGGACAGTCAGAGGTAGAGAATGAGAAGGGACAGAAAACTCTGCAGGTTAGTGACTACAATCAAAGAAACAGAATCACCATGCCTATAAAACTTGGAAAAACAAACCTCAAAGTGACAGGGCAGCTCACACGTGAAAAATGTTTGTTACGGCTAGTCATAAACTGACTAAATAGAGAAAACCGGTTTTCTTCTTTTTTTTTTTTTAAAGAGAGAGAGAGAAAGAAAGAGAGAGAGAGAGAGAGAATTTTTTTTTTAATATTTATTTTTAGTTTTCGGCGGACAAATCTTTATTTGTATGTGGTGCTGAGGATCGAACCCAGTGCCACGCGCGTACCAGGCGAGAGCGCGCTACCACTTGAGCCACATCCCCAGCCCCAAAACAGGTTTTCTTTATTAACAAAGAAAAATTATAATATAAAACCGAATTCCTTAAATTAACAATAGACTCACTTAAAAGCAATCTTTAACAAAAACAGTGAAGTAAGAGGCATCACAATACCAGATCTTAAAACTATACTACAGAGCAATAGTAACAAAAACAGCATAGTATCAGCACCAAAATAGACAAGTAGACCAATGGTACAAAATAGAAGACACAGAGACAAACCCACATACAGTTATCTCATATTAGACAAAGGTACCAAAAACACATTGGAGAAAAGATAGCCTATTCAATAAATGGTGCTGGGAAAACTGGAATTCCATATGTAGCAAAATGAAATTAAATCTCTATCTCTCACCCTACATAAAAATCAACTCAAAATGGATCAAAGAGTTAGGCACTACGGGCTGGGTTTGTGGCTCAGTGGCAGAGAGCTTGCCTAGCATGTGTGAGGTACTGGGTTCAATACTCAGCACTGCATATAAATAAATTAATAAAATAAAGGTCCATCAACAACTAATAAAAATATTTTAAAAAAATAATTAGGCACTAGAACAGAGACGTTACATTTAAGAAGAAAAAAGAGGTCCAAATCTTCATCATGTCAGCTTAGGATCTGACTTCCTTAACAAGATTCCTAAAGCACAAGAAATAAAATTAAGAATCAATAAATGGAATGGATTCCAACTAAAAAGCTTCTTCTCAGCAAAGGAAACAATCAATAACATGAAGAGAGAGCTTACAGACCAGGAAAAAATTTTTACCACACGCACCTCAGATAGAGCATTAATCTCCAGGACATAAAGAACTCAAAAAATTTAACACCAAAAAAATAAATAACCCAATCAATAAATGGGCTAAGGAACTGAAGAGACACTTCATAGAAGAAATACAATCAATCAACAAACATATGAAAAAATGTTCATCAACTCTAGCAATTAGAGAAATGCAAATCAAAACCACTCTATCATTTCATCTCACTCCAGTCACAATGGCAATTACCAAGAATACAAACAAGGGCTGGAGTTGTGGCTCAGCAGCAGATTGCTCTCCTCGCACGTGCAAGACCCTGGGTTCGATCCTCAGCACCACATAAAAATAAATAAGTGAAATAAAGGTATTGTGTCCAACAACAACTAAAAAATAAATATTTTTTAAAAAAAGAATTCAAGCAATAATAAGTATTGGTGAAGATGTGGGGAAAAGGACACACTCATACATGGCTGTTGAGATTGCAAATTGGTGCAATCACTTTGGAAAGCAGTATAAAAATTTCTCAGAAAACTTGGAATGGAACCACCATTTGACCTAGCTATCCCACTGCTCAGTTTATACCCAAAGGACTTAGAATCAGCATACTACAGTGATTCAGCCAGATCAATGCTTATTGCAGCTCAATTTACAATAGCTGAACTATGGAACCAACCTAGATGCCCTTCAACAGATAATGGATAAAGAAAATATAGTACATATATACAATGGAATATTACTCAGCCTTAAAGAAAAATGAAATTATGGCATTTGTTCGTAAATGGATGGAACTAGAGAATATCATGCTAAATGAAATGAACCAATCACAAAAAAAACAAAGGCTGAATGTTTTCTCTGATAAGCAGATGCTGATCCATGGTGTGTGGGGGGGGTGGGTAAGGAAGAATGAAGGAACTTTGGATTGTGCAAAGGGGAGTGAAGGGAGGGTGGGGCTGTGGGGTTGGGAAGGACAGTAGAATGAGACAGACATTATTACTCTATATACATGTATGATTACACTACTCGTGTGACTCTACACCATGTACAGCCAGAGGAATGAAAAGATGTGCTCCATTTGTGTAAAATGTGTCAAAATGCATTCTACTGTCATGTATAACTAATTAGAACAAATTAAAAAAAAAATAGAAGGGAGACCAGAAAAAATAGAAGAAGGGGATCAGGGGGAGGGAGGAGTGGGAAAGGGGAGATACTGGGGAATGAAACTGATCAGATTATATTGTTTTATTATGTGCATGTATGAATACATTATAACAAATCTCAAAAAAAGATCATTTCAATATCAGAGCTAGCTCCCATTCTTTGAAAAACACTGGAAATCTTCACTAATTTACAATGTCTTTTTTTTTTAATTGTAGATGAACACAATACCTTTATTCAATTAATTTACTTAATTTGTATATGGTGCTGAGGATGAAACCCAGTGCCTCACACTTGCTAGGCAAGTGTATTTCCATTGAGCCACAATCCCAGGCCCATCAATGTTTTTTAAAATCCTGCAGTGTCCTTGGGGCTTTGCTTATCATTAAAATTATCAGTAAATTGGGCTGGGGCTATAGCTCAGTGGTAAAGTGGCTGCTTAGCATGTGTGAGGCCCTGGGTTCAATCCTCAGCACCACATAAAAATAAATGAAGATACTGTGTGTTTATCTACAACTAAAAAATATTTTTAAAAATTATCAGTATTCTTACATTAAGATGAGGTATTTCGTGAACTATTTTATTTCAGGTATTAAGCCATATGTATTATAGACTTTTACATATTATTTTGGGATTTATATAGTGAATAATGGCAGATCTAAGACATTTCAAAGCTTGGGAGATATGTTTTACCTTAGCAGCTGGAGATTTGTTCATTATTGCTGTCAAAGCTTGGATGGTTGACACCGCCAAACAATCCAACTGTCCCTGGAACACCTGCTGAAAGAAATTAAAAAATCAATAGCGGTCAAGATTTTTAGTTACTTAGGAAACCTCTGTTCTGAAAACCTGAAAAAATACTTAACATGCATTACATTCCTCTTCCTATGAAATGTAAAACACTGTGACCTGCAAGAAAAGTTACCTACTTAACAGAAATAAGCCATATGTCAAAAAGAATAAGGCAAAATTCACTCATTACATTAAGTGTTTTTGAGGGGGAGGGAAAACCCACCCCACCAAGCTCAACACATGCTTTTAAAAACGAATGGACAATCTCAAGAGGAAGGAAGGGAGGTCTATAATTGGAAATTCTATTATGTTTTAATTTCCCTTCAAAGATATACTTGAACTTCCTAGGCTTAAATTCCACTAGCATGTATAATGAGATAGCTAAAAAGTGTACTTAGTTTCCAAACTCTATATTAAAATTGATCATCATACACCAATTAATCATCATCCTCACAAACAATAAGTTATGTTTTATATAAAATGCACATTTTGAGAGAGTTTAAGAAAGAGACATGTATCTATAATCACTGTCATGTTTTTGAGAAGGCAACGTTTAGTGCTAAAATTTTTAAGAAAGAATTTAAAAAGCTCCATTTTGTTTATGCTTCATTAAAAACCAGACATCTTAAATTTCAGGGCCCTGCCTGTATAGCAAAAAAAAAAACAATCAATATTTAACAACTGACCATGACTATTACTTATAGACTTAGCTTGAAAAGCATAGAATGTTTATATTCCTATAGATAATTACCATGAAAGCACAGAACAAGAACTGGAAAGATGTAAAAATAAATAGTCCTGAAAAATTCTGAAGCCAGTCAATCCACAAATAGGATTTTCCTCACCATCTTCCAGTAAAAAAATTCAAATGCAAAGGGAACTGTTTAGATTAATTTAACTGTAGTGTTGAATTAAGCTCAATCAACTTTAGGTAGGGCATTTAATATAAAATTCTGGTTTTTGTTGATGCTGTTTATTAAATAATATTATGTAGGATAAACATATTACATATACAATAAACATTACAGTACATATTAAACATTCTGCATACAGCAGAATTTTATACAAGTGCTAGATTTTGTCCAAGAAAAATCCCAAAAGACCTCATTATATCCATTATTTAGAGTTAAAACATAAACTTCTACAAGACTATTATAATTATTTTATTAAACTATATAAGTAGGCTTCAGAGGGACTAAACGTGTATAGAGAAATCTAAAAGAGTACTCTGTAAAATATTTCCCATTGAGAAAACAATACACTAAAATATAGTTTCTTTTTATACCACAACTCTGTTAATCTAGATATTAACATAATGTTAATAAAAGACATAAGTTCTCTTACATTTTGGAAAAGAAAAGAGCAAACTTCATTTTAAGTTTTTTACAAATTAATTTACCTAACACATGAGAAGTAACACTTACTATGTAAGTTTGCTTAATTATCCTTATATAGAGTTGAATTTTTAGACTAGAAAAAAGTTGAGTTTATGCTAATTTAACATTCAAAGAGTTCAGCATCTTCTTCCCTTCCTCCAAGATTCAGGTTGTCCATTGAATTATAATCATTATTTGTCAATAAGAAGCAAAGAATCAACATATTAACAATGACCATACGTATTCACACACAAATACCTGAGGTTCCAATTAAACCAAAGTGCTTAGAAAAGGAAGCCCCCAAAATATGAAGTCACCATCAGGTAGACAGCATTGATACTGGGATCCCATTCCTGTACTTTATATCTCCTCAAACTAAAGAGAATACATGTGCACAGATAGCATTTTATTCATTGCTTCTACTAACCACCAAGATAATTATCCTTGAGATGAAAGTAATTCTTATTTTAATATTTAAGTAATTTTCAAAAATAATTAATGAATATTAGAATTATTTAATGTTTATGTATTTTAAGAAGCAAGAAGAAAAGTACAGGAAAGTTATTCCCATTGACTGATTTTGGACTTCGGCTGAAACAAGATGCAGGTTTTGTAGATACCTGGTCCTCATTCATTTCTGTCAGTAATTTGTTGGCAAGTTCTTTCTCGTTCTTGTCTGCCACCTTATTATTAGCATTTAAAAACAGCTGTTAAAAACAGAGATAAGAATAATGGAGAAAGATAATTAAATTGTTACCTCTAAGAAAAATGAAACCTAAATGGATTCCCACCTTTCTTGAAAACCAATCCAAGAATCCACCTGTGAAGTATATCACTCCGAGAAATTGCAGATTATTTGCTTTTTGGGTAACAAACTAATATTAGTTTATATACCATGACTAATTATCATAGATATATTTCACCCTTAGAACTCAAAGTTACTAGAATAAGAAATAACAATAATTAAAATTAGTTAATATTCCTAACTACTTACAGAAACATCAGCAGAATGCCTCACAGAGGAGGAGGAAAGCTGCTACTGAGATAGACTCAAGATATTACAGTAAATAATGTACTTAGTCAAGTAAGTTTGTGAAATACTATTTAACTATTGAAAGGGTTATATCTTCAAATGCTTTTCTCAGAGTCTCCAACAGGCTAATGTATAACCCCACATGGAGGTCAGTGTACAGAATTTTCCAAATTTATCTTACTGTACATCATATCAGAATGCCATAAAACAGGGATGGGGTTGTAGCTCAGTAGTACAGCACTTGCCTTGCGTACATGAGGCCTGGGTTTGATCCTCAGCACCACATAAAAATAAATAAATAAATAAATAAAAATATATTGTGTCCATCTACAACTAAAGAATTTTTTAAAAGAATATCATAAAACAATATTCTCCAAAGTTTTAAAGAGTTGAACTTAATTTATATTAGTTTGTATACTGGAAAGGGAGATTGGTATTATTTATGGCACACATGAGGATTACCCTCCTCTGAATGGGAAAAAAAAAAAAAAAGAATCAAGTATTTTAATTTTAGATTATTTGTTGTTTTGTTTTGTCTATGGTACTGGGATTGAACCCAGTGGCACTCTACCACTGAGCTGCATCCCCAGCCATTCTTTATTTTTGAGACAGAGTCTTGCTAAATTGCCTGGGATGTCCCTGAACTTGCCAACTTCTTGCCTCAGCCTCTCACGTAGCTGGGATTATATTCCTGTGCCACCACACCCAGCTTAATTTTAGTTTTAATATACAAAACAGCATTCCAAAAGGCTTTGGACTCTGGCACAGTTTGCCTAAAGACAAAAATAATTCAAATGAGAGTGAAAGAAGAAAAAGTTAGATATATAAAAAAACTAAAAGCATACCAAGAAGAAGTTCTTAGGAAAATCTGTGATTTCAGAAAGTTTAGTTACGTGCTAAAATACTGCAATATAAAATTAACTGAAGTGCTGGGGCTGTAGTGGCAGAGCACTTGCCTAGCATGTGTGAGGCACTGGGTTCGATCCTTAGCACCACATAAAAATAAATAAAAAAAGGCATTCTGTCCATCTACAACTATGAAAAAAAAATTAACTGGATAAAGGTAAGTATATAACAGGTACATAAAGCTTAATAGGCTTTTTGGAGTCAGAGACCTGAGTTGGAATCATGGCTTTCCTACTTTTTTTTTTTTTTTAATATTTGTAGGGTACATATTAGCTGGTGAGTCTAATGGTGAGTCTGGAGAATCAAGTCAATTTTTTTTTTTTAAGAGACAGAGAGAGAATTTAAAAAAAAAAAAAAATATATATATATATATATATATATTTTTTTTTTTTTTTTTTTTTAAGTTTTCGGTGGACACAACATCTTTGTTTGTATGTGGTGCTGAGGATTGAACCCGGGCTGCACGCATGCCAGGCGAGCGTGCTACAGCTTGAGCCACATCCCCAGCCCCGGCTTTCCTACTTTTTAACTGTTTGATTTTAAGGAAAACTAACTACTCCAAGTTTGTTTTCTTAAAAATGGGAAGAATAATAAATATCTCATCAAATAGCTGTACATGTTAAATGATATAATCTATGGTAGTTTATTTACATGGTATGTAGCACATAACACAGACTTAGTAAATGAAAGCTAGTATTATCAGCAAAGATTTGGGGAAAAATATTGCATATTATTCAGATGCAAGGAAATAGAAATGCTCTGATGAAGCTAATACGGGTAAAAATAAGTAAGCTTTCCAAGGGTTAGGGATGTAGCTTATAGGCAGGGCACTTGCCTAGTGTGCACAAAGCCCTCTGTTCAATTCCAGTACTGCCGAGAGAGAGAGAGAGAGAGAAAGTCTTTCCAGACAGCAACACAGCAATGTACATGAAGAATCTTCCAAAAGTTCTTACTCTTAAATGAGTAATTCTAAACTTACACTAAGACACAATCAAAAAACACCAAGATTTTTACCACAGCCCCAAAGTCAATGGGATGGTTTCTGAATCCCTCTTATTGCTACTACTAAAGATAATGCTGTTGTTCTGTTCTAATTCAAACCTCTATGGATGGCTTTTAAAAAATTACAATAATTCAAATCATGTTTCTTCAAGGAAACAAAATAACTTATAGTGGACTGTGATTCTCATACAAAAAGAAAGCACAGAAACTGCCAGCGGTCAGCTAAAGATTTTCCATGTTTCATAAATTATTTGTGTCACTTTAATCTTTAGTTTCCAATGTTTCCAACAGGTGTGCATGTTTAAACAGCAAAACTGTCATATTCTGTATGATGGAATAAAGCAGAATAAATGATTTATTCTTTACTAATAACAAAAAAAATCAATTTAAACAGAAAGTAATCACAGACATTTGTACCACCATGTAATACATTTTTATACATTCAGGAATAATATAAACTATGTTCATAAAATGTTTATGTATCAATATAATCTTAATTTTCCTATTTTAATGCATAGGCAACATATTTTCTACTGACTAAATAATGAACTTAAGTGCAATTAATACAATTAGAAAACTACATATCACAATGGACTTTTAGGACCATGGGAAAAAGAAAAAACTGGGTAAGAAATCCTAGCTCCATCACTTATTACTACTAACCTTGGGCTAGTAATTATATCTTTCTTGACACACTTTTCCTTATATGTATGATGAACAAATTGGGAAGCTTATTTCAAAGCTTCTCCCATTTTTAAAGACTTAATGACCGTCAGAATGGCTATTATCAAAAAACAAAAACAAAAAAAGAAATACTGGATATATTGTGGAGAAAAAGGAACCCTTGAACACCACTGGTGGGAATGTAAATTAGGATAGTCACTATGGAAAACAGTATAAGGTTCCTCAAAAAGCTAAAAATAGAACTACCATATGATCCAGCTATCCTACTCCTGGGTATATAACTACTGGAAATGAAGTCATCACACAAAAAAGGTAACTGCATGCCTGTATTTATTATGGCACTATTCACAATAGCTAAGATATGGAATTAGTTTAGATGAATAGATAACAAAAATATGATACACACATACACACAATGGGAGTATCATTCATCCATAAAAAAATAAAATCTTATCATTGCAGCAAAATGGATGCAACTAGATGACATTATGTTAAGGGAAACAAACATTATGTTAAGTCACACACAGACAAGTATCACCTGTTCTCTCTCATATGTGGAAACTAAAGTGGAGAGGGCTTGCCTATAATGCACTAGTCCATGGGTTCAATCCCCAGCACCACAAATAAAAAACTATACAGATTGTATGTGGAAACAAAAGACCTAAAAGTAGAAGACAGATTACTAGGGACTGGGAAGGTGTTGAAGGGAAAAGGGTGGGTATCGAAGAAGAAGGATGGAGCATATAACCATGCATAATGTATGCCTATAGGGAAAATCATATAGAACCCCATTAATTTGTACAATTAATATGTACCAATAATTTTTTAAAAAGATTTAAAGACAATAATGTCACAATCCACAGTGATTCAGACAAAACTATTCCTGAAGTAAAGAAGATGTACAGCCAATAGGAAAGGCCCAAGTTCCAAAGGCTGGTTTTCCCCCATGAAATGGGTTTATTCTCTAGCATTTCCTGTTTCAAAACAAAATGTGGTAAGTAGTATTAAAAAATAATTTTTTTTCACAGTTTACAAATCTTTTTTTTTTTAATTACAGGGAAAAGCATCCAGTCACAGAATGGCTTGTATTATGTGATTTGTAACTAGAAGTACATTAAAAAATAAAACCTGATGTCTTAGGTTAAAAATCTTTTCTATTAGGGAAAATCTTTTCTATTCTCGTGGAAAATTCCTCGAGAATGTCAATACTATTTCTATGTGTCAAACATCATATGAAAAGCTTAGTAAAAATTCCATTGTAAATATATACCTCATTTTCTATATTCATTCAGTGACGGGTGTGTAATTTGTTTCCACATCTTGGCTATTATAAATAATAGCTGAGATTGTCAAAAGCATAAGTAAATTAAGGTGTAGGAGGGTAAAAACCTAGGATCAAATAGGTAATGCCAGCATTTTTAGAAACGGAATATTCCAAAGAGACTGAAGAATGGCCACTGTGGTACACAGAAACAAAGAGCACAGAAAAGATGAGTATGTTGATAATTCAGAAACAATTCTTTTTAAGTTTCTCAAGAAGGCAACAAGCAACAGTGACAAACGGAAAATGCCAGCAACAATAACAACTAGTGTCCATTTAACTTGGAAACTAAAAGGTTTAAGGACCTTGATTAGAAACAGTTTTATGGAGATGCACAGAGGCAGAACCTCGATGTGGTTTGAAATTAATAGAATTTGTCCTCTCTTTCAAAATGCTCCAGACCTGGTAACTATACATTTAATTTTATTCTTGTAGTTATAGGAGACTCTATCTCACCTAAAAATAGGACAAAGCATAAGACCCTTTCAATTGGGTTATACTAGTTATGAGATGTCCCTGATAGACATACCAGTTGACAGTTCTATATGTATAGCAAAGTTCTATTATCAAAATCACAAATGTGGGGCTAGGGTTGTGGCTCAGTGGTAGAGCACTTGCCTAGCATGTGTGAGGCACTGGGTTCGATCCTCAGCACTCACATAAAAATAAATAAAATAAAGGTATTGTGCCCTTGTGTCCATCTACAACTAAACGTAAATATGCACATGGGCATAAATGCATTTTCAATTGTAGAAAACTACACCAATGAGAGAAAACAGAGCAAAAAACAAACAACCAAGAGATGAAACACTCTGGAACAAAGGGTTAAGAGCAGGCCACAGTGTCAGTCATCTCTGGAAGACTTGAGCACATTCCACTGCCTATTTTTTGCCTTCTAGGTCCAATCAAAAGACTTCCTACAAGTTCTAAGTTTTAAATAGCAGTTCCTATGACCGTGGGACACTTATTAAATTTTACAATCCAAGCAAAACTCAAATAATTCAGTACATCATTCAAATGATCAAAAATACAGCATTTAAAATGTGGAGGACATAAACCTATTTAAAATTCATTTTCAAGAAAAATGCTTATTATATTCCATTAAAAAATAAAATTGAAATTTGAAGAGATTTTCAACCTCTTAAAAATGGGGTTTAATACAATAGACACTAGAATGGCAGTATGTATAAACGTGGATGTATATCCAATGTGATCCTGCAATCTGTACACGTGGTAAAAATAAAAATTCATACCCCACTTGAATCAAATGTATGAAATATGATATGTCAAGATCATTGCAATGTTTTGAGCAACCAACAAAAAAAAAAGGGATTTGAGGAATGGGAATCGGAAAGACAGTAGAATGAATCAGACACAACTTTCCTAGGTTCATATATGAACACATGACCAGTGAAATTACACATCATGTATATCCACAAGAATGGGATCCTAATAAGTTAGACTCCATGTATATATAATATGTCAAAATACACTCTACTATCATGTGTATCTAAAAAGAATTTTTAAAAATTTTTAAGTGGAGTTTGAATTATTTTTTGTTTATATTCTGCTAACTTTTTCCCCCAATGTTGTGTATGTGAGCTGAAACTGCTTTTCTTAAATGAAGTCAGTATATGGTATGCTCCACTTGTGAAAATAAGTAGTTCTCCTTTTGTGTTTCTGCCCTTTAGCATCTATTAGGTGCAGTTTTCCATACAGTCTAGTCTCTATATCTTGTGTTTGGCATCAAAATACTGTTGCACTATAAAATGGCATCTTATGTTTTATGAAATTCACTAACAAACATATTAAAGTTTCTACAGGGGCTGGGGTTGTGGCTCAGGAGTAGAGCACTTGCCTAGCACAAGCGAGGCCTTGGGTTCAATCCTCAGCACTACATAAAAATAAATAAATAAACAAAATAAAGGTATTGTGTACAACTAAAAAATAAATATTAAAAAAAAGTTTCGGGCCTGGGGATGTGGCTTAGGCAGTAGCGTGCTTGCCTGGCATGCGCAGGGCGCTGGGTTCAATCCTCAGCACCACATAAAAATAAAATAAAGATGTTATGTCCACTGAAAAAACTAAAAAATAAATATTAAAAAAAAAGTTTCTACAAGTCTGTACTAACTTCTATAGCCTCTGAACAACTGTAGAAGAGGATAACACTAATACTGAAAACTATCAAACAGCTGAATGTTTCAAATTTTGCTTTAGTGTTATAATACGGTTTAGAGATATCAAAACATACTAATTCCCTCTATTGATACTATTCAGCTTGATTCTTGATCTTACTTTCCCATTAACAGAAACACATTTTTCCATTAGAAATTATGAAAATTATTACCTTTTACGCATGGGTAAAAAGTGGTAATAATTCCCATAAATTTTAGAATATATTTATATTGTATGGGAGAACTGATACACCACCAATGTATCTATTTTACAATAAGAATGTATTACTTAGCTAGGTGTGGTGGTGCATCCCTGTAATCCCAGCTTCTCAGGGCAAATTGAGGCAGGGGGATCTCAGACTAGGCTACTTAATGAGACCTTTTATCAAAATAAAATTTTTAAAAGGCATTGGGGATATAGCCCAGTGGAAGAGTGCCTTCGTAGCATGCTTGAGGCCCTGAGTTTTAGCCCCAACTGAGGGAACAAAAAGAAAAGAAAAAAATGAAGGCTTTTGAAGTCAAGGAGAATTAAACTGAAACTCTGGCTCTGTCACTTCTTGCCTGATCTATAAAGTAGTCATTATAAGGACAAGATATATTGTGTGACCTCAAATGCAAGCAAGGCATCTAACACTGTCCATCATATTAGTAAGCACTTAATCATAATAGTAACCTTTATTTTTATAGAACTATAGAGGTCATTTCTTTTTTATTGTATCAATTTTTCTACAATAAACATTTTCTTTTCTTTTTTTTTTAAAGAGATAGAACGAGAAAGAGAGAGAGAGAGAGAAAACTTTTTTTTAATGTTTATTTTTTAGTTTTCGGTGGACACAACATCTTTATTTTATTTGTATGTGGTGCTGAGGATCGAACCCAGTGCCCCGCACATGCCAGGCGAGCGCATTACCGCGTGAGCCACATCCCCAGTCCCAATAAACATTTTCAACAGAGAATATGTTTCAGAAATGTGTATGTAATTAAAAATTTTCAACTTGACATGTCCAAAAATCTTTGTAAAAAGCAAACCTAAAAAAAATTACCCTTACATCAAACTATTTCCTAATTTTATTAGCTAAGTATTTATATAAAATATTCTAATCTGCTATAAAAGTAAACCAAGTGAAAGATAAACAATATTTGTATTTTAGTGTAGTAAAATTCTGACTTTAAAAAGTTTTTCTGAGGGGCTGGGGGTGTGGCTCAGTGATAGGGTGCTCACCTAGCATGTGTGAGGCACTGGGTTCCATCCTCAGCACCACATAAAAAAATAAATAAACAAAATAAAGGTATTGTGTCTATCTACAACTAAAAAAAAACCCAGAAATTAAAAAGCAAAGTTTTTCTGAGAAATGACCATCATTATTGATGGAAATTAACAGTTATTCCAGAATTATAATATGAATGACAGAACAAGTGCCACTTTTAAAACAGCATGTACAGTTTAACCTGATGCTGTAAGAAAAAAAGTAAAAAGTAAGAGAAGGATAAGGCAGATACTTTGAGAAAGAATAACTATTTTCCCCATCATGATACACGGTAGGTTTCTTGTGAAAATGTTACCAAAAGTGTGTTGGGGAAGAGAAAATGTCTAGAACTCTAGATTAAATCAATGGAATCTGTTTGAACTAGAAATAATTTTCTAAAGTCTAAATTCAGAAACAAAATGATACAACTTCATAACCCCTTACTTATTTACAATAATAAGTATGCATGATGGTATAATAAGGATGATTATAAAACTTACATTTAACCAAAACAGCTATGAAAAGATGATTGCACTGATAAAATGTTACCTTTAATTTTTTGAAATCTAAGATCATGTATTAGAATCAAAAACGGTTAAGAAGAACATTAATAGGAAGTATACATAGTCTAGTCAGACTAAAGAGGTCAAATCAGATTTAAAATTTCTAAAAAATATTTTGTGGTCTTTATATTTTTATTTATTTGGAAATTAGCTGGTTAAATAGTGAATGCTTCCCAGCAGCTTGGGAGGCTGAGCCAGAACGAACACAAGTTCAAAGCCAGCCTCAACAATGGCAAAGGGCTAAGCAATGCAGTGAGACCCTGTCTCTAAATAAAATATAAAATAGGGCTGGGGATATGGTTCAATGGTCCTGAGGTCAATCCCCAGTACCAAAAAAAAAAAAGCAAATGCTTAGGTTTATCTGAAATTGTTGCAAATTTTATAGCATAATAAATTTTGATAAAAACAAAATACCTGGGCAAAGGGTGTGTTTTAGTGGTAGAGCACATCCCTGGCATGCACGAGGCCCCAGAGGTTTGATCCCCAGCATTAAATAATTTACCACCTAGGGCCTCGTGCATGCCAGGGATGTGCTCTACCACTAAAGTTTGGTCCCAATGTAATGATCACCAAAAGTTCTTATACAGTCTATAAGATCTTATGGAATTTAGCTCTTTTCTCCTTCTGACTTTATTTCTAGCCCCACGGCCTACTACTTCTTGTTCCTCAAATATACTAAGAGTGTTTCCACTTCAAGAACTTTGGTATTCTAGCAAGGAAACTCTGATATTTGTGTAGGTTGGCTCATTCATTTCCTATACATCTCTCCTCAAATGTCCCCTTACTGGAGTCTCTTTGCCTAACCGAAGTAGATACAAAAGCAGTATCTTATTTTTTCCTAGCCTTCTACCTACTGTTTCTTTGTGGCATTCACCATCAACAGATCTCCTATATATTTTGTGTTTCTTTTTTGTCTTGCTCCCAACCAAAGTGTAAGTACTGGAGGACAGTACTTTCATCTTTTTTCTTAAATCAATAATTTGAGAATAGAAGCTGACACACAGTTGATACATAGTAAATATTAGTCTACTTAGTTAACTAAAAAGCCATTTCTTATACAAAAATATCATTCAGTCAATGACATACAATTTGAGTTGGAGTAATAGATTTGCAATGAGAAATCCATGTTTTATATAAATATTCCCTCTTATCAGTGGCAGACAATAATAGAATACATAACATAGAGTACTTTCCAGACTGGTCAAAGACAACATTTCCAACTGAACTGTTTTCAAAGAACTAAAGGCAAAATCTAGATCATCTTAGTATGCTCTGACACAAATGGCTAGCCAAGAAATCAGAAGCAACTAACTTTAAAGGGTCTCCAGTATCTTCCTGGACTAAATGGAAAAAAAAATATTTATATCATGAACTGAAATGCTCATTATATAAATAAATTAGTTTTCAGTTTGACTCTTTTTAAAGTACTTAGACAATTAGAAATGATTTAATGCTAATTTCAATCAGTAAAGAACTTGATTACATAAATGCAAACACAAACTATTAAAACAGTAACAATATACTAAAATTTTGAATTAAAACATAAAGAAAAAAAATTTTTCTCAAAACTTAAAGGTGATAATAGTAGAAAAGTACCTTGCAGTTCTGTAGTAGTCGTATGAGATGTTCAAAGCAATTACTATTAAGAAAAATGGCCTGAAGAACAGGCCTGTCTGTGCAATCCAACATGGCTGTGATGGTATCTAGGAAAATAAAAACAAAAATCTTCCATGTAATGGTGAAAATTTGGAATCATACACACATTTACTATTATCATTTTAAATTTAGGCTTTGCAGTTGACAGAACAGATATAAGTTAATTGGGCAATAACAGCTATGAAGAACAGACAACAAAATTTGTAATTATTACTTGAAAGAAATAGTGAACATTTTCATAATTTAAAATACTTAAATTTTACATGACTCATATATATTTCCCAGAGATTTATTTAGTTATTCTTCCATCATAAGGCTCAAGTCTAACCAACTGTTTGTGCCAAACTTGCTATTAATAGGCAAACTGGTTGTTTTACAACACTTATATTTACACATTATAAAATTAACACATGGTCCTGAAAAAGACAACAATGTTTTGCTCTCATTTCCTATTAAAGAGATATCTCCATCCAGAAACCAAAGGACATCTATCATGGGTAATACCATGTTTTTGTTCCTAATAAAAAAGAACTCCATTCAATACAGACAAAAATGTATTTATAAACTTTCAATAATTATAAAATATGACATGTTGTAACATATAAAATAATAAAGTATGTAAGATATGTATTGTTTTCCTATAGAAGCAAATGTTGTAATGGATAATTTTCAATAAGATTTTGACGCCCATATTCTAAACTGATCTCACATATACATGAAGCTATACACCAAACCATTAATGTTGATTATGTCTGGGTAGTAGGATATAAAGAACATATTTTGTTTCTTTATAATTATGTGAATTTTCTAGTTTAGCTGTAATTACAATATTTTACTTCTTTAATAATGAACTGTCAGTTAATAACATTTGCATTTAACATGGCAATGCAGTAAGAAACCACATATATTGTTGAGGGAGCTTACAAAGTAGAACAAAAAAAGGACAAATATCTACAAAGTGACACAAACATCCACCACAAAGAGAGGGGGAAAGAGAAACAAAGACACATAGAAGCTTTGAGGAAAAACAAAATCAAAGGCCCTCTAGAGCATGGACAGACTCTATAAATGTTATAAAAGCATAAACGAAATCAATTTTTATCATAAGTAAAACATTACAAATGGCAATTTCTGAAAATCTACACGTTCTAGAATTCTGGGGCCACACTGACTTTTCTAACATATACTTTTAGTGAATTACACTTTCTCTTCCCCTTCATCCCTACTTTGCCCCATGCTGGGGATTAAATCCAGAGAAGGGGCTCTAACACTGAGCTACATTTCCAGTCCTCCTTTTTTTTTTTTTGAGTTAGTGTTTCAATAAATTGTGCTGCCCAGCCTCAAACTTGCAGTTTTCCTGCCTCAGCCTCCTAAGTATGTGGGATTACAGGTGTGTGCCACCATGCATTGTTTATATTACTTTCACGAAAGAATGCATATTTGACTTTGATGTTGCTAAACTGAGGGTATTGTAGACAAACAAATTAATTAAATTATTTGGAAGTTAAAATATAAAGTCATATGCTATCTGAACTAAACAATCAAAACTTTCCATACAATGGCTCTGTATTTCAAAAGACAGTAGGAGATATGAAAGCAAAACATAGACTCAGGCAAAATTACCTTTCTTTTATAATAGGTGATTTATAATTATATATAATAGTGGAACTCATTATGTGATATTCATAATGCACATAATTTGATTAATTTCATTCCCAAGTAGTCCCTCCCTCCTTCCCTTTCCCTGATCTACTTGCTCTACTATCTCCCTTCTATTAGTACCAATACTACTATTTTAATTAGTGCATTATAATTATATATAAAAGCAAAATTCATTATGGTATGGTTATACATGGACATGGCATAATTTGGTAGATTTCATTCCCCGAGTACTTCCCCATGTCCTCCGCTCCTGATCCCCTTCCTGTATTCTACTGGTCTCCCTGCAGTTGACATAATCTTATTTCTTCTTTATGGCTGTGTATACCACATTTTCTTTATGCATTCTCCTGTTGACAGATACCTACACTGGTTCCACAGATTCACTGCTGATTGCGCTACCATACAATAAACATTGTACACATGTATCATTATAGGATGATGGGTTTAGTTCTTTTGGATAAGGTAAGATACCTGGGTTATGTGGTAGTTCTAATCCTAGCTACATACTGCTTTGCAAAGTTATTGTACTAATTTGCAGATCCATCAACAATGTATAAATATACCCTTTTCCCTATATCCTCACAAGCAATTTTTAAATTTATATTCTTGATGGATACCATTTATTCTAACAGAAGTGAGATGTAATATCAATGTAGTTTTGAATTGCATTTCCCTGATTACTAATGATATTGGACTTTTTTTTATAAATTTGTTAGCCATTTGTATTTCTTCTTTTGAGAAATGTGTGTTTACATCTTTTGCCCATTTATTGGCTGGGTTATTTGATGTCTTGATGTTAAGCTCATTCAGTTCTTTATATATGCTGGATATTAATCCTGTCAGAAAAGGTAGCTAACAAAGATTTTTCTCCCATTCTGTGGGCTCTCTCTTCATGCTCTTGTTTCTTCTGATGTGCAGAAGTTTTAAATTTGAAACCATCCTACTTATTAATACCTGGATGTATTTCTTGAGCTTTAAGAAAGTCAATGCCTGTGCCAATATGTTAGAATGTTGACCCTGTTTTCTTCTAGCAATAGTAGTGTTTCTGATCCAATTCCTACATCTTTGATTCACTCACTTTGAATTAATTTTTGTGCAGGGTGAGAGATTTGAAGCAGTTTCATTCTTCAACATACGGATATACAATTTTCCCAGCATCATTTGTTATAAAGGCTATCTTTTCTCCAACACATATTTTTAACACCTATGTCAAGGATCAGATGAGTATGAATCTATCTTTCCTGTCTTCTATTCCATTGGTCTCCATGTTTGTTTTTTGCCAATACATGCCATTTTTGTTACTACTGCTCTATAGCATATTTTGAGATCAGGTATTTTGATGTCTTCAGTACTGCTCTTATTGCATAGAATAATGGCTATTTTAGGAATTTCATTTTTCCAAATGAATTTTAGGACTTTTTTCTCTCAAGTTCTGTGAATACATCACTAGTATTCTGATGGGAATTGCTCTAAAGCTATAGATTGTTTTTGGTTATATGGCCATTTTGTCAATATTAATTCTGGCTACCAAAGAATCTTTGCATCTTCTAAGGTCATCTTTAATTTCTTTCTTCAATGTTCTATAATTTTCACCTCCTTGCTTAGACTTATTCCCAGATAATTTTTAAAGGCGATTATGAATAGAATTGTTTTCTTCATTTCTTTCTCCACAGGTTCATTATTGGCATACAGGAAAGCTGCTGATTTTTGTATGTTGATCTTCTGCTACTTTGCTGAACTTGCTAGCTCCAGAAGTTTTCTGATGGAGTTTTTTGATTCTTCTAAATAGAGGATCATATCATCAGCAAACAGACAATTTGACTTCTCCTTTTTCTGCTTGTATCCCTTTAGTTTTCTTCTCCTGACTAACCACTCTGGCTGGTTTCATATATTATATTGAATAGGAGTGGTGAGAGTAGACATCTTTGTCTTGTTCCTGATTTAAGAGGAAATGCTTTCAGATTTTCTCCAATCAGTATGATGCTGGCTTTGTTATATATATATATCCTTAATAATGTTAAGTTTCTTCTATTCCTAGTTTCTTCAGTGCTTTTTTAAAAAAAATTTGTAGTTATAGATGAAAGGTATGCCTTTATTTGTTTATTTTTATGTGGTGCCGAGGATTGAACCCAGTGCCTCACATGTGCTAGGCAAGTGCTCTGCCACTGAGCTACAGCCCCAGTCTCTTCAGTGCTTTTTTAATATGAATGGGTGCTAAATTTTGTCAAAGATTTTTTTCTGCATCTATTGAGATGATCATGTCATTACTGTCCTTAATTCAGTTTATGTGATGCATTACATACAGAGATTTGTGTATGTTGAACCAACTTTGCATTCCTGGAATGGAAGAAACTTGATCATGATGTACAAGCTTCTTAATGTGTTTTTGAATGTGGAATTCTAATATTGTATTAAAGATTTTTGTAACTATGTTCATCAGGAATAGTGTCTGTAGTTTTCTTTCCTTGATGAGTCCTTGTCTGGTTTTGGTTTGAAGGTGATATTGGCCTCATAGAATGAATTTAGGAATATTCCCTATTTAAAAAAATAATTTGGGGAGGACTGGCATTAGTTCTTTTTTAATGGTCTGGTAAAACTCATCTCAGAATCCATTTTGTCCCTGGCTTCTTTCTTGGAAGGCTTTTTATCACTGCTTCAATATTTTTACTTGCTATTGGTCTGTACACACGTTTTTTATCCTCTTGGTTCAATTTGGGTAGGTCACATGTATCTAGACATTTGTCAATAACTTCTAGATTTTCCAATTTATGGGAACATAAGGTTTCAAAACAGTCCCTAATGATACTTTTAATTTCAGAAATATTCATTATGATATCTCCTTTTTTATATAATTTTGTTGATCTGGGACTTCTCTTTCTTTTATTCAGTTTGGTTAAGGGTTCATCAATCTTGCTAATCTTTTCAAAGAACCAACTCTTTGTTACATTGATACTTGGTATTTTTTTTTCTATAGATCATTAATTTAATCTAGTCTTATTTCCTGTATTCTACTGGTTTTGGAATCTGGCTGTTCCTGCTTTTCTAGGGTCTTGAGAATAACATTTGAGGGTTTTTATTCTGTTTTGTTTTGTTTTTTAATGTAAGCACTATAATTCTATAAACTCCTCTTAAAACCATCTTCATAGTGTCCCAGAGATTTTGGTACATTGTCTTATTATTCTCATTTGATTCTAGGAATTTTACTAGTTTTCCCCTCATTTCTTCTATAATTCATTCCTTGATCAAAAGTATATCAATCAATCTCTGTGTTTGTTATCAATCAATCTCTGTGTTTGTTGTTAACTATAATTTTTCTTGATGTAGATTTCAAACTTCATTCTGTTATAATTTGATAAGATGCAAGGAATTATATTAATTTTTAAAATATTTGCTAAGACCTGCTTTGTGTCCTAAAATATAGACATTTTGCAGCTATGTTCCATGAGCTGAGAAGAAAGCAAATTCAGCTATTGATGGATAAAATTATTCTATAGGTATCTGTTAGATCAATTTGATTGATGGTATTTTTTAGGTCTGAAGTATATTTCTTGATTTTATGTCTGGATGACTTTTGAATTGTGAGAGTGATATGTTAAAATCATCCAGTATTACTGCATTTAGGGTCTGACCTTTTTTTTAAAATGTAATTAGGTAAACCAACATTTGATGCATAAAAATAACTAATACCATTTTATCTTCTTGATATGAAGTGACCTTACACATCTCTTCTGCTTAGCTTGAAATATAAGGATAGCTACTCCTTCTCATTTTTAAATCCATTTGCATGATATAACCTTTTCCTTTCAGCATATGGATGCCTTTCCCAATGAGTCTCTTGTAAATAGCATAGTTTTGGGTCTTGTTTTTCAATCTTTCAACTCTATAATTTTAGTTGGAGAGCTGATACCATTTACATTCAAAATTATTATGGAGAGATGTTTACAGTTTCTTGCCATTTTTATTTGTTTCATATATTTAACTGGTCTTTGTTTCATATATTTAATTTTCATTTTCTTAACTGTTCTTATAATGAGCTTCATCCATTCAAGAGCTGAAGGGGCATGTAGTATTTCTTTAAGCTTATTCTGCAGTGTTTGCTTAGAGATCATAAATTCTTTTAGTTTTTCCTTATGTTGGAAAATTTTTATTTCTTCTCTGATTCTGATGCCTAGGTTTGCTGGATAAAACAATCTTGGTTGGCAACTGTTTTCTTTCAGGTCTGGAATTACTTCACTCTAAGCACTCCTAACTTCTAGAGTCTGTGTTGAGAAGTCTGAAGTAAACCTTATTGGTTTACCTCTAAATATGACCTCACATTTTTCTCTTGAGGCTTTTAATATTGTATCCTTATTTTTTTAATATTTATTTTTTAAGTTGTAGTTGGGCACAATATCTTTAATTTATTTATTTATTTTTATGTGGTGCTGAGGATTGAACCCAGGGCCTCACCTGTGCTAAGCAAGTGCTCTACTGCTGAGCCACAACCCCAACCCCTGTATACTTATTTTTCATGTTAGACATTTTGTGTTGAAGAGGTTCTTATTTGAACTTGTCCATTTGCGGTTCTAAGGCCTCCTGTGTGTATATGTCCATCTCATTCCAAAGATATGAAAATTCTTCTGACATTATTTCACTAAAAAGTTATTAATGCCAAGAGCTTGTATTTCCATGCCCTCTTCTATTCCAATGACTCTTAAGTCAGATCTATTTTTCTCAGAGTTCTTATATATTCTTATCATATTTTTTTATTACTGCTGAGTATTCAAGTTAATATACCCTGTCTTCAAAGTATAAAGTTTTATTTTCTATATAACCCAATCTGTTGGTTATACTTTTAACTAAATTTTTAATTTGATTTATTGTGTCTTTCATTTCTTTTTTTATTGATTTAAAAAAATGACAGCAGAATGCATTATAATTCTTATTACACATATATACCACAATTTTTCATATCTCTGTACATAAAGTATGTTGACACCCCATTCGTGTCTTCATACATGTACTTTGAATAATGATGTCTATCACATTCCACCATCCTTGCTAATCCCCTGCCCCTCTCCCTTTCCCTCCCACCCCTATTCCCTATCTAGAATTCATTTATTCGTCCCATGTTCCCCCTCCCTAACCCACTATGAGTCAGCCTCCTTATATCAGAGAAAACATTCAGCATTTGTTCTTTTTTTAAAAAAAAAAAATATGCTTTAGTTGTCAATGGACCTTTAGTTTATTTATTTATATGTGATACTGAGAACCGAACCCAGTGCCTCACTCATGCTAGGCAAGCACTCTGCCACTGAGCCACAACCCCAGCTCCTCAGCATTTGTTCTTTAGGGATTGGCTAACTTCACTTAGCATGAGGTCTGACCGGTTTCTTTTCAGAATCTATATTTATTGAAATGATTTTTCCCCTCCAGCATTTTTGCTTTCAATTTCCTAGATCTTCTTTTAGCTCATTAATCACTTTAATAATCAACATTTCAGTAATTTTTCTCTGTAATTTTAATCCCAATCAATATCTGTGGGTTCCAAGGACTGGTAATGTAGCTCATTGGTATCAGTGATAGAGTGCTTGTCTAGTATGCATTAGGCCTTGAGTTCAATACCCAGCTCAACAAAAGAGAGAGAGAGAGAGAGAGAGAGAGAGAGAGAATGAATGAATGAATCAACATGTATGGTTTCCCTTATTGGAGAATTGTAAATTTGGGGAAAAACTTGTTTGCATGTTTCCTTATGTTTTCAGAGGTGCCAGACAGACATATCTGTTGAAATATATTCCCCTTCCTCTTATGTGAGGGTCCTTTGGTGAGTAGTTACCTACTTTTAATAAATTCTACATTGATGGTATATCTTAGCTTTGACACATAGGTTCAGCATAAGCCTAGTGATAATTTCAACTTCCAATGACTCTTTGAAAGGATACAGTGCTACAAGTAACCTTGGTAGTAATTGCTAATGATCTCTACAAATATATTAACCCAAGAGGAACATGAGTGAAAAATAACATTCAATAGGCTGAAAGGGTTACACATTAAAAACTATAGACTAAATTGAATTTGAAGATGGGATAAAAAATAATATAGATTACAGGCATGGTGGCACATGCCTGTAATCCCAGCAACTCAGGAGACTGAGGCAAGAGGATCACAAGTGAAAGGCCAGTCTGAGGAACTCAGACCCTCAGCAACTTAGCAAGACCTGTCTCACAACAATGAAAACAGAAAGAAATAAAAGGACTGGGGATATAGCTAAGTGGTAAAGTACCCTTGGTTTCAATACCCAGTACTAAGAAAATAAATTTTAAAAAATAAAACAAAATAGATCTGGGCAAGTGGCTAATGCTTCTATTCCCAGTGACTTGAGAAGTTGAGTCAGGAAGACTGCAGGTTCAAGGCCAGTCAGCAACTTAGCAAGACCTCAGCAACTTAGTGAGACCCATTCTCAAAATAAAAAAGGACGGGGGATATAGATCAGTGGTAAAGTCCCCAGGTTTAATTCCTAGTACCGAAAAAAAAAAAAAAAAGTAAATAAGTAAAATAATATAACATAAAATAGAGAAAAGAGAAAAATAGAAAAGATGGGATAAAGGGTTGGGGGAGGGGGAGAGGTGAGGATGAGGGTGGGAAGGGAGACAGAAGTTAAAATGGGAAGACAACATCAGTGTAGAAGAAGCTGAAGTGGAATAGTCATGTATAGGAGATCTTAGGTAATATCAATCAGCCAAGACATTAATATCATTCAAAGGTTCAGATTAATTGCTGAAGTTTTTTAGTCTTTTGTATCTGGTGTTTCAAATTTTAGCAATTGCCAACTATGAAGAAGTCACTCAAATGCAAATTTTGTATCATTCCCTTATTTCAGCTCTCACCCAAACAGTCTCAACTTATTAGGTGAATCCATATGCAGAATTCTACCCACTCCTTGCCTGATCACCCCTGATAGAGAGGCAATGAGGATAAACTTCTTTCTCAGTTTGGCTTTGTTGTTTCATCAGGGGGTGATAGTGAAAGTCTCTCAGGTCAGTTGGGGAGTTCCCTCATCTGCTTCATCTAAAGATTAATCTGGATTGAACTGTACTTCATTCTGAGAGCCCCTATTTATGTGCTATACTTTTGGGCTGTGGGTGGGGGCAGGCAGACAGGAGGTACTTTCCATCCAATCCTGTTCAGACCTAGATCCCCACCCTCTGCCAGTCACATTCTTAATCCCACAGATCAGTCAGTCAATTTCAAATGGAATCCCCCTTTGTTTCTGGGCACTCTGCAGAGTCCCATCAGGGTTCTAAAAATTCTTCTTTACTCAGATTGGCTCTCATACTCACCAATCCAGTGAAAAGTATAGCCTATGTTGCTGTTTGGTCTTGGATATTCAAAAAGCAAGTATACCAAGTACACACACAAATACACACATACAAGCAAGCATGTTAAGGTGCAGGAATTCCAAGTCTACTGGCTCAGGAAGTCCGATCAATAACTCCCTTGTTCCTTCAAGCGGTTGGTGCTTCCCCTGTTCCAACAACCCAGGGAGAGTCAAATACCTTTGATGGGGATTACCAGTTCTCTCTCTCTAGCTTTTTGGTAGATTTTCTAATTTATTAGCTGCTCTGGTTGTGGATATGTTAATATAGCATCTGTTTCTTAAATTCAGCGGAAAATCTCTCTCTTCTGGTTGCCCCCACTGAGCCACAGCACAATCGACACTGCTGCCATCAGTTACCTTTTTAAACTCTCTTTCTGTTCTAGGAACCAACATTTTTAGTTTTCTTCTGCATACTAGCTTTCTGAGTTGCTTCCCTGCTTTCCTCCCGATAATTCTCCATCTCATTTTGCTGCTGCAGAACTGCTAATTTAACTCCCTCATAGGAAGCTGTTGACTGAGGAGCCCCATGTTTTATCTACTGTAAGAAAACTATCTTTATTGAATACTTACTCAGCATTTTGATCTGCAGAGCTATGAACCGGCTTTCCCACTGTCTGGATCTTCTTTGATTGGGTAAAGCTGAATGATCTAAATTTAACAATTTAAAATAGTTCTCCAGAATAGTACTGGTTTCCACTTGGCGCTGGTCAGAACTGCTAGTGAGAAGAATATGTACCACTTCTGTAAGGCACTTCAGAGTTAGTTCTACCTTTCTACCCACTTCTTCAGGATCTCCATCCTCCCAGGAATCACAATCTGCCAAAACTCTCATAAGAACTTCCATGGTGGCTGGAGAAATTGCTTGCAAAGCATTTCTCTGAAACAGTAAAGACAATAAAAATGAAAACAAATCTGAGGCTCTGTTAAGCTTGCAATAACAAAGAGAATTAAGTCTGCAGGCAACTTTTAATAAATCAACACATAAAATTTTTAATTTCACAGACACTGCTAGTATTTTACATATATTAAGTCTTCTGTTCCTCACTACTAATAGAAAATTCACTTTATACCCTCCCTTACAGCTATGGGCAACCATGTAACAGTGCTATTCAAGGATTTATGGCAAAACACTATGATGTTTACAAGTAAAAGGGGAAGGACCCTTTCTTTGTTCTTGGTCACTTTACCTTCTCCAATCCAGAATGCAGAAATAATATTTGAAACCACCTTTATACCATGTAAAGGTAAGTCCAAGGATTAAACTAGTAGCCTACTGAGAGCAGAAGAGGAATATCAAAGGTCCCTAGGCCTTGTTCTTTTCATTGAATTACTATACCAGCCTAGAATTGCCCACATCTGGATTTCTTATCTAAGAATTTAAAAACAACATCAGTTCAGTTAAGCCTCTCTTAAGTTATCTGTTGATTATACCAAATTCATACCAACTGATTTAGATATATATATATATATATATATATATATATACACACACACACACAATGACTGGTTTGGCTCTAATGCTACAAACATATATCTGAAATACACTAAGTAACTGGTAGCTATATCAAGGTTCCCCACAAAACCTGGAAGCAGGGGCTGGGGAGATAGCTCAGTTGGTAGAGTGCCTGCCTACATGCAAAAGGCCCTGGGTTCAATCCCCAGCACCACAGGGAGAAAAAAAAAAACTAGAAACGAGCAATATGTGTTGCCCAAAATTGTTAAATTCAAATATAACGAAACAGAACATAGTTAGGCAAAATCATCTGCAAATAATAGCCCTTGGCTCATTAGAATGTGTTTTTACCAACATAATACATATATTTATATGTATATATAAATATATATAACTGTTTTATATAGCAGTTTTATCAATTTTTTCATCTGGATGTTATTTGCCTCCTTACAGTCATATCACCATATTTGGCAAAAATAATAATTTAAAACAACTTCAGTATCTCTGTAGAAAGAACTGGCACATACCATTGTCTCCTTCATTACTTCCTTCATCTTTGTGCCCTAAATGCCATGATGACTATAACTCTAGGAGGTACCTTATGGCCTGAGAGACAATAGTAAGGATAACAGACTGACATTTAGAAGGAAATTGAGTCCCTGAAGATCCTGCTGGGGATTGAGCCCAAAGCCTTGTGCATGTTAAGGACATTCTCTACTAAGGGCTACACCCCCAACACTACAACTATTTTTTTTTAATTGAAAGAAAGAAGTAAAATAATTTAAGCTGTTATAATTTTATTATTAGCTGCCATAAGTTTCTCACCCACCAAATTAGGATGATATACTTGTCCAACCTACCTCAGAAGGTGTGGGAAAGATTAAATTAAATAACAGGTGTGAAAGTGCTTTCAAAATGTTTTTTTAAAAGTGCCATGCATAAAGAGTTAATATATTATTCAAATCCATAAGCAGGTTATTATTATTTTTTTACTGTTTGAATAGAAGCAAGCAGCATCCGCATGAGGTCTTGAGTGAATATGTGAGCCTTTGGCCTTCTCAGCAGTTGCCCTTTCTCTTACCACAAGTTGCTTTCAAATTTGCACCCAAACCTGTGGTACTTGGAAGCAAAAGACCCAATGAATCTGAGAAAGTGCCTCTGATGCAAATGAGTTGATCAAATGGTATAGTCTTTCATAGGGGACATCTTTGGCTAATTGTACTTTACAACTAGAATAGCTGGTTCAAGGCATTAATTGAATGTAAGTATAATCTTTTCAGCCTTTGCAGTGTGAAATAAGCATTAAAATTGATTGTTGAATACAGCATTTCCTTGGAAAACACCTTAGAACATTAGTTTTATGGTTATGAATGTATGTGCCAGTACTTCTCAGGCTACATTGTAGATGTGAGCTTTTGTGGACTGCTTCTCTGAGTCATTGACTCAAATGTTGTTTATGTTTCTTCACGTAGTAAAATAATTTTTCTATTTCTGCTGCTAACCTAGGTGATAAGACTGTGATTTACTTAGTTTTTACAAGAGCAAAAAATTAAAGTACTATATTTACGTGTCATATAGTCTTTACAACTATGCTATGTTACTGTTTATATATTACAAATAAACTAAAATACATGTAAATAGTTTATCTAATGTTAAACAACTAATTTGAGATGAACATGGGACTCAAACCTAGGTCATTCCCAAAGCCACTGCTTTTAACATAACACAATACAGAACAGGTTTGTGTGTGTGTGTGTGTGTGTGTGTGTGTGTGTGTGTGTGTGTATTCGCAGATCACAAGAACAAATATGACAATGGAAAAACCCAGGCACAATGCTTTGGAAAGGAGATCAGTCTTTAGACTTTAATTTTGCAGTTCCTTGTGAGAAGATCATTCTTGCATCTTCAGATTTTTAACTCTTCCAAATCCCCTTGTCTGGATCCATTAAACAAACAACAAGCAACCTTCTGATTTTGATATAAATCTAACTCTAGCTATGCCCTGATCACAAGATTTTCAGTACAAAAAAATAAATTGGGCTTTTAATATCTACTTGTTTTTCATTTACAGAGGTTTCAGGGATTGATTATCCCTGGACACTAATAAGAACACATCTCCATGTGTTCAAAAACAGAATGGGATCCAAGTACATTCTCCATTAGTCAATAACAATGCCATTTTCATTTTTTTTTTTCAGGTACACTTATTCATAGTAGTGAAGAAATGAGAAAAATAGGAAGACAATGACCCAGTGTCTTCATCAGACATCATCGAATACAGGAAGGTGACTAAGCTAACTTAAACTGGAAAATACATTACAAGGAGACATCATCTACTGGGTGAAGAGTAGGCCACATAGCCCACCAGGATTTTGGCTGGGTACCAAAAGGTAAAGGTTAAAAAACACAAAGTTCAGCATTGTTCTGGAAGCCACAAGAGGGGAAAATTTTTCAAAACTGCCCACTGAGTACAGGGACATTTGATAAAAATGATTTAGAAAGAAAACAAAAAAAAGCCAAAGATAAAGAAGAAAAGGGGAACTGAGTATCAACAGATACTCTTAACCTCAGGATAGTATTTATAAAATCAATTTTATAAAATAAAATTTGGTGCATTAATTAAAAAGAGATTACCTATAGTCACCTGTTTATGCAATTTAATTGAAAAATGAAAATTACACTCTAGAAAATCTTCAAACAAAATAAGAAATAGTAAATAAGTTATCAAATAAACAGCAACTTCCTATTGCTATAAGATGAAAAGTTCCCACTGCTGTAAGATAAAGGGCTCATGAGCTCTTAAAAACAAATAAATATCTAAATCTTCACGAAGGCTTCCTCAGCATACAAAGAATTTCTTCCTAATGCCCATGATGATAAGGTAATAAACCTACAGTATTACTGATAGATCTTTAAACAAATTTTAATTAAGTTTTTATAAAAATGGGTTGTTTAATAAAATTATAATTTAAATATGTAATTGTACATAATATAAAGAATATAGTACACTGTTGTAAAAAAATTTCATGTGAAAATAAAAAGCTAATAATTAAAAAAAGGAAGATAGGACTTTTAATCTGAGGAAAAAAGAGAATTCAAGGGATCTATAAACTTGGATACAAACAATTATATCTTTATTTCCACTAATCTGACTAAAATTTAAATTTTCTTCAAATTTAAAACTCAGCTACAAAGCACAATTGTGTAATAAGTAATACTTGTGATTTTGTCACTGATAAAAATCATGTTTTTTCATATAATTATTGCGGCATCTCAAAACAGCACTTACATTCATCTCTTCTTTGAAATTATATTAGTTATTAGATTTATTGCTACTGATTGATTGATTGAGATGAGATCTTCCCAAATTGCCCAGGTTGGTCTCTAACTCCTAGGCTCAAGGGATCCTCATGCCTCAACCTTTCAGGTAGCTGGAACTATAGGTGTGAGCCGCCATGTACAGATCACAGCGAAATCTTTTTATATCATGTTATAAACAGCACACATTAAGTCACATATTTGTCTCATTAAGATTTTAGTAACCATATTTCAGTATAACTGGTTTCTTTTGTGATCTTACGTACTTTACTTCAGGCATTTAAAAAATTCTGACAAGGGCCCTTGTCAAACTGCCAAACAGGGATGTTATACAAAAAGAACAAAAAGTTAAAAACCTCTGATCTAAACTGTATGATTTAAGAAAACATTGGGCTGGGGATGTGGCTCAAGCAATAACGCGCTCGCCTGGCATGTGCGGGGCACTAGGATGCTCAGCACCACATACAAATAAAATAAAGATGTTGTGTCCATCAAAAACTAAAAAATAAATATTTAAAAAAATTCTCTCCCCCTTTAAAAAAAAAAAGAAAGAAAACATAAAGTTCTTTCTGAATTATAATCCTGCTGTCAATTAGTAGTTATGCTAAAAATTTAGCAGAGATAGCTTTTAAAATGCTTAACTTAGAAAAGAAAAATTACTAGGGCTGGGGCTGTGGCTGTAAAGTGCTCATCTCACATGTTTGAAGCACTCTGTTCAATTCTCATCACCACATAAAATAAAAAAATAAAGGTATTATGTCCATCTACAACTAACAAAATATAAAAAAGAAAAGAAACTTTACTAGAATTTTTTTTTAAAGTAATAAAAAAACAAGTTAGGCTTGTTGAAACATGACTAAAAAGTGTATGCATGCATTTAATAATTATAAATTTAAAAATTCTTTCTTTGGAAACCAAACTGCTAGAATTTGATTTCATCAAATTGACTAATAGGACTAACTTCCTCTATACTCTATGGTAATAACTAGTCACTGAAAGGCAACACAAATATGAACTTACAATACCAAAAACTGTTAAATTTGTTTATTTACCCAGTAATTTTATTGTTAGTGCTAATATTATTATTTAGGTTTTTTGGAAGATAATAAACAAAAGAAATAAGTTTAGCTTTTTTTTTTTAATATTTATTTATCGCCGGACACAACATCTTTGTTTGTATGTGGTGCTGAGGATCAAACCCGGGCTGCACGCATGCCAGACGGGCACGCTACTGCTTGAGCCACATCCCCAGCCCATAAGTTTAGCTTTAAACAAGATATAAACTCAAAAATATTTGTATTCATGAAGTCATAAAAAGACAAAGAATACATTAAACAATCCATGGAAAGCTTTTTGCATTGTTAACTATTATTTATATATTAACTTTCAACACTGTCCTCACCTGCCCACCGGCTACAATGGCTCCAAAGAGATGCAATAAGCAACACTTAAGACTTTCCTTGAGATGTTCACTTTCCTGAAAACATTCTGTGAATACACAAATAAACAAATAAGTAAAATTTTTCTTTCACAACATGATTCATCTCTAAGGAATGTGGGAAATTAAAACATGAAGAGCTATTTGTGAAAAGTCTAAATAGTATCAAATGTTAAGATTGATAAGCATTTTGCAATAGGAAAGGAAAACAGAAACCATTGTTCAGATAGCATTTTAGGTACTGTATCTATGATATCTCATTTAATTCCCACAATATTCCCTATAAAGATATCTTGCCCCCTTTATACATGAGCAAACAGAAGGTGAGAAGTTAATATCTTGCCTGAAATAACATGGCTACTAAGTAACAGAGTTAGACATTAACCCAAACCTAACATAAAATTAAGACTTTTTTTTACGGCTACTCCTTTCTCTTATTAGTCTAAGTCACTTTAATTAGTCAATTATAAAATGAAAGAGTTAAATAAAACATTTCTGGGGTCCACTCCAGGGCCAGTATTCTAAAATTCTAGTACCAATAGTAACTTTTCTTTTAACGTCATACATTATTTTATTATTTTTAAAACATTACAAATACAGGTGACAAAAAAAACTAAAACAGCATAAAAATGCTGACAAGGAAAAATATGTCTCCCTCTGACCTGTTCCTACCTTTAAAAAAAAAGAAAAAAGAAAAAGCACTGGGCATAATGGTGCACACCTATATAATCCTAGCTAAGGCTGAGAAAGGAGGATCTCAAGTTTAAGCCCAAGTTTAAGTTTATTTTGAGACAGTCTCCTGAACAACACAGTGAGACTGTCTCAAAATAAAAAATAAAAAGGGATAGCAATGTAGCTCCATGGTAAAGCACCCTGAGTTCAAAAATAAAAAAGAAGGATAGAAAAAGGAAGGAAGGAAGGGAGGGAGGGGAGGGAGGGAGGGAGGGAGGGAGGGAGGGAGGGAGGGAGGGAGGAAGGAAGGAAGGAAGGAAGGAAGGAGAAAGAGAAAAGAAAGTATATACAGTCTTCTCTCAATATTGTGGGTGATTTGTCCAGAATACCAAAATCCAAGGATGTTCAACTCCTATATATAAAATAGCATATAACCTATGCACATCCTCCTGTATACTTTTGTGATCTCTAGATTATTTATAATACAATGTAAATGAATGTCATACAAATAGTTCTTAATGTTGGGCTGGGATTGTAGCTCAGTGGTAGAGTGCTTGCCTTGCATGCATGAAACCCTGGGTTCGATCCCCAGTACCACATAAAAATAAACAAATAAAAATAAAGATATTGTGTCCATCTACAACTAAAATAATTTTTAAAAAATAGTTCTTAATGTTGTATTTTTTATTCATTCATTTTGTTTGTAATGCTAAGGATCAAACACAGTGCCTCACACATGCTAGGAATGTGCTCTGCCAGCCCTATATTCTTTTTTACAATTTTTTTTTTAGTTCTAGATAGCTACAATACCTTTATTTAAATAATTAATTTATTTCTATGTGTCACTGAGGATCAAACCCAGTGCCTCACACTTGCTAGATAAGAGCTCTACCACTGAGCTACAACCCTAGCCCATTATGTTGTATTCTTTGGGAATGATAAGAAAAATATCTGTACATGTTCTGTATAGATGCAATTTTTTCTGATTATTTTTAAACCGTGGTTCAATCTAAAGATGTGAAATTCACAGGTATGGAGTCCTGTAGCATGCTTTATGTTTTTTACAAATGAGTATTATTACACACACCTCCCTCCCTCCCCCCCCCCCTTCCCCCCCCCCCTCCCCCCCTTCCCCCTCCCCCCCCCCCCCCCCCCCATTGTAGAGGGATACAATACCTTTATTTTATGTATTTATCTTTATGTGGTGCTGAGGATCAAACCCAGGGCCTCACACATGCCAGGCAAGTGCTCTACCATTGAGCTACAACCCCAGCCCCGGAATTACTACATCTTAACAGGTAAATAAATCTACCTTATTCATTTTTGATCATACAACACATAATACTATAATGATGTACACTTACTTAACCATTCTTTACTGATAAAGTATTACACTATACCCCTTTCTTTTCATAATTTTGTAATGAATATTGTTTTGCATACATCACTGCACACTTAGAAAAGATCATGACAGAATTACTTTCAATTTTATACACAACACTACCAAAAAGAAAGCTTTGAGGTAAAATGTATCGATAGAAATTTGTAACTTAAAAATTAAGTCATTTCAGCTATGTCAGAATAATCAGCACTACACATGACTTCCTGCTTAAACAAACAAAATTTTAAAACAAAAAACTAGAAAAAAGGACAAAATAGATTCCAGAAAGACAGAGAACTGTGATACACAAAATAAGGAAAACAAACAAGCCCAAGACTCACCTGAGATTTCTGTTCAAAGACACTTTCTGGGGTATTACACAGAAAGGGGGAACCCAAAAAGAACATGACTATTTTCTGAGGTTTGGAGCCAGATGTCAACAATTGGTAGGTCTACACAACTGGAATTTGTAAAGCAGGGTATTAAATGGAGAAAGCCACACAAAGTAATCCAAAAATATGCATAGGACTTGTTTTGTATCAAAATATTAAACCTCACGATAGTGTGAAATTCCACAAGACAGGCAAACAACTACAGAAAAGCTTAGACTGAATAATTTTTCTGATTTAGTACAGAACTAGAGGATGACAGAGTTCCTTTCAGCCACAATGAACATACAAGGAAGGTAACAGATATAAATAACGCAAAAATGATATACCATACAATCTGAATCACAACACTGCTGGGGTGGCTATATTACTATCTAACAATACACGCAAGGAGTAATACCATAGGTAGAAAGGAATATTTCATTATAAAAAATGGGCCATGAAAATAAAGCCTAATGTTCTCTTACCATAATAGAATTATAAAGTAATGAAATAAAAATATCTGGAGACCTTTTTCATGAAGATAGCACAAGTGAAGAAAATCTTAATTCCTCTTAAAACCCGAGCTAACCAAAGGACAAGGAAGAGGTGGTAAAAGGTCTATAGTCACACACAAAAATATATCTGGGCTGGAGCTGTGGCTCAGTGGTACAGAGCTTGCCTGGAATGTGTGAGGACATGGGTTTGATCCTCAGCATCACATATAAATCAATAAAATAAAAGATCCATTGACACCTAAAAAGATAAAAAATTGAACAACAAAAAAAGAATATCCATGTCACCTACTTTTGGTATCAGAAGCCAATGTAGCCCAAAGATAGCCCAATTATCCTTGGAAGAATGCCCCCAGAAGAAACAATCTTGACTATTATGCCTTCATCAACATCCTCCTAACTAACTGGACAAAGGAGACAATAATATACTTGTGTTCTTTGTGGATACCAACATCAACAAGCACCAGATTAAACAGTGAATATGCTCTACAAAATCAAAATGGCCAAAGCCAACACCCTAATCAGGCCTGATGGAAAGAAAAAGACATATGTTCTACTGACTCCTGACTATGATGCTGTCAAAAAAAAAAAAAAAAAAACTGAAGTCACATGTGTCCAACTAGCCAATTCAAACAATTATGTACCACATAAAACCATTTTGATCAATGACACACTGAGTATACAATGGTGGTGCCATAAGATTACAATAAAGCTGGAAAATTCCTATCACCTCATCAAATTGTAGCTGTCTTATCATTACTCATATGTTTGTGGTGAGGCTAATGTAAACAAACATAGTTGTATAAAAGTATTGTGCACACAATTATATGCAGTACATAATTGACCATAATAAATGATAATAAATGACCATATTACTGGCCCTGTATTATTAACCTATAATTTTAATCTTTATTTTACAATATTCTTCTACTTATAAAAAAAAGTTTATTGTAAATCAGCATGCCATGTTTCATAGGCAGAAGCCTCATGTGTTTGCCATGTCTACTGACTGCATTTATGTACACTCTAAGATGTTGGCAAAATGATAAAATCATCTAATGATGCATTTCATAGAACAAACCCATCATTAAGTGGCACATGACTATGTTTTTTCACTATAAATGAAAAAAGAATCTGAGCGACACCTGCAATCCCAGTGACTGAGGAGGCTGAGGCAGGAAGATCACAAGTTTGAGGCTAGCCTGGGCAACTTAGTAAGACCTTGTCTCAAAATAAAAAAGGGCTGAGGTTGTGACTCAAGGGTAGAATGCTCCTGGATTCAATCCCCAGTACTTCAAAAAACAAAAGAAGGAACTAAAGAATCCCCAAACATTTGCCAATTAACACATTCCTGTTATTCTAAAATTAAACTGTTCAACAAATACAAATCGTATATAAATGGAATACAAAACAATGTATTGAAATATGTTGTGGAATGGCTAAATCAAGCTAATTTACACAGGCATAACCTTGTTTTTGTGTAATGAGAACACTTAAAAATTGCTACTCTTGGGCTGGGGCTGTAGCTCAAAGGCAGAGAACTTGCCTAGCATGCATGAGGCACTGGGTTTGATCCTCAGCACTACATAAAAATAAATAAAATAAAGGCATTCTGGGGGCTGGGGTTGTGGCTCAGTGGTAGAGCACTTGCCTAGCATGTGTGAGGCACCAAGTTCAATCCTCAGCACCACATATAAACAAATAAAAAATAAAGGCCCATCAACAACTAAAAACAAAAATATTTTAAAAAATAAAAAATAAAGGCATTCTGTCCATCTACAATTACAAAAAATTTTTAAGAGGCTGGGGTTGTGGCTCGGTGGTAGAGTGCTCACCTGGCACATGTGAGGCACTGGGTTCAATCCTCAGCACCACATAAAAATGAAATAAAGATATTTAAAAAAATTTTTTAACTAAAAAAAAACTGCTACTCTCTTATCAATATTCAAGTATACAACACATTATGATCAACTACAGTCAATATGGTACATAATACAGCTCTTGAATCTTTCTTCTAGTCTAACTGAATTTTGAATCCCCTGAACGACATCTCTCCAATTCCCCCAACAACACATTTCTTTTTTTCCCCCACATTTTATAGTGGTGCATTATGA